GGAACACCATCAGAGATTTCTTTTTCTTTTTTTTATTTTAACTTATATTCTGTAGTGTGGTTTTGTTATTCTTTGTAATTCAAAGTACTTTTGAAACAAAACAAAATCATTTTAAAGCCATGTTTGACTTTACAGATAGGTCATGATTTTCTGATTTTATGCCTTATATTCATTCCTAACTTGCTACACAGCACTCTGGAAGCTAATTTAGTCAATAAAGAGGCTTGAAAAAAAAATGAATCACGAACCATTACTGTTCAGTGCACACAGGAAGGTACTATTAATAACCACAAAGGCAAAAGGAGAGCATCTGCAACCCGGGGACTAAAATTAGTAATAGTGGTGAAGGGAGTTTTACCAAACCGTATTTCCAGAAGGCAGCCGCAGGCTTCTCTTGTGTAAGGAAGACTGATCACCTCCATTAGCCTAGAAACCAAAGCAAAGACTTCTGGATGAGGGCATTTAATTATAATGTTTATCTAATCACTCTGCAGCCATTTAGACAAACAAGATGGCTTAGAGCACATGCTTTTCCGTGGGTAGTAAAGGGTAGCAGAGGATGTTTTTGGTAAAAAGTGCATTTTAAGCCAAGTGATCCAATATCACTTATTGGCATTTTAAATTGGTGTTTATAAAAAATGTGGAGAAGTAAAATAAAGTAAAAACAGTGAAGTACAGATACTTCCCTTTCTACCTTATAATCAATGGTAACTGTAATGTTTAACGATGATACCTAAAACCTAATCAATATGTATTTTCACCTGTATTAACTCGTTTATCCTCATAATAACCCTGTAAAGTAGACTACTATCATTATCACCTCTTTATAGATAAATCAAAGCATAGAATGCTTAAATTACTTGTACAAAATCACTTAGTTGAATGAACATAAGAAATTTGGTTGGATGCCCTGGTATCCTAAGTGACAGTATGCACCTAAAGAATTTGTGTGTGTGTGTATGTGTGCGCGCGCGTGTGTGTGCACGTGTTAATTCTTCTATCGTATTGTGAGAATCACTAGAAATTATTTTGGATGAGATTAGCAGAAGAACTTTTTCTGAACTCAAACTCCATCTTTTCATGTGTTATTTCTAATGTACTTTTCTTCCTTTTTTATAGTTGGAATTAGAATAATTTGGACCAAGTTTATTGGTACAGAAAATGATAGAAAATGATATTTTTCTCATTTCATTTTTAATTTATGGAGTCAGAATATCTGCTTCTCATGTTTAAAAACATAAGAACTGAACAGTCAGGACCCTTCTTTGGGCCACCAAGGATTGGCACAGAGATCTTTTTAAACTTTACACACAATCATATAGCCTCTGAGAACTGTCCACTGATTCCAGTTATCAGATATGTTGACTCAGGAAGGAACAGTGGCTTTCTTGGCTATCCTTGATGTCTGTGATATACAAAGTAAATATTTTAGATGAAAACATATTTTTCCAGTTTGGAATTGACTTACAAATGAGGAAAGTTATTTGCCAGAGAGAGTCTTGATAAAGGCGTAAATAACCCACATCCACTTGAACACCTAGCTGTGCAAAAATGTCTCTCCTATGAGATTGCCATTTTTACATGGTATTTGTAGCTTAGCACTTTCATTGAGTCAGTTAAAGTGTAAAAGTAAATACACAGCCAGGAATACAGTTACACATTATGCCCTTTTATCCACTAGCACATATGATTACTTTGGGCAGCAGAGAACATGGCCTGAGGAATGGTACACATGACAAACAAGGTGAAAGGAAAGCCATATCACCAGGTTTATATGGGGTTAAGAGAAATATGACACTGGACATCAGGACTGAGGGGGGTGGGGGTGAAATAGTTGTCATGATATGAAGGCAAGGCTACATGGTGCTTTGGAGGACACATAGGTCCTGAAAAACAAAACAAGGAGAAACACATAGCACAACGTAGGTTGCTTCATTTGTTTCAAGTCTCCTCACTTTCTAACTATACTGTTAGAAATGGCACCAAGTCACATCTAGAAGCATCATATTATAGCTGAAAGAGCAGGAGTTACAGGGTCAAAGAGATGTATTCAAATCTAATTCTATCAGCACAGGCTTTTGGATAAGTTACCAAATATTTAGGTTTTCCCTCAATATCATATGGAAATTAAATTATTAGCCTAGAAAACATAAAGTGCCTCCTATCATGCATATAGCTATATGCATGACATTTATATATACAGATAGTAGCTACAGAAATCATATGTATGTGTGTATACCCATTTGCACAAGGGTGTATTCATTTTTACTATAGTGCTGTCTTTCTCCCTTATTATGTTTCCTCTACAATAAACTGGCCATATTTTCTCTCTTTTACATCTTAGTCATCTCTTAGTATCCTTGGGTGATTTGTTCTAGGACCTCTTACAAATACTAAAATCTGCCGATGCTCAACTCCCTCACATAAAATGGCATGATATTTGCATATAACCTACTTGCATTCTCCTGTATTTTTAAAATCATCTCTGTAACATATAATACCTGATACAATGTAAATGCTATGTGAGTAGTTATTATACTGTATTCTTTAGGGAAAAATAGCAAGAAAAAATGTCTGTAAGTGTTCAGTTACAGAGGCAGTCCCCACCCCCAGAATATTTTCAATCCATGGCTAAGCTAAATCTGCAGATGCAGAACCTGTTTTATGGAGGGCTCACTGTATATATTTACTTTGAAGCAAAGCAAAGAGAGTGCTAGCATATTACAGAAAGCACTAGGATTCCTTTTATGTTACATCAAGATGAAAGTTGAGTTTTATATTTTGTACAAGACTGAAGAATGAACCAGAAAATAGTAGTGATGATGAGCATGATGATGTCAGGCATAGTTCCAGAGGTACCTACATGTTACTTATTTTTCACAACAGTTTTGGTAGGTAAGCTTTTTTGTCTCCATTTCACACATGAGGAAACAGATTTAGAGTGGTTAAGTAAGTTGCCCATGGTCTCAGTCAGTAAATGATAGAGCTGTCTAGTACAAAATCCTGTGTTCTGTGACTATGTACAACCAATCTGGCACTTGGGCACAACTTGCATTCATCAATGTCTGTTAGGCTAGTAATAGACATCTCCAGTGTCTTTGTTTCCCTTCTGCTGACACAGGCCGGTGCAGCTGATTGTAGCAGCTACAGCCTGTGTATTCCATTCCTTTAAAACCCTTGTCAAAACTTCCTCACTCCTCTGGCCTCTGATACCCATCAACAAGTGAGCCCAGCTGGAGAATCCTCTAATATCCCTTAATGAGAGCAAGAACCATGCCTGTCCATCTTGCCCAGATCAAGTAGAGTTTCTCAAAATAATAGTCCCTCTACTCTGAGAAGCATGAAAGAATGGTGGAAAAGCAAAACAGCCAAACTTCCTGATATGGATGATGAAAAGAGATTGTGGCTAAGGTACACAGAGGTTTACCAAGTATAAATTATAAAATTTTCCCCACAGCTATAATATTAGCAATAGTGGTTAGATTATACAGTTATATCAAAACAACTAAAACAGGATTCCAATGAAATTTCATCTTTGGTACTATACGTGGATTATCTTGGAGCCCAACCACCATTTACAAAATGTTTCTCTTAGAAAATGCATTCTGAATGGCAAAATAGCAGGAATATGAATGACTTTTTGGAAAACAAACTATTCATTAATTGAGGTTCATGTAGAAGGCCATACTTTTGTTAGTTGTCTTTGCTTATATTCTCTCTCAATAGCTTATAAAGTTATAAATAACATGTGGTCAGATTATATTTTCATATGACAGCAGAATGCATTACAATTCTTATTACACATATACAGCACAATTTTTCATATCTCTGGTTGTATACAAAGTATATTCACACCATTTTTTGTCTTCATACATGTACTTTGAATAATAATGATCATCAGATTCCACCAGCATTTATAACCCTTCCCCTCCAGCCCTGTGCCCTATCTAGAGATCATCTATTCCTCCCATGCTTGTCTCCCTATCCCACTATGGATTAGCCTCCTTATATCAAAGAAAACATTCGGCTTTTGCTTTTTTGGGGATTGGGCTAACTTCACTTAGCATTATCTTCTCCAACTCCATACATTTACCTGTAAATACCATGATTTTATTCTCTTTTATTGCTGAGTAATATTCCATTGTGTATATATGCCACATTTTTTTTTATCCATTCATCTATTTAAGGGCATCTAGGTTGGTTCCCCCTCACACATCAGATAGAGCACTAATCTCTAGGATATATAAAGAACTCAAAAAGCTAAACACCAAAAAAATAAATAACCTAATCAATAAATGGTCTAAGGACCTAAACAGACACTTCTCAGAAGAGGATATACAATCAATCAACAAAATATATGAAAAAATGTTCATCATCATTAGTATTTAGAGAAATGCAAATCAAAACCACTCTAAGATTTCATCTCACTCCAGAATTGTATTTTATATGGCATAAAAATACAACTGTTCTCAAATCTTTCTTTTTAAAGAATCTAGTATTGATCATGGCATTGTATTCATGGCACTCAGAAAAAAAAATTGTTTATTGATTATTTGATGTTTAATAGGGTTATCACTTTTCACAAAGAATAGTACATCCTGAGATAGCTATGGTTCTGACTTAATTCAGGCTCTAATTTTGAATTTCATAGCAGTTATAAATTATCTTGACAATATGATTTACTTATATTTTTAAAATTGATATGGCTATACAATATTAACTATAATGGGTAAGTGGTATAACAATAGATTTGGATGCTTAAAATTTTTTCATGTATAATTTAGAGGCAAGTGGTTATGTTAGGGCCTCTCATTCCAGGAAATACTATAGAGTGGTCGAGTATCACAGAAATATATCTGTCTTGATTTTTGGAATAGTCAATCCTAATTGCTTGTCAGCTGGAGAAATTCTGTGAGTGGGGAGAAAGGACCATTTTCATATGTGTTTTGGGTACTGTGACAAAAAGCTATTTCAGACAAGACCTTATTTTGTCTTTTCAGATGTAACTGTGTGGAGCCACATAATCCCAGCAATGATACATTGAAGGAATGGAGGGAATCCAATATTTCAGCCTCTGACATAATTTGGGAGAACCTGACTGTGTCAGTAAGTAAACCACTGAAAAATAAATCCTATCTTGAATCACTTATTTTTGTTGATTGACATTCTGAATCAATTATTGCCAGTAAAGTAAAAGTTTTGAATGCATAAAATTTTGAAAGGGATAACTTTAAATTCCTCCATTTTAGGTATCCATCAGTAAGCCGGGGTTTCACCCACTATCAAATGAAAAGGTTTTTCTAATAGTTTGTAGGCCTGAAATGCTCTGAAGGCACACATAAAAAGAACAATATGTGTGCATATATTTTAGCTTGCCCATAAATATTTAAGATAGAACTATTTTTAAAAAACAATCATTATATATTTATCAAATATTTAAGTCATGTGATGAATTGAAAGTACTTTAAATATGAGTGCTGTTGACCTAAATGAAATCACATGGCATGACTCAATCTGCCTTCCATGTAAAGAACCCAGAATGTTTTTACTTTACTCTGATACACGGCTCCAGCTGCTCAGAATATATAGAGGGGGAAGGGATACTTTGGGTGGACAAAATCACTTTTCTTAACAGAATTCTGTTACTACCCTCCACAGAGCTTTCTTGTTTCCATTTTATTCTCATCTTCTATTCAAGAAAGGTGACCAACATATTTTTCACCAATAGTGTTAAATCCTATGCCTTTGTTTTATTTTCTTAGCCTTCTTTGCTTGCTTTCTTCTCAGTTGCATTTCTTAGTTCTTCTTTATCTATTTTAATGTTTGTGCATCTCTTTTTACATTTATATTTGCATTCTTTACTTCTATTCAGTGAAATCTTATCATTTGAAAAACTGAAAGTGTCCTGCTTTTTATAAGCATTAAAATCTCTGAGAAGCTCTAGTTTCTTTTCAATTCTTCCCATTTACAAACATTACAATCCAAAGCTTTAGCCACTTTACCTCCCTATGTAAGCTCAAATTCCATTGTGATCATCAACACAAAACTGCATGAATTCTAGTTCATTTGATCAAACACATGCTATTTTAGTAAGTGGGCCAGATAGTGGAACATAGAAATCTTTATTTGTTGTTATACAGATACAAAACTCAAAACATGATTCTTATGTGACCTTTTGTCTATTTTCTCAATTTTCTAAAACACTAAATGTGAGCTTTCAGAATCAAATTATTTATCTTCCATTTAAAATTCTTCTTGACCTAAATTTTACTACCTTTATTCTTATGATAGTTATTTTCTCTAGAATAAGCCTGTACTTACTCTTGTTGTTCTCTTCTGTAATTGTCAGTTAACGTTTATTCCTTTTCATCTATTTTTTTATGAGGAAAAAAATTGCCAGGTTGTTCTGCTCAGAATCATTTAATTTGGCCAGTAAAAGAAAGGATGATCTAACCAAGAATTATTCAGAATTTAGGCATGGGAACATGGTGGATTTTTTCAGCAGTGGCTCTTCAATCTGCATTCCTGTTTTGTAAACTGTGTTGTATCTAAAGAGCCCCTTGTTTGTGTCCTTTATCTTGATGCTCTCTTCAACAAGAAAATCCAAATAATCCCACCTCTGAATTATTTAACGTGCTTTATATTATTAGAATAATTTAATATTAAATAATAAAATTCATTCTATATATTAGCAAATCAGAAATAATAATCTTCTAAAAGATTTACAGCACAATTGATGTGACTAGCCATTCCTTACTGTCTGATACTAGAAGTTTTCTGATCAAGTGGAATATGGTGAAAAATATTTTTGCAATCAAAGCAAAGATAATACTTGGTGGGTTTTTCTTTTTTTATTTTTGAAGAAGTTTTTTTATTAGGTATTAACATTCTGGCAGAATTTTCAGATTATTTTTCATTAGTTAAAAGCAGTTTTACAATGGGTAATTGCTAATCTTGACCAGCTATAGCTCTTATCACCAAAAAGAATGCTATATAATGGTGGTGGGAGGGGAGGGAAACAAAACAAAAACCTGTAATTTTTAAGTCAGCGAAGAACATTAAAATTTGTCTTATACTGATTTTTTCCTCAGTATAATCATGACATTCATCAAAGAATTTTATTAATAAAGTGCAGTTAAAGTTTATTATATTTTATGAGTAGTGTTATAACATTAAATTTACCTATTATTCATTTGCTAAGTCCCATATTGTTTATTTTTGAGTTGTTAAATACCTCATGAATCATAATCTATACCTTGCTAACTAAGCAAGAGAAAAAGTCAAAGGACTTTTCTTTGATTATCTCAAACTGCTATATGTAGACTAAGGTTTAAATATTTGATAAATATATGATGATTGTTTTTAAAAAATATTTCTATCTTAAATATTTATGGGCAAGCTAAAATATATACACACATATATGTATATATCTGAGTTTGACATATATATCAAAATCAGCCATTTTAAGGAATCCCTTTGCAAGTTTACAATACTCATAAATAATTACCTAGCAATTGGTTAAGAAATGTTTTTGTGCCTGAATTACATATGTAGTTTGTACATATATTAGGGGTAGGACATTCATGCCAGCTTTAATAATTTATCAACTTATTTTTTGCCAACTTATAGAATTGTTGAAACTTAGAATGTGTTTGAAGAGTAATTAGTGGAAATCAGTTTGTCAACAAGAATTTTTTGAGAACCCATTGTAAGTGAAACCATATGTTAGACTCAAAAGAAGAGAGCAGGATTTGGAATTGGTTTTGACTTCTAAATTTCAGAATTTGCTGAGTGTGTGAGTGAGTGAGTGTGTGTGTGTGTGTGTGCATGTGTGTTGAGAGTACAATTGATATAATGCTGAAAATAAATATTGAACATAGTAGTTCATAATTGCATATTTTATGTTAGCATCCTGTCTCCTTGAAAGCAAGAAAAAAATAAATAATATTTTCAAATTTTCTTTGAATTAAAATAACGAGACCAGTCTTTGCAATTTATTATGGATTATAAGAGAGAAAAATGATCCTTTAAATGGAATCTGTTTTAAGAATTGAGGATAAGACCTGGCCAAATCCAAGGAATATTTTGAAGACTTTTATACTTGCAAAAAGCCCACAAATGCTCACAAATCAATAGATAATGTGCTTATAATGGAACTTTTAGCTTTTCTTTGTGCTTAGCCATTCTGCTTACCCATGATGTTGCTTAGTAATTGCTCTCCAGCATTTCTGGACAGGAGCAGAAGCATAGACTGAAAAAAACACAGGGATTCATTTTTGCTACTTTATCTATTTTTATAGAGTTTTGAGAGAAAGGAAATTAAAGCTATAATTAAGGCCTGGGGGATTTTTCTGTGGTTTTTTCAATTAGCCAAGTTATTGTGTTCTGTACTAGCTTAACATGATAATTGGAATTCAGCTTGCAAGAAAGGTATCCACAATTAGTTTAGAATAGGGGACAGACTCTTTTAGACAGTTTAAAGTGTCTCAATCATATTTCTCAGGATTGTTAGGATCAGGTGTCTACCCTCCAGTAGATTTTGCTGTTGTTTGCTTGTTTTCAGATGACACTGTAGCTACTTGTGATGTATTCTAGAATCTTTTAAAGGTATTTTTGTTCTGCTATGCAAGGATTCCAGTATTTGAGGTTTGTTTCACTGTGAAGACTCTGTTGCTGATCCATCGATCAGTCCATATTTTTCTCTAAGATCTCTTTGTACTATTGCACAATTTAATTTCTGTTCAGGGACCAGAATACCTCAAGAACCAATAAGGTCACTGGAGCATTTAACTTTTTTTTCTCTTTATTTATCTTTATTCTTAAAATAAAATATAATTTAGTAAGATTATTATCAAATTAAAATAGGAAAAACCCAAATTTCTTTAAAGTCATTTTTTCCTTTCAAAATATTTGATGTTTAAAATGCTGTTTTTCTTGAGGAAAAATTTTTTGACTTTGCTGCCACCTCATGGCTAAGGCCGAAATTAGAAATGGTTTTTCAGGGGTTTATGGAAATACAGTAGCAGAAATAAAGATTGTGGGGAAGTCATAGTAAAAATGAAGTTTATCTTGCTCAAGTAACTTTTTGCTCACTTGTTCTTTAATCTAAATTGAATCCTATCTCTGACTCACAATTTCATTTTAATAATTATGTATTGTAGTTTGTTGTTGTTGTTGCTTGTCTTTCCAGGTGGTTGTAGAGTAGGTAATTTTTCAGAATAATTGTTCTTTAATATGTGATCATTTCCATTACAAGAATCTCATTTGAATCTCAGCTTTTCTGACACCCAGTAGCAGTGAGGCCACAACAAATTACTTAATATCTCTATACCTCAGTTTCCTCAGATAATGAAGTACAAATAATCACATCTACATATACTATAGGGCAGGTGTGCAATTAATTAAATTGAGGCACTCAAATGCTTTGGCCTTGGGTCTGATGTTGGTAACTATTCACTATCAAATATATCATATTCTTAATAAATATGGTGTCAGGAACTTAGTAGATATTAGGTTTAAGAAATTTGATGAATCAGTAGTCTTGCAGATTTAAATTTAAATTTGTAAGAATAAACATTTTAAAAGGAGTTTGTTTTAAAATTTTACATACTATGTCTTTGATATTGCTCTTTATCTATCCAAACGGAAATCAGAAAGAATCTGTAATATCTGCTTAATCCTTGTGAGAATCACAGGCGAAAAGCTTCAGTTGTTTTAAGCTGCTGCTGATTGGGAGATGTTGTTTTCTGAAAGAAAAAATGCCCAGCTCTTTCTTAACATCCCATTTGCCTTATTTCCTGTGGCAGGAGTGCAAATCACTGCATGGAGAGTATGCTGGACGAGCCTGTGGCCATGATCACCCCTATGTGCCAGATGTTCTGTTCTGGTCAGTGATACTGTTCTTTTCCACAGTTACAATGTCAGCCACTCTGAAGCAGTTCAAGACTAGCCGGTATTTTCCAACTAAGGTACTTTGACTGTAATTTTCCTAATCCAAATGTAAGCCAATATACAGCATGTTATGGAGTCCTACATGTTTTAGGACAAAGGAAAGAGCAAGTGATGGAAGGAAAGGGGCTATAAAAGGACTTTTGTATGGCATGCCAGGTTAGAGGCGGGGTGGGGTGAGGGGGTGATAAGGAAGCATTTTGTGATTCAGGTGCCAAGGAGGGCACCAGCCCTGCAGGCTTTTCTCCTGCCAGCCTCAAGGATCAACGCCCACTTTCCCACTTAGGTTTTTGGAAATTCAAAGCACACACTGCATTACTGATTGTCACTTTCTTGCCCAGTGAACAGTGGGAACTATTCCAACCTGACAGATACCTCAGAGGAACCACTCTTACATTCTCTAATTGGGGAAGCCCCTGCAAGACTTATTGGAACACTATTCTCTTTTTCGGCTTTTAAAGCGTCAGTCCCTCCCCCTAACCCTCCATGTTTGCATCTGCATATTTGGAAAGGAAAGTAAACAGAGAAACAGCTTAGTTCAATATTTAACACTGCAAAGTAACACCTATAATGTCTGATTTCGCCAAAAAAAAAAAAAAAGTATAAGAAACAAGGAAACAAGCTTTTTATGGTTGAGCTATAGATTTTGATAAAAATTCTTCTGAGAAAATGTTTCAAGAACTGTTCCCTTCAGAAAGGGCTTCTGTTTTAGTCTCTTTCTTCCCTAAGGTGGAAGATTAATTTCTTCCCACTAAGCTTAATCTGATTAATACAAAATTATTTTTTGTAAGTTTAAACAGTAATCTTAAGTGTTTAAAAAATTATTTGTGTATATAAAGATCCTAAGAAAAAAACAGATCTTATTAATAATTGTGTAAGGATATTTGCTCAAAAATGGATTTTTAAAAGAGAAATAACTTGAAAAACTGGCTTATGCAGAATACATTTAAAATTGAATAAATTTTAAATTTGCCTCCTCTGTTGTTTATATTACCAAGTGCCATACTTGTATCATAGATAAACTAAGTGCCATACTTGTATCACAGATAAACTAAAACATTGAGCTTCTTCAATAAAAACAGATACTTTTATTTTACAATGCCTTTGACTAATCATATTAAAATGTTTCCCGTGGACTTGAAAAGGAGTCCTAAAATTTTGTCAAATTTTGTCCATGCAACCTTATTCTGTGTTCTGAATTTTTACACACCCAGGTTCATAATAAAGTTAGATTTTAAGTAGGTATTTTAACAACACAACCACCATTATATCTATTCCATAATTCTTTATTCTGGAAATGTTAAGTGTGTACTCTCTGAAATGACAGAGATACATAAATATATATTCAGGTTCTGACAGACCTAATGGTAATATTATAGTATACATGAAATATATTATGATATTATGTCATAAAGTGTTTATAAAGTGTGACTCTAGATTGTGTTCTGAGTACTTATTGGTATTTATAGCTCCTTCAAGTGACAAGTGTTCTTATTATTTTTAGGTTCGATCCATAGTGAGTGACTTTGCTGTCTTTCTTACAATTTTGTGTATGGTTTTAATAGACTATGCCATTGGGATCCCATCTCCAAAACTGCAAGTACCAAGTGTTTTCAAGGTGAATTTATCATAGCACTTAACATCTATCATCTATCTCTCCCTTTCTCTAGGTTCAATCTTCATCAAGATGAAGTCTGTAACCTTAGCACTTCTTATTTTCATGAAAATATATAATATACATCAGTAGAGCAGTAAATTAGCTACGTGTAGTATGTCTAAAACTTTGGTTTAGTATTAAAAATAAATAGTAATCATAGAAATAAAAACCCAAGGATTGCTTGAAAAAAATTCCTGTCAACTTCCATAAAATCAACACTCTAAAAGATCAGGAAGGATTTTGAAGCTAAGGGAAATGCATTATCTTGAGACAGTGAGTAGGGCTTGAAAAATAGATTAAGATAGGCCTAGAACAGAATTCTGGCCTTGAGCCAGTTACTAACCCTCTCTGAACCTCAGTTTTCTCATTTGTAGAACAGGGGTGGGAAATTCCTCATAGTATTGTTGCCAGAATGAATTTCTTTGAGACTCTTCTTCAGCATCATTCATGTTTAGAACCCTATCCCGAGCCTCTGATGTGACAAAATTATTACTCCATCTTCACACAATAGCCTATGCCTACATCTAAAATAAATGACTACATTCTATTGAAATATTTTGTTTATATGTCTTTCGGTGATTCTAAACTGAAAGAAGGTTCTGACCTAGTTATCTTTGTGTATCAGTTTTAGAAGAGTAGTCAATGTATTATTTGTTAAAATAAATAAAATTTCCAATTGTAAAGGGTAAATATTGATTTTTTTACTGCAGGTATTGATTGAGAATATAGATTTTTGAGCTAATTTGTCAGAGTTTAAATTCCATCTCTATTACTTATTGTTACTTACTTTGGGACCTTGAGCAATTTACTAGATCTGTATGCCTCATTTTTTTTTAATCATCTTTAGAATGTTGTGAAGAAAAAAAATGAGTTAAAATAGTTAAAGCACTTAGAGTGATGACTGTTATCTTATAAATGCTTCATGAATACCATGAATATTAATTATGGGCCACTCAGTTTGCCAGTTTATAATTAGGGATTTCCTGGTAGTATTTCTAAGACTTAATTTGATTCAGTATCTATTAATCCAGCTGCTAATATGTACACTCATTTATTTTCCTCAGCCTACCAGAGATGATCGTGGCTGGTTTGTTACACCTTTAGGTCCAAATCCATGGTGGACAGTAATAGCTGCTATAATTCCAGCTTTGCTTTGTACTATTCTAATTTTTATGGACCAACAGATTACAGCTGTCATCATCAACAGAAAAGAGCATAAGCTAAAGGTATATTTTAACATCAATTTCAAAATAAGTAATTCTGATTTAACTGATAGTAATCAACTTTGCCTGTATTCTGTATTCATTTGCACATTGAAATACTAAAATCATATTTTGGGGTTCATAACTTTGGGGGGAATACCAGGGATTGAACTCAGGGCACTTGACCAATGAACCACATCTCAGCCCTATTTTGTATTTTATTCAGAGACAGGATTTCACTGAGTTGCTTATCCCCTTGCTTTTGCTGAGGCTGGCATTGAACTTTTGATCTTCCTGCCTCAGCTTCCTGAGCAGCTGGATTAGTGCCACTGTGACCATTGGGGTTCATAATTTTTATTGTTTTGCAAGACACTTTATCTTAAAATACAATGAAAAATTTGTTAGTAGCACTTGGGTAAGCATTAGTCTTAGAATCTTACCTTCAGGACTGAGGAAAAAAAAAAACATTGTCAATTTTCTAATTTTAGCATGTTTAACATACTTTAATGAAGTAATTTCGGTTAAGTACAGCTTTAACAACTTATCTTACATCTGGGATTCTCTGTTCCTTTATTTGATCCTAACTATGCCTATTACATGCAATTGCGTTGCATTAATTAGTAGAACAAATTACATGTCCAGATATTTCTCGTTTTAATCATTATTCTGTTTGTAATGCCTATAACAACAAAACTCAGTCACAAATATTAATAGTTTTTAAGTGATATTGTTTTAATTCTATGGAAAATTTTGATAGCTTTTTTTTACAAGGAGAATAATTAATTTTGGATATATCTTATATACAATATTCTGACCCTACCATTTTGCTACTTTGAACAACCATTTTTCACTGGTATTCAATTTTTCTTAGATATGTGATATGAGTACTATCATTTAAAGGAATGAGTTAAATAAAATCAATTAAGTCATTGAATGATTAAAAATAATCAAAATAAGTCCTTGTAAAAAGAGAACATGTTCAATCTTGTTTTGTTTTAGTATCATTGGGGTTTGGAGATTGCCAGCTCACATACACTTATTCTATGGGGGAAAAATCATTTTCAGAGTAACAGAAATCATGGATTTTGTAAATATATTAGAATGATTAAAAAATTAGACTTTTGGTGAATATAGTAATGAGATAAGAAAGCATAATTATTTGTAATAAATCTTACTAAGGAAGTGCATCTATCTTAAAGAGCTTTCTTCATTCTCTTTGTAGAAAATAACTTAAGATGCTGAATGTTTAAAAGGTATTAATTCAATTTACTTAGGGTTTTTATTAAATAAAATATTCAATTATTAACGAAATATATTTTAAAACATCTCATAAAATCTTATGAACTAGACCAGTGGAGTGTTGGTCTAGTTTAATACCAGGTGAACAACCAGCTCTCTTATGTAAAAAAAGGAGACCCATATTTACCATATGTGCTGATTTCCATAGTGTGACTATTCCCAACATGGCCATTTTGAACTATCAGTGGGACATAAACTGGCAGGAAAATTCTACTTTTTAAATTTTTATTTGTTTTCATTAACACATCAGTTAACCTCAAGAGATGCAAAAGAAGCATTTGATAAAATTCATGATAAAAGCTTTGAAGAATTTAGAAGGATCATACTTCATCAATTAAAAAAATCATATATGATAAACCCACAACTGAAATCTTATGAATTGTGAAAAATCTGAAAGCATTTTCTCTAAGAAACCAGACAAGGGTGTCTTCTCTTGCCACTCCTATTCAATGCAGTACTAGAAATTTTAGCCAAAGCAATCAGGCAAGAGAATGAAATAAAAGGAATATGAATAGGAAAGAAGGAAGTCAAATTATCCCATTTACAGGAAAATTTTTTAAAATTAAATAATTTGCTCTCATAAGTTTAGATGGATTGGTTTAATAGTCTCCTTATTTATTTATCTATTTATTTGTTACCAGGAAATGAACTCAGGGGCACTTGACCACTTAGCCACATTCCCGGCCATATTTTGCATTTTATTTAGAGATAAGATATCACTGAGTTACTCATCATCTCACTTTTTTTTAGATTTTTTTATTTATATATGACAGCAGAATGTATTCTAATTCTTATTACACATATAGAGCAAAATTTTTCATATCTCTGGTTGTATATACAGTATATTCACATCAATTCATGTCTTCATACCTGTACTTTGGATAATAACCTCACTGTTGCTGAGGCTGGCTTTGAACTCTGGATCCTCCTGCCTCAGCCTCCTGAGTAGCCTTTAATAGTGTCATTTTTTAATATCAATAATTTTAAAACATTTCCTTAAAAATACCAGCATTATACAAAATCAAGCATCACCAGGACTTTTTATTATAATGTTACATAGTTACTTGAGTAGACCTATAAAACAAGTTTTAGAACATTATGTTAAACATTGTGTTATCCTGCAATTCTCTAAAATGTAGGAAAACATTTTATACTAAACACCTGTTTATTTTTTAAAAAACTAAAAGCATCTCTGTTTTCTGATTTTAAATTAAAACATGATTTTGATTTAAAATCAGATAATATGAAAAATTAAAGGACAAAGTTGAAAAACACTATAATTTTATGGCCTAGAGATAATATTGTTTACATTTTGATATATAGTTAAGTAGATATTATCTTTTTCTTCCTTCCATCTGTCCGCCTTTCTGTTTTTCTTTCTCATTCTTTCTTTTCTGGGGATCAAACACAGGATAAGTATGTGTTCTACTACTGAGCCCAAACCCTGCAGCCCCAGCTTTAAGTATGTATTTTCATACCATATATATTCATTTTTTTTTCATGGAAGAATATTATTGTGGAGATCATCCCATTTCAGCAATGTAATTTTTTTTCATTCTTAGTGACGGCATATAATTACATGACATTTAAAAAAAATAAACTAAAAGACTGATATTGTAAGCAGAAAGTAGGCCATTCAGTCATTGATTACCTTTCAAAAGAAGTTTGCTTTAGCCCTTATAATAAGGGTAGAATTCCATTGATTTTGCTGAAATATTACCCTGTGTGTAGGTTATCAGTTAAACTGATTCAGACAGTATTTTCTCCAAGTACTAATGGAGTCATATTAAAACAAACTGGAAGTAAATGAGGATTTGCTTTCTGTGTTATTACCTTCTGAGCCATTCTGTATCCTGGCCCTTTTGAGGTTTCTCAACCTCATGAATTGCCTAGCCTTTGTTCTTGCTCCTAATTCTTCATCAGCCTATTGTAGGCCCTTAATATCACAGCTCCAAAATCTACATACTGTTCTCCCCCTTGTACACACAGTGTAGAATAACCAGAATATAGTAATACATTCTTCAAGTGGTCCTTTCATATACTTTCATTGACAGGATGGAAATGCAGAACTAAAACATTTAATATTTTTGTCACTGAAATTAACCTGAAGCTACATAATTAAACTTTTTGTATTATGTAAATAAGTAACTTTGTATTCAGAAGGTTCATATTTTTACCCCTTAGTATCAGAAACTTAGTATCAGAAACTTGGACTTAGTATCAGAGCAAGTCTGGCTTGACTCTGAGCTCTGTGGTATTGCTATCAGTAGAGGAGTCAGTGGGGTCTTGGTTACTCTGAGCCTGAGCACCCTGTCCTTCTTGGATGTAGATAATTTCAAAACAAGTTTCTTCCATTGGATACATGATTTATCCACAATGAACATTTAATTTTGTTCTATAACCCTTGTCTTCTTTAACTTTGCTTTGCTGCTGATTTCTTGTTAACAACAACAAAAATATCACCTCTTAGAACACTGTTTACTTAGAAAAACAGTTGGTTTCATGGCCGCTCTCCCTTCCTGCTGCTTCACTGAAACATTTGCAAAAACTCCTGACTTTGGCTTGAACCACATTTTCACACACACAAAAAAAATGTTTCTTGAATATACTTCCAGACCACAAGTTCACCACATCTCAGCTTTCGTAAGTTTTCTTTTCTTTTCTTTTTTTTTTTTACCTGAAAACACGTTTTTGCTCTGGTTGGAACATTCCCTGAAAATTTTTTAATGAGTTTTGTTTTCTAGTTACTGTACCTTTCTAGTTAATATACCAAGCACCTTGTAGATTCTACATCCTATTATCTAAGTCTATATCATAACTCTAAGTCACTCCAGAATTAATTTGTTTTTATCTCTTCCAAACATATTTTAGATCTTTTCAATTTCATCATCAGAACTAGTAGTTAGTTTTCTTTTAGACAATGTTTCTCATGCCAGTAAAAAAAAAATCATTTCATAAGTGTTACTACATATACAAACCTTGCTGATCTACATAGGCTAAGCCTAACTCACTGGCTAAGTGACTCATTGCAATAAGAATGAGGGAGAACAAAATAAGCAAAACTCTAACTCATTGCATCTTATGATCCTTTGGGTCATATGAAGAGTGAAAGAAGCTGCAAGTGTGAAAATCTGAAATGAAAAGTATCATATATTACTTATAGTTATACATATAAATCCATATCATCTCCAGCATTTGTATATTTGTTTGTTTCTTCCTCATAGAAGTGGGATAGGCATAGGTTAATGGAATCTCTTTAAAAAGCATTGAAAGTAACAGCTTGTTTTTTTTTTTGTTGTTGTTGTTTTTAAGCTTACTCTCAGAAAGTGTAAAGAGAAAGACATTATCTTGCAGAAAAGAAAGTTTCTGTTAAGATACAACTATGGGCTTTTCTACATGTTTCTGTAGACAGTTCAGGCTTCTCTTGACATCATTTTTAATAAACAGCAATACAATCCCAGATCACTTGAGTAAATGAATGCGTTTGCAACATTCATTTGGCACCACATTCTCTTGATGATTATGGCATTTGATATGTTCTTTTTTGCCCTCTTTGTCAGCCTGGTTCTTCATGTCAATCTATAGTCTTTTATGTGGTTAACTTGACAGATGCAGGAAATTGCTGCCAAGCTTTGAAATGAATTTTTTCAGCAGTGGCATCTGGGTATCAGATGGTCCTTTTGGCTGGCCTCTTGTCTTGCTGCATGTTGGTTTTAGTGGGGTCTGGTGTAGCATCACCTGTTGCTATGCTCCCTTTTCCTCCCATATGTCCATTTTCCATGATTCATGGATGAATGTGAGAATAAAAACTCCAGTTCTGTCTTTATTTGAGAAAAAAAAGTCTACAGAAATATGTTAGAAGGTGCAGAGTTCTCTCTCTGACAAAGGGATAGTTCCCTTTGGCTGGCATGCCTATCAGCTAATAATTTGGTTACAAAGACCAAGTTTTTAAAGGCACTTCTAATGAAAGGCAAGAATAAAGTTGCTGATTAATTAGTGGAAGTGCCAGAACAACTTTATTTCCTTTGGTTTGCATAAAATCAAGATGCCCCCATTGTTGTATGGCATAATGAGGGGGAAGTTGTCTTGTTTTTTTTTTTTAATGATATATTTGTATATAACAAAGCTAGCTTTCTAAATTTTAAAAGGAAATTATTCCCTCTGAAAAAATTGTTTTGTCCATTTTCATCATTCCAGAATTACACTGTTCATATTGTATCACATTATAAAATCACTCAATAGGAGTTATAGAAAATCTCCATCATAAGGAAGATCTTCCTCCCATTATTAAATTGTAGTGAACATGGTTCCTGAGCAAGTCCAGGATGTGCTAAAAGCACAAACTAGACTCTGATATTCATCTTGTGGCCTCCAGAACTTTTTACATCCTCCATCCTCTCCTAGCAGCACCACAGCTTTGCTACAAGCTTTAGGGGCACATTCATAACCATTCCTTCAGATTTAGGGCCTTAAGGAGGTAGATCCTTCACTCACCTTTATCATTGTCTCTCAGTCCCAAAGACAAAACATTTCTGGAACTGCTTAGGGCAAACTCTAAAGGAATCAAAATTTGACTTCTATATGACAGAAGCACATCTTCCAAAATGTTTGCAGAAGGGTCAAGGGACCACATTATAGCCCTAGTAAAACACCTTCCTACTGCCTTTTAGGTTATGCTGACACCAGGATTCTCTTCCCATTTTCCAAATCTTTTAATGAAAATCTTCCCTGCATTGCTTACAAAAGAAAGTTTCCAGAATCATATACATCAGGGGAATAGTTCTAGTGAACATTTTAGTGAACTGTAGCATTGCCCCAGATATCAGTTGACTCAAGGAAGTGCTTCACTGAGCTGGTGACAACATGGGGATGTGGGGGGGGGGGGTTAGGTGGATTCCCCCCCCCTTTTGTCATTTTTAATGATTTAGCAGGGATAAACAAAAAAGAAAGGAAGTACCAGTAACTTTGAGAATCTTTTTTAAAAGAAAATAATTAACAAAACAAAATAACAGAAAATGCTACTATGACAGATATGCAACAAATAAGATTCATACTTTAGACTCTGTGAGCTTTTGTATTAACTATAAGCTGCTTGTAGTTTGACAAAACTGCCTCCAAAAATGCCAAAGTTGTTTTATTGAAGAATTGGTCACTGCTGCTCATGGTCAGACCAAATTTAACTGTTATATCTTATTTTATAATTAAAATAATTAAGTTTAATTCTAAGAGAAGTTTCAATGATATATATTTCCTTTTAAAACAAGTCAATCTGTAACTTTTATTGGTTACTTCATGTGTGTTAATTATTGTGCTAGAAACTGTGAAATATTGAGAAATTATATGACAGATTATCTGTTCTTAAGAAACATAGTTTTATTGAGGAGCATTGAAACAAAATGTGTACAAAAGAAAAATGTGTTGTCCAACTGCTAGAATGCAATGGTACTTAATGTTCATTGAGTGCTCTCCATAGACCATACATAATACTAAATGATTTTCAAAACTAAATAATTCAATTCCCATGACAACCCAGTGATGTGCTTTCTGTTATCATCACCAGTTTTCAGATAGGTGACACAATAGACAAAGAGATATACCTAAGGTCATTGGTTGAGCTGGCATTTGACCCCAGGCCATTGGTCTCCAGAACCTATTCTTTTAACCACTTTATTATACTGCCTCTGATACAGTGGTATCTTTGCAAAATTAAAAATAAGAATTGGAACATAAAATAGGCCAACTCTTTGCTACCTCAGAGGTTTTACCCTTTAAGTTCCTGCAGGACCCAGTGAGAGAGGGGAGCAGTGCTCTTGCCCATCCTCGAGTTCTCCCTCAGAGAATGGACCTAATCACCTATTGATATCAGCCTCCTCATATCTATCCCACTTATTTTCCTTTCTTAAACTTTCTGTGAAGCACTTAAATTTGCAACACCTGGAGGTTAATGATAGTGGAGTAGAAATACAGAGGAGATTAGTAACATCAGAATGGAAATACAGAGGAGATAGAAAACATAAAAACTAGCATTTTAAGAAAGACTGATATTTTTCTAGTGCTGAAAGAAAAACTTTTTGAACTAGATCACACTATATTGAGATAAATTGAGCATAAAAAGGGAGCCTTGGTTCTATGATATTACTCTTCCCAATGGAAAGCCACCCACTGAGATATCAGAGAGCAACTGGAAGAATGTTTAAGAGTTTACCTGGAGAAGATCCACTGTGGAGGGCCTTTGGGATATTATCAGGATGAGGATTCTATTCACAATCAGGCCATCCTTTAGCTGTTTTATTGATGGTTTCTTTTCTTTCTGCTTTTTAACAGAAAGGTTGTGGGTACCATCTGGATCTATTAATGGTGGCCGTCATGCTTGGAGTATGCTCCATCATGGGCTTGCCATGGTTTGTGGCTGCCACAGTCCTTTCCATCACTCATGTCAACAGCCTGAAATTGGAATCAGAATGTTCAGCTCCAGGAGAACAACCCAAATTTCTTGGCATTCGGGAACAAAGGGTTACTGGGCTTATGATTTTTATTCTCATGGGATCATCCGTCTTTATGACCAGCATTCTGAAGGTAATGGAATGTTTTTATGAGTTTGAGAGAAAGCAGAAAATGCATATTTAAAGATTTCACTTGAATCTAAGGAACATATTACAAATATTGTATGGCATGTGATGAAAGTGATGAATTTTTTTATCATATTTATGCAATTCTTCTTAAACTGAAGGGAAGAAATTATGTCCTATAGTTTAGAATCCTTAGATATATAAAGATTTTCAATGGCAAAATAAAAATCATTGTGTAAACTATTATAATAACTTTGAAATGATGATCAAGCTTTGGAAAAACATCACTCATTTCTGATTGACTGTGACCTGAATTCACTTTTAGGGTACTTCACAAACTGAAGTTTCTGATTTTTTATCAATGGAAAGATATATTAGCAACTAATATTACCTGCTATAAGTTAGCTGTGTAGAAATGAGCATAGCCATGCTTGTGGTCAAATATCCAGTTTTATACTTTAAGTGCTCCATCATACTATTGCATGGACATCATCATTACATATACTTACTTTTTTACATTTAAAATATTTTAATTCATTTTGAAGAGCACTACATAGTACTTATTTTGTCATGTAATTTGGCAGATATTTCTGAATTATGTTAATTTCACTATAAATTATAACTAATTTTAGTTGCCTGTAATTTGAAAATTTTAATTGAATTATTTAATAATTTTCACAAGTTTACTTGTATTTAATCACTGAAATTTTTGCAAGAATTAATTCATGTCGTGTAAGTAATTATAAAGGTGGATGATGATGAGCTATTTCAATAAAAAGAGATAGTATGAACAACACATGATTACAAATATCTACTATAATCTAGGAACAACTTTTCAGTGTAAGATCCATTCTTCCTCTTTTAATCCAATTATCTTGCCATTGTGAAATAAAATTTAAATTGTCTTTCAAGTTGCATATCAGTTATTTTTTATTGTTAAATAAAAATATTAATAATTGTTAAAACTCTTATTTATTGTGCGTAATGTGGTTTCTGAAATAGTTTTTCACCTATTACATATTGATAAGAACCCTATTGTTATCATCATTTTTTAGATAGTGAACAACTAATGCACAGAGCTTAAATAATTTACATAAGCTTCCAAAGTGCTAAAGGTCTGATTTGAATCCATGTCTTCTGGTTCTGTATTATATTGCTTCAAAAATACATTTTGTATCTGTTTCCACCCCCACTTTTGGCTAAATGAAAAACAGCATGCCAATGTATTGGAAAATAATTTGTGCCTTTTCTCTAATTGCTCTTTTACAGTTTATTCCCATGCCAGTGCTATATGGAGTATTTCTTTATATGGGTGCTTCATCTCTAAAGGGAATTCAGGTAAGCTACTTACAGTACTACAGGCACATCTGTCATGACTTATCTTAGGGTTTGTTGATGTTGTGTCATATGACAGCTGAGAAAACAACATCATCTGAAGAGTGGTTTTCAGACCACAATTAAATTGTTCAAACTTTTCAGAGTTGCAAAAGTTAAAAAAGACCCTCTTCAGCATCCAATGTTCTTAATTTTAGGGTACTTTTATTTACCATAAATATATTAATATTTTAAGAAGTTTAGCATTTATACCTTTTATTGATATTAACAGCAGTACCTTTCAAGATATATCCAAATACTTATAGTCTTTGACACTTTAATCATATTTATGGACATCTATCCCTGACAATAGAAAAATATGCACAAAAATGCTCATTCTAATACATGTTATTATTATCCAATAGCAGTAAAATGAGTAAGCAATTAGACAGTCACTGAACATTGATAATTATGATGCCTACCAAGGTAATATGATAAAGATACTTATGATGTAATACAAAGTGAAAAAGTACCTACCATATGTTTATAAAGCTAATAGATTGAGTTGGATTAAAATGAAAGGTGGAGGAAAAAATGTGTTAAGATAGTGAGATCCTGGATGATTTGTTTTCCTTTTATATTTTTTTCTGTTATTACAACTGTATCTATAGAATTATTTTTTAAGATATAGGGTAAGGCAGTTTCAAATATAAAAGAAATTTTATACATTGTTAAAATATTGGTTAAATTATCGTGTTAGGCACTGTATTAGTTTTCCGTGGTTGGCAAAAATTTACTTTACAATCCCATAGCTCAAAACAACAAATCTTTATAAGCTCACAGTTTCTGGGGGTCTTGAATTCAGGAACAGATTAGTTGGGTGGTTCTGGTTCAAGATGACTCATGTGGGCCTGTCAGGATGTTGTCAAGGGCTGCAGACATCTGGAGCCTCCACAGTGTTTCAAGATTTACTTCAGGATGACATATCACATGGGCATGGGCAAGAAGCATCATTCCTTTGTGGATTTTGGTTGGAGATTTCAGTTTTCTTGCCACAAGGGCCTCTCCATAGGATACTTAAGTGTGCTCACAACAGGGAAGCTAACTCCCAGAGAGAGGAAGTTCTAATGACTTTTGACTTACCCTCCAGAATTGCATGTAGTCATGCTTCACATTTTCTATTTGTTAAAGGTAAGTACACTCTAAGTCTAGCTTTGAGCACAGAGAAATTAATTAAGATGTTATCTTTCAAAGATAAGAGTATCAAAGAATTTGTGGACACATTTAAAACCCTCTATAAGTGTATTCTAAATAATTGTGGATGCTATTGGCAAATTCTTCCTGCTTATTTCTTTTATGATGTTTTATGGGTTGGATAGTGAATGTTCCCTCAAAATTCACATCCATCTGGAATCTCAGAATATTATCCTATTTGTAAATAGGGTCTTTGCTGATGTAATCAGATACTTGGTACACTCCCAGTCTAATAACTGGGGTCCTTATAAGCCGAGAAGAGGACACACAGAAACACAGGAAAGAGAGGCTACATGAAGGTGGAAGAAACGATTGGAAGTTTGCTGCCATAAGGCAACAATGCCAGGAGCCCCAGGAGCTGGAAGAGGCAAAGGAAATTTTCTTCCCTAGGGCCTTCAAAAGGATTATGGCACTGCCAACATTCTGGTTCAGATTTCTGGCCTCTGCAACTCTGAGAGAATAAATTTCTATTGTATTAAACCAGAAAGTTGTGATAATTTGTTATGGCAGCTCCAAAAAACGAATACAGATTTCTACTTAATTTTGCCTTTGAATAATCTTATTTTATAACTTAATATTATTTAGCCAAACCACTTCAATATTCCTGAAAAAGAGATTAAATTCAAGCCTTATTCACTGAGTAGTTTATTTTTTTGTTACCTAAGAGAAAAATATAAATTACAGCTTTTTCTATGACATAGCTGGTCCCATTGCTGTTCAGAACATACAGAAGAACAGTCACTTGACTGAGGAACAGCACCATGGGTCTTTGTTCCTGAGTGAATGGCCAGTTTCTGACTTTGAGAATAGCAGCATGTAAGCCTTTGGATAGTGCTAGGTAACAGAATTGAGGTGTAACTTCAATGCAAAGTCATTATAAAATCACTGAACACACAAAGATTGTATGTCTTTGTTCATCTTGACTCTGGGTAAAATTAACTCGGGAGAGGGGGATGGTTGAGAAGTGTTATGTGTTTAAATTTTCCTGGGATATAATTTCATTTGTTCATTTTAAAGTATCTTTTGGTAGAACTGAATTGGTAAGGCAGATAAAGAAGAGTATGGAAGAGGTTTTATTTATTTGTTTTTCTGATTTTTTTTTAAATTGCCTTTGGCAAAAGTTCCATGAGTACTAATTTCATCTGTAAGTGAAAAGTATTTATTATTAGGCCCCAGGCTCACATAAATACAACAGCAGAAGTTAAACAAAGTAAAATCATTTTGATAGGTTTCAACAGATTTCCCCCCCTAATTCAACTCATATGATTTTATACCCATGTGGTTTAGAATTAAACAAGAATGTCAAGTTTGGAATTATTTGGGAAGTGATTCTTTGAAATAAAAATTGAAGAAAACATTAACAAAGCCCCATGAGTTAAGTAAAATGAGTTTTAAATACACAAATGAACAGCAAAACAGGGTACACCTGGACAAATAGCATCTCACACTGAGAAACAAGCTTAGTGAAAATTTAAGTGAGCTCCACACTCAGCAGTTGAAATTCCTAATGGGAATTGTAGCTAACTGGGCAGGGAAATGGAATATTGACATTATGATATAATAAAAGCCAAATGCAAAACTTAAAATACATCTATCATGAGTAATAATAATTAAATGTGTTAAATAGCTATGGTTCAAGGAATATGTTACTTTGTTACCCTATACATTGAAGAAATCTATTACCTTATGGGCAATATTAAGAAACTTTTATGTAGGTTTCTCAATGTGAAACATGGCAGAAAAAACAGATCACAGTGTTCTCATGAACGCTGTTTCCGTATTCAGATATATAACCACATCTATATTCATTCTAACACTTTGGGAATCCAAAGTAAAGCAAATGTGCCACTTAAACAATAACAATTGAAGCACCCACACACTGAAGTACACTTATGCAATAACATAGCTTCATAAATGGAGAAATGGTAGTTAGGGAAAATTAGTTGTATAGAAATGGAAATTTTCAGTTGTAAGCCAAAGGATTTTATTTCTCCCCTATTCTTATCTTCACTGTGCCCAAAGTTTTATTTGTATGCTTAATGATTTCTAATTTTAAGAGGTATTTGAGAAGTATTAAATAAAGAGACCTAATGGTATGTGTATGGACAGTATGGAGAGAGATGAACCAGGAATGAGTTTAGCACTTAGTACTCTTAATAGAAAGTTTCCATAAGTATTTTGGAAGGTAAATGAATGGACACTGGATGAATTAATGTGCACAAGATTCTGGTTTAGATAAATGGGCAGAGGAAGGTCCTGCATTCTGTAAGATAGAATACAGAAGGACAGAGGTATATATTGAGTCTGGAATTTCTAGTATATGAACAAATAGGGTTTGGTAAAATAGGACCCTAACAGTTTGACTATGGTCAGTTGTTCCTCTGCAGATTTGAGTAATTTTGAAATATATGATGAAAACTGCTAGTTCTTTCTTATAAGTTAACTAAGAATATTGCTAATTTTAATGTTACCCTTTTAACAACACATATATTATTGTAGAAATGGCACAAAGAAGAACAGTGACTATGATTGAAAGTCATAGTATTTTCTAAATAATAACCTCATGCCAGAAACTGAAAATGGCAGAAATTTCAGAAAAACTAAAATGACCACCACAAAATAAAATTACTATGCACTACAAAGTGTTACTAAGTAAAATGTAAGGAAGATTTAAGCTTCTGGTGAAATTTTAATTTATTAACTTGGGTGCTTGATAAAAATGGCCTCAAAGTCAAAGCACAACAGTAATGCAGTCAAAAATAATGCTACTACATGGCAAAATTGAAACAGAAAATAACATTGATTTATGTAAAATAATTCAAATAAAATATGATTAAAAACCATAAATGGTTTGACAGTGCAATATAGTATATTAGTCAAGAAGTTAAAATTCTCTCTGGAAAACAATTTTTTAACAAAAATCTATATAGATTAAATCTTTTTTTTTCTTTTGTATATGTAGATTTTACTGGAGGTTTGGGGTGAATGCTAATGGAGGATAAGCATACCCAATATGGAAAAAACAATTTAAACTATGAATATAAGTAAACCTGATCTTAATGATCTCTTTGGATATCTCTGTCACCAAGAACTTTGTGAATTTTGAATGGCCAAACCTTAAAAATTTTTAATAACACAAAATTGTACATCTATATGAGGTTGATTATATTATACAATACACACTGATGAAATCAGGGTGATTAACATTTTCATCCCCTTATCATTTGTGTTTTGAGTCTTTGAACTTTTCTTTTCTAGCCATTCTTAAAAATATATAGTTGGTCATTTTGAACTATAGTCACCTCATTGTGTTTTAGAACACTAGCACTTAGTACTTTTTCTGTTTTGATACAACCTATTGAATCCTTTACTATCTTTCCTCCTCGGTTTTTAGTCAGTTTGTGTGTGTGTGTGTGTGTGTGTGTGTGTGTGTGTGTGTGCTATAATCAAAAGATTTGGCAAGAGCAACTGTAGAGGAAGAAAGGTTTATTTAGTACTCATGGTTTTGGAGGTCTCACTCCGTTGTTCTGGGCTTAAGGTGAGGAAGAACATCATAGCAGAAGGGCATGGCAGAGGAAAGCAGCTCAGGACATGGTACCAGGAAGCAGAGAGAGAAAGAGAGCTCACCCCAAATGCAGGACCCCTAAGACCTGTCTCCTCCAGTCACATCCTACTTACCTACAGTTAACTTCTGTTAATCTATATCAGAGGATTAATCCACTGATTGGCTCACAGATCTCATAATCCAATCATTTTGTCTCTTATATAGGTTAAATATTTATGGTTAAAAAGTTTGTGTTTGTAAAGACAGCATCAAAACCATTGTTGGGGATCTAAGTGGCAAAAGGAGCAGAGTTCAAATAAGGAACTCAGAACATCCTCCACAGCATCTGGGTGGGGTCTGGAACTCAGAGAGGTAACTGAGGGAGACAGCCAGTTTGGGAGTCATCAGGAAGTATGTTAAAGTGGAAAGATGAGAACTGAGGATAGAAGAGAACTGAGCTTGGGAGTACAGGAATCCCCAGTATTTGTGGAGGAAAAGGAGGAGATTGTGATGTGACAAGAATAAAGATGACCTTTTGCCCTCAGGACTCTACTCTCCAAGGTAGCACTGACTTTGGCTTTACTATTTAGCATTTAGCACTGGCATTACTGTTGTTATACTCTACAACCTGTGCGGTTGTAAACTAAAATTGTAGTATTTCAGTGTGGTGTATCAATCTCATTGATGTCCAATTATCACAGATACATTATGTCAACCTAAAATTTGGGGACTGTATTAAATATCTGCCTTTCTATTTCTATTGTTGTCTTATTACTAAATGTAATTTAGTCTGCTTAATCTTTTAGTTATTTGATAGGATAAAGCTCTTCTGGATGCCTGCAAAACATCAACCAGATTTTATATATCTACGGCATGTACCACTCCGAAAAGTTCATCTCTTTACAATTATTCAGATGAGTTGCCTTGGCCTTCTGTGGATAATAAAAGTTTCAAGAGCTGCTATTGTCTTTCCCATGATGGTATGAAACTTGTACCCACTCTTTTCCTCTGATTTTGGGGTCCCTTTGGAAACACATGAACTAAAATTGGAACAAAAGAGTCTGATTAGAAACCTTAGTATGGGGTTTGAACAACCATTGGAAACCCTACTATAAACTTTGGCACTAAAATTAGTGACAAAGATAGGGACTGAAAATGATCATGAATTTGATTCATATTAGTTTTGTCTATATTATTCTGAATGTTTGTTATAATATGAGGTAATTTACCCTAGGTGAAAAAATATAAACTTTCAAAATTTAGCATCAGGGGCATTTTTAAGTGAAATTTAATTAAATATTTCCAAGAAGTTTCAAATACTTCAAAAACTATAGTGAATTTAATGATGTAATTTTTAAAATTCTCAACATGAATATACATATTCATCTCAAGGTTAATGTCAGCCCTAATCAAACTGACTCATTTCTACCAAAAATAATTGAATCTATATTTCCCACTTTTATTCTTTAAATCTTAAGCTGTTTTATTATTTTCTTCAGGTGTTAGCCCTGGTATTTGTAAGAAAGTTGATGGACTTCTTATTTACCAAACGAGAACTCAGCTGGTTGGATGATTTAATGCCTGAGAGTAAGAAAAAGAAACTAGAAGATGCTGAAAAAGAAGTAAGTCAGAGAAAAAGCAATGTCTCATAAAGAAGAAGAAGAAAAATAAAAGAAAGAAAAGAAAATCAGTTGCTCCTTGCAAAACTAAATTAGTATAGTTATCATTAGACAGTTATTACAAACAACCATGATGGACAGATTCGGAAGTTCAGTTTTTAAAATCATGAAGATTTAACCAGAGACAGAGGGCACCAAGATCTCACCTTAGGAAACCAATCTGTATGAAATATACAAATACTTTGTGCTTAATTAACTTCCAAATCATAAGGATTATTATTTCTCACTTATAGATGGCATAAAGTTGTTGATGCTTCACCATTTACAAGTTATGGTCATGCAATAACTATGTTTTCGTTGAAAATGTGAAGACAGAGAGAAATGAGTGAGTGAGAGAGAGAGGGAGAAGAACAGAGATGTGTTATTACTGATGGTATTTTCTAGGGAACAAAATTTTAATCAGAAGATTCTAGTGAAAAATCAGTTAGGTTTGAAATAGATGAAATGCTTAAAAGGAAAAATGATTTGCATTCAAAGTGATTTAAGATTGAATAATGTTTGAGAAACATTTTGGGTTCTATTTATTTTCATGAACTACTTATTTGATTCTATTTCATATGTTAAAACAATTTATTGTAAGTTTTAGGGCACTTATAAAGTTAATATGTTAGCTTGGATCTATTTTGAAGACTAATCATAACATTTTTAAAAGTATATAAAAACTACAAAGTATAAATGGAAAGAGAGAGAGAGAGAGAGAGAGAGAGAGAACTCATACAACATTTAGCAGAATGATTGAGCTCATAGATTGTAAAAGTAAAACAAAATTTCTATGTAAATATAAATAAGATTTAAGGAATATTTTGTGAGAATTGAACATTATTATTTCAATATTCTTATAGGTGGTTAATAAATGTATTCAGTTTTTTAATTATAGAATATTTTTTAAAGTCTTAGATATGTTCTTTCCATTGGGTAATTCATTTGTAAATGTTTCAAGAATTTTAAGTTTTGCTTAGTCATTTAGTGAACTCAGATTAAGCCACAAATCTAATGAAGTTTCTGCTCAGAATTTTCTACCAGTATGGCTACATAATGTGAATAATAATTCCTTTCTTTTTTTATGGTATTCCATTGCAGTCAATAGATTTTCACACATAGATGGATCACGATGATATATTTTTTCTGTATAAATATTTCAATTTTTCAAAATGTATAGAAGGCATATATAGAATCATACTTCTAGTATATTAATATAATATTAAATATTATAAAATTGTCATTAGTTCTCTATTTTTCTAAGTTTAATGTATTCTGATTTAAGTATTAGACATTTTTTAAAAATAATGTTTTAACTAGTATATTTTGGATCTCTTGTTTCTTTTTAGAGTGTCAGTAAATGTCTGTGTTACCCTCAGGTATTATTCAAGAAAAATATGACAGAATTTGGCACAAGCTAAATTTAAATAAGATGGACATCAGACTATTGAAATTTTAATGTCTTAAATTATTCATAGTTGATGTAATTAAAATTATTAAGATTGAAAACAATTTCTAAGAAGTTATAAATTTTCAAAGAAAGTAATTTTGAAGAGAAGGTGTGCATGTGCAAATATTTAACAATGAATCCCAGTACAATGTACAATTAAAATACACTGGTTTAAAATTTTTTAAATGTATAAATTGAATTTTTAAAAAAGCTTATTGGCCACAAGCTTCTCTATAGTTTCTCTGATAATTTTGCTATTATTAAATACATTCAGGCAATAACTTAAAATTTACTATGACTGTATTTTCTTACTTTGTTTACCTGCCTTGTCTTTACTGCTACTGGTGGAACTAGATAGCAATATTCCCAGCTATGTATAATCACTGCATTCTAGCATTCATCTTAGGCCACATCACATCATGAGACATTTTTGCTCCTCTTAGAACTTCAGTCTTAGAATTTAGAACTTTCAAAACGAAAAAATGCTGTGTAATTCCTATGTTATCTTTAATATTCTTCCCTACTATGACTGAAAGTTTCAGATTCTCCTTTTGTCTCTGAAATAGAATAGACAAAGCTGATGGTAATAATAAACTTCATAGAATTAGCTATTTCCACGGCCCAACTTTCAAAGCTGTGAATATTTGGCATTTGTATTTATGTGCCCTATATCCATTTTGCAATTTATTAATCCCATTAGGTAGGAATTCTATATAATTAGTTTCTAACCTTTTTACATTATATCCTGCTATAATCTAATGGGTATTTACTCTCTTCTGATTATGAAAAATTCTAGAAGTAACTAGTGTCCCTAAATTTCCTAGAACTCATGTTTTCTACAAGTATATAAAAATAGATTAAAGATTTATTGGGATAATTTTATGGCCAAATCCTTCAGCTCCAAAGTTGAGAGGGGAAAAAATCTTGTAATACATTCATCAGACAAGTTTATGGATCTTTAAAATTCAAATAGATAAATATAGTGAGACTTCCATGTGATCCTCATTACATGGAAAGAAACAAGAAAATCAATAATAGTCAAAAAATAAACTACAATTGAACATTAAAATGTAGTTCTCACTATTGCAAAGGCAAATAATTCTGCATCAAACTGGGGAGAGAAAAGAAAGTTTATAGATGTTTATGTTCTAACCTGGGATTAGCATTTAAAAAGTAGGATCAGGGAAGAGAGTAGGAAGATTTAAGGAGGATGACACTAAAAGTTAAATCTCTGGTTGATTTTCTACTTGGTTGCCTAGATCTTGATATTTTATTTCTTGAGCTTAAGGACTCCACTAGAGGATGTGATCTTCTTAACTATGGCATCTTGTACCAAGGCCCAGTCTTCCAGGAGATTTTGCATTAAGGTGGCAAATGGACAAGTTCTGCAGAACTGTTTCATTTCTGCAATTGCTCAAATTAATTGAGTAACTTTGATCATGATCTGGCAAGATAGTAAATAGCAGAAATGTCTCAGCTCCCTGAGAGTTGAATTTAAAGTGAGCTCACCTCTTGTCCTTTTGGTGATAGTTACAAGTTTGTACCTTTATCCTCTAGGGTTTTCCTATCAGTAGCCCATTTATGGTCTTATGGCACTGAAAAAGCATTCATTTGACCTTAAAATTCAATAATGAGTTAAGCAGAATAAATAGCTACACAGGCCAGTCCAAGGTCGCAGAGCTTCTGTTCCAAATTTTCATGTACTTCATGCATATGCATATGCATATGCTTCAGTTTTTAGAAAGAAAGGATTATAATCAGGGTAGAAATGAATATTGGAACCCTGACATTTTGCACATTGCTCTGTGTAAAGGGAAGACTGCAGAATCAAATTCTGGATGTCCAAATGTGCTCAGAGTACCAACATGCCTTTCTTCCTACTTAAATATTCTCTAGGACATTGTACACATTTGACAAAAGGACTATTGTTAAAAGCAGAAAACTCCACAGAATGTTTACTCTTGGAGAGAGGGTGATGGGGTTAAGCTTAGCTAAACCCTGGACATTCAATTTGGCAGAAGGTATCAGATTGAGACTTCTTGATTTACTGAGGGTTCACTCTAACACATACACTGTTAGAAAAAGTAGACAAGTAGGGCTTTGTGATTTGTATCAAATGGGTTCATGAAAAATTCCAAGAAATTAAAAAAAAAAAAAAAAAAACAAGTGCAATAAGCAAATTACAGAAAATGTCTTACTATTAAGAAGGGTCAGGATGGGTTGTGGATTTAGAAAGCATGGATAACTAATTATTATACAAATATCTTTTCTAATTGAATCTTAAGATGTGGCAAGCTTATTCTCCTTCTTCAAGCAGTAGTTTTTCAAAAATGTGATTCCACAACCTCTGCTACACCAGCCAACACCTGGCAGTTTGTTAGAATAAAAATTCTTGGGCCTTACCCGAGTCCTACTGAGTTAAAACTCTGAGTAGAGGGGCCAGTGCTCTGTATTAATAAGACCTCTAGGGGATTCTGATTCATGATAAAGTTTGAGATAAGCCCTTTCCTAAACTACAGAATCTGAATCTCCAGAATATACTCAAATTCTAAGTACAAGGTAACTCTACAGAATTTTTCACTTTAGTATTTATAATAATTCATATATAGAGACAATGAATTGAATATTTTGATGAAAAATATATGTTGTCTCTCTATATGATATGAATTCTATATTAATCCTCCCATTTTTCCTTCTAAGCTTTCATTGTTAGTATTTTATGTATTGGCTTGTCTCTACATTGGAAATCATAAAAAATCCTTATAAATATGACATTGTTATCACATGTTTGTAGCACCTATTCTGTTAGTTGGGAAAGGAAATGTCTAGATGCTTCTTATATTCTGTAGGCCTTGTTTTCTTCTTGGATAAAATAAAGGAACTGAACTTGAATTTGGAAATCTCTTCCATTTCTTAAGATATATAGATTACAAAATTGCTGAATATTTTCTATCTTCTGTACTGTAAGCATCTTCACAAAGATACTTAGAGTTGCTATTTGTTCTTTGTTGTTTGTAATTTGGAATATTCGAAGCCTCCTACATAGATACAGACTTTGCTGAAAAATGGATAAAATAAGAGATGTTACTACTTCATTAAAGGTAAAAAAATAATTAAAGGATAGAGAATTTGTTAGGTGTCACAATATGGGAATAAGAATTTTTATGTTTTTATGAAATACAATTCAGATTCATGATATAACTTGATATATATCCTCCTATTAATCAAAATACACCACAATTTGACTCCTGTTTTATTTTCCCCTTGAACTCAACACAGACCTTTGGCTCTAACCAGGCTAGTTGCTCATTACTATGAAAACATGTTTTATTTATTCCTTCATTTTATGCTTGGTTCACATTATTTCTTCCTACCTACAATTTCTTCCATTCTACAACTTCTGCTCCTGTACTTCTCATGGTGAGCCTTCATATCCTCTAAGGGTAGGGTCTATATCTTTCTTTTCATGGTTGTAACCCAGTGCCTATCGGACTTCCCATCACGTAGATAATGCTTAACACATATTCATTTAATGAATTTATTAATGGTTTCTGGATGATTCTTGTTCACTGGGTGACTAGAGCATAGTACATGCTCAGTAAATGTTGGGATGCTAGTGAGTAGATTTTTTTTTTCTAAGCCTAACTTTTCCTTCCCTTTACTGGACATAGCATTAATTGCAGTTCACTTATTTTGTGTCTGAAAATTCTTTTATTATCTTAATCAAAAGATGACATTTAAATCATTATAAATATTTCTTTAATCAAATTGAAGAAACCCCTCAAATGTTCTTGGGTAAATTTTGTCTTCATCCTTTTAACATCGCACAACTGGGTTCTACCACGACATAGAACTCAGCATATTCTTGATGGATTCCGTATAAAAGAAATGCTGAATAGAACTCATTTTGAGGTGTGTCTGTGGTGGATACTTGGTTAGCTTTATGCTATTCTCTCTCTGCTTGCATGGTTGACATAACCTGAGTTGTGATTGTCGTGATGACTGGTGCCTGATTTGACTGCTCCTCCCCAGAAAGGCACAATTTTTGGCTCCCTCAGAGTGCTGCCTGGGTTGCAGCCGGCCCTCCATCCCTGCTCCAGGGCCCACCCAGCTCCCTTCTGGCACTGAAGGCAGCGGCTGCTCTGCCACCCTTCTCTTCAGATAAGCATGGCTTGGAAATGCTATCTTTAGAGGTGATGAGTTTTTGTTTGGATAGAATTATGACTAGTATAAAGCCCACACATGCTAACAAGCCACAGAGTGCAAAATAATTATTGAAAGCAATTTGAGAGAAAAGTGGAAAATCATCTGAAGAAAAACCAAAATTGTTCATAATGCTTTGGCCCAATTTTTTGCTGTTGGATTGAATAGTGATTCTTCATTTTTCTGCTGCCAGGTAGCTTACATGGTGATGAACCTGTTCTTCTCTTAAACTTTATTTGCATTTTATTCTTTGTTAAACATCCTTAGCTTTTTGACATTCTTTTCTGAATTGGCCAGAAAAGATACTATGTGACAGTCTTAACCTCTTATTGGACAACTAAGGACAGATTTACCTTTTGTTTATATCTTGGTTTTCTTTACATAGCCTATGGAATCATTGAATGTCTTCTCTTTAGGCTCCTCCATGTGCATTAAGGTAACCTCTCCCATGGAAGTAACCTTTTCTACCTGAAAGGATACATATGCTCTGCCCATGGGTTCCAGGATGTGCTTGTAAATTAATATGATATATGTATTGTATTCCATACAATCTTTTTATTGCATTTGCAAGGCATATCTCATTCTAGGCTGCAGATTAGCTCTGCTTATGCTTAAATGGGTTACTTTAAACTAATAGGATTGTACTCATCTTGAATTAGTTTTAATAGTGCTGCCAAATGACAAGGAGAATATGTGTAAAACATAAGTAATAAAATACAAGGGCCTTAAAATAAAAAAATACTTTAAAAACAGTAGAGAAAGAGAATAGAATTGGTTCTTGGAATGCACAGGGTTATGCCATTAGCCCCACCATGTAAAAATATAACATAAAGTGTCTGAGGGGGAATGTATAAGCAGAGGCATGGCAGAGCTTATGCAGCACCCTGGCCTCTCCATTGCTCCGTAGCCTGGGCTGGGCATAGAGGTTCTGTATGCACCACAACCAAGGCCCCTGCAGAGAGGGCCCTACCTTGGCCAGTAGGTTGGGAGACTGATGCAAGAGTGAATGAGGCCTATCCCCACATCACATGACATATTCATAGGTTAGCTGAAGAGTCACTAAAAACCACTTTGCCTATATAAATAACAAGAAAGATGGAATATGACATTCAGATTACAGATTGTGCAAGTGAAGGGCCAAGATTTGAATAAAAGAACCCCAGGTACCACCTTGCCTTCCAGGAATAATGGCATCAGCTAAAGGTTATATCTCTCTGGCAGCTATTATAGGTTAAGCTGGGTTAAGGAAGTTTAGCTCTCCTAAGTTACTGAAAGGGGAAAGGAGAAGAGCCTTCAGGGCCATCTGTATCTGTATTTTTTTTTTTTTTGTCATCAATTCCCACTTTGGGAGGATCACCTACTTCTTCATGTCTGTACATCTTAAAATCCATTTTGAAGATAGAATAAAATAACCTAATATTTTTAAATATTCTAAATAATTCTTTGAACTGGAGTAATTCCAGTTGACCCATTTGAAAATAAATAAGAGCTGTAATTAAGAGCATTAAATAAGAGCTGTAATCTATAGACAACTTTCTTACTGGGTACAGAGAAAAAGTTTAATGATAACATTATTTGAAAATTTAATGAGAACATTTTAGTATGGTAGCCATATGATTATCCTCATTTCAAAGATATAGTTTAGAATATTATATATGAAGATATACTTTTGTGAATAAAGCATTTCTACCTTTTGGAGAAAGGTGAAATGTTATTGTTGTAAGAAGAAATATGAAGCATAAACAAAAGCTAAAGATGCATCTGACTGGAGTCTAACTATTCAATTTGTTTTGCCACCAAGCTTACCTATGTTTTGATGCATATATTATAGGAAGATATTTTCTATTATATCCTTCCAAGTCTGTAGCATTTGTTCTAAAGTGTGGTGTCCAGACTAGCATAGTCAAATTTAAGTGGAAACCCATTAGAAATGTAAATTTTTTTGCCCTCTCTACTTCAGACCTATAGAATCATATGAGGGCAGAACCCAGCAATCTGTATTTTTAAAAACCTTGCCAGGTAATTCTACTGTAGAGTTTGAGAACTACTGCTCTGAATATATTCTTTATCTCCTCCTAATAAAGCATTCTGGGATGTAATTTCAACTTTATAACAACAAAACTGATTATATTACCCGCACTTTTGTCCTTGTAAGGTTTAGATTAATTTTTTAAAAGTCTGTTTGGAAATTAACCATGTTTTACATTGAGTGACATGAAGGAGATTGTTGTTAGCATTTAAATTACTTTGTGTTATGAGATTCTCATTAATTACTTATGTTCTTGGTAGCTAAGCTTTATTGAAAGGACCTGTGCTGGCATTAATAAATGCAAACAAAGTGGAAGGTCTTGAGGTTAATGAGATAATGAAACATTAATCTGTGTTTCTTCTTTAATGTAAAATGGAGATTCATCAGGTTCACTTTATATACTTTACATTTGTCTTTCCAGGAGGAACAAAGTATGCTAGCTATGGAGGATGAGGGCACAGTACAGCTCCCACTGGAAGGGCATTATAGGTAAGATATACATTTAAAAACACATCCATGTCAGTAATAGAATATGTTGATATGTACTCTAAGAATTTCACACTGTGTGGATGCTCATAGATGTTTGCTGAAGTTGTATTAGAGGAGAGACTGAAACGAGAAATTCGATTAACCAGGTTCCAATACTAAGTTCTGCCCATACTGACTGGATGACTATACCCAAGTAGCATAAAATGATGTGGGGTAGGAGCTGTTGTCTGAACTATTTTCTTCTCATATTTTATGATATTTATAAAAGAATCCTTTCATAGTCTTAGAAAGGAGCAAATAGAGGACAGGGGTAAGATTCACTTCTGGACTAAATGAGATAGGTATTCACCAAGTTGATCACCGGTCAATATTTTAACTCTGGGAATTTACCCCTTAAAATAAAAAGTTAAATCTATTTCTTGAGCTAGAGGAATAAGTTCTATTAATCATTTTATGAAAGATTTATGCAATTCCCACAAATATGGTAATATTCTTTACATACAATAGGAAAAAAATGTTTTATAAGTTGTAATAAACATTTTTGCAAGTATTTGGCCAATAATATTCTCTCTCTCTCTCTCTCTCTCTCTCTCTCTCCACACACACACACACACACACACACACACACACTGCTCCACTCACCCCTCCCTCTCTCTTGCTATAGTTTAGTTTAGTTTTCTTGTAAATTCTATTTTAAGTACCATTTAATACCCAATTTTATGGATTCAGTGTTCTTAAGGATAATTTAAGGCTTGCCAGTAAAAAAAAAAAAAAAAAAAAAAACCAACAGGGGATAATTTCCACTGAGGGAGGAATTTGTCATAGTGTTAAAGACAAAATAGGAATATTTTGGAGCTTTAGGGTATATTCTAAAATCATATTTCCTAAAAAGTTTTAAATAAAATTACATAGCACTTAAGAGTGAGTATAAGTATAGAAGGCATTTTTACTTTCTTTCTTTTTTTTTCCTTCTGCAACACTTAAAATCTAAAATCCTCTTGATTTAGTGGAACCAGTATATTTCCAAATGTATTCTATGGAAACCTAGTCTCATGGGGTAACACTCCCAGAAGAGCCTGATAATGAAATAAGTTTGGAAAACATTCCATATTGCATTCCAGTTTGAAAATTCACAATGTACAACTGCATATGAACTAATCTAAGTAGTACTGGATTTTTAAAATGAAGTTTGACTTTGTCTAATCTAGCACTTTCTAAACTCTTGCTCATAGCCCCTTGTAATGTAATATCATGAAAAATTTGTGTTTCACATGATGATTCTTTTTAAATTAGTTGATCTCATGCTTTGTGTTGCTAGGAAGCTCTCTTTCCAGGCAGATTAAAGGAATTAAAGAGCACCTTTCTAGATTGGGTAAAGTAGAGACCCAAGTTTTTTGTTTGTTTGTTTGTTTTTTTCCATCTTCAGTGTTGAGTTGTTGCCCTCTTGTGAGCAACCACTGATTTGGTTCCTGTGAGGTCAGCTTAGGACTTCTATAGGACATGATTTTTGTCATAGCAGTTTTACCTACACATAGCAAAAAGAGAGATATTTTCTGTTATAGAAACTTTATTTCACTTGGTAGATAATTAATTGCTACTGCCATTTGGTTGTTTCTACCCCTGGGGATGTTTTGCAGCATCCTGGATGTAACCTATAATTGGTGCCATTTTAAAATGTAATAAAAGCATCAGGTATAGTACAGGCTCTGATATTGTAGGTTACCCTAGATATGTAGAAAGAGCTCTGCCAAAGATACAGGCTGCATTCATCTGTTAAAAAACAGTTATCACGTAAGTGAGTACCAAATACATGAATGAATGATCAAGAATCACATCCTTATGAAATTTATATTTAAAGTAGAGTAGAAATGGAGGACAGAACATTAAAAAAATGAACAAGTAATATAATATAGTATTTCAGATGGTGAAAACTGCAGTGAAGGCAAATATCAAATAAAAGGGATGGGTGTGGTATGAGGAGATGGAAATAGCAATTCTAATTAGAGTGGTTGACAAGAGCCTGAGAAGGTGATGTTGGAACAAAGAGAGGGAAGTTATATATAGTGGGATGAAATACTTGTGAGGGCAGAAGAAAGATCTAGAACAAGGGGCCCCAAAACCTTTAGTGTTCTACAGTGGTCAGGAGGCCATTGTATTGTGGCTGAATGAGCCAGGGCAAGATGGAGGAGGTGAAGTAGAGGTTGAGGGGGCATAAAGCTCGATATGGATCATTGTGAGAACTCAGTGCTTACTGAGTAAGTGGGAGCAACTGCAGGGCCCACACCTGCAGACCAGGGATCTGCATGGCAGTAAATGCCAGGTGCAAGAGCCTAAGCAGTCCACATGTAGAATCTAATCTGTTATGTGAAACAAATTTTTAAAAACTGCAGCCCAGTCAGGTGTGGTGTCCTAGTCCTATTATCCCAGAGACTCCAGAGGCTGAGGAAGGAAGATCACAGGTTAAACAATTTAGAGATAACATCTCCAAATAAAAAGAAAATAAAGAAACTAAGGGACTGAGGATATGACACAGTGTTAGAGTGCCCCAGGTTCATGTCCCCAGTTCCACCAAATAAAAAAATAAAAAGAAGAAGAAAAGGAAAAAAGAAGAAGAAAAGAAAAAAAGAAAGAAACTGCAGCCCAAACCTGTATTTTTACAATTAGAATCTTTTCTTTAGATCTTTTGAGTTTTTCTAATAATTGAGAGAGTCTTTCCATATTTCTTAATTTTTGATTATTAAAAATCCTGTAAAATAAATAAAATTTGGTACATATGTACAACAAAATATTATTCAGCCTTAAAAGGAAAGAAATTCTGACATAAGCTACAACATAGCTGAACCTTGAGGACATTAAGCTAAATGAAATAAACACAAGAAGATAAATACTGTTTTATCTAACTTATATGAGGCCCTTAAAGTAGTCACAACCATAGAGACAGAAAGTGGTTGCTAAGGCCTGGGAAAGGAGGAACAGGGATTTATTGTTTAATGCACATAGAATTTCAGTGTTAAGAGATGGAAAGTGTTCTGAAGATGGATAGGGGCAGTGGTTTTATGTTATGAATGTATTTAATAACATTTAACTGTGCAGTTAAAGATGGCTAACATAGTAAATTTTATATTACACGTATTTAACCATAATAAAAATGGAAAAAAATTCATATAGACATAAAATTGTCCTATATTTAGTTTCTGTCCTTGAATAACCCAGTTACTTATTTAATGTTTATTATTTCATTTTTTGGTAAACTCCTAACTAGAGATGATCCATCTGTGATCAATATTTCCGATGAAATGTCAAAGACTGCCTTGTGGAGGAACCTTTTGATAACTGCCGATAACTCAAAAGATAAGGAGTCAAGCTTTCCTTCTAAAAGGTTTGAATTTTAAGATAATGAGGTGTACTGTTTCTCATTATTTTATGAAATCAATCTACTAGCGAAAGAATGATATTGGTTTCTATCAAATTTATATCTAAAATGGTTCAGAAAATTCATTTTGAAAATGGTCAAAATTGTTTTTTTTACAAATGTTATTATGTTTTCCAACATTTCACTTGAAAATAAAAAGCTCACTCCAAAACTAGCACAGTGGGGGGAAATGGAGGTATAAGTGAGTTCTAATGCATGGCATTTTTGGACATTTATTTTGGCCTACTCTTTTGCTGTATGATTTTATTGTATTCCATCATCACCCACCCTGGACCCCCTCAGATGTGTGCCCACATTTCCCACTTCCTATTTCCTTTTTGAAAAGAGATATCACATACAGTGGGGATTTTATGTTCAGTATATTGCTAGTCCCCTATCTCAGGTCCCTGAAAATTTTTACTCACCTCCTTACCCTGAAACTTTTGGCTCTCAAAAGTTCTACCCATTCTTGTTTATTTATAAATATGCGAACAACCCCTAGAGTTGTCTCTGGTGATTTTATGTGCATGCAGAGGGATAGGTATGTCCTCAGATATCAAGAATTGTAATGAAATGTTCTATTGAATTTTCCAGAATTTATAAATAAGAATCTAAACTATACCATCCTGTCTTCTCAGTTGCTAATCTGAAGAAAAAGGAATTCCTTTGCTATGCTAGTGTTTCTTATTAGAAAGCAATTGAAGCAATTTGGGATGGTGTTATGGTTATTAAGTTTCTTTATTCTCATAACTTTAAATTAACTTTTTCTACTTAATTTTTATATTACATTTTGTCATAAGCTCCCCTTCCTAATCACTCTAGAAGCTGATTCCCCAAAGGTAAGACTCTCTCCCTTACACCTACTCCTTGGCTGCATTTACTTATGTTAAATGGTGTCTTCTGGAAACCCGATCAGCCTGTGTCTTCTGTGTGAATTTTGGGGAGGCAAAAGACATAGAAAGTCTTGGGCTCAGATCTAGTATCAGACTGAGTTCTATGCTGCTGCTGTTACTAGTCAGCTCTTTAAGTGGCTCTGAAACTTGAATAAACTTTGTTCCATCCACAACTTATACAAATGCAACATATATAAACCAATAAATCTCACAGAACTGTATTTAGTACTGACATTAAATTTTTAGATTGGGAATAGAAAATTTGTCCTTTTAATTAGGAAATTAATAAATGGAAACTCAGAGATTCCATTTATGTTACCATGAAGCATTCCCACCTTCAAGTCTTACCTGACTTCATGAGTCATAATTGGAAACATGGACTAGAAAGCAAGACTACTTTATTCTTGGAGAATATATCTCTTGTTGCTGGCTTTTGTCACCCCAAAATGTCATACCGCTTCAGTGTCACCTCTACACCAGACAGAATAAATAGGACAAACAGTGGATGAGAAGAGTCTTCACCCCAGGGGCTGGGTGGCAGTCCTCTCTCTGTCTCTGTCTTCTTCTGTCTCTCTGACTCTCAACTCCTCCAAGACTTACTCCATAGGATATTAATATAAATTACTCAGTGGAATGTCTCCAAGATCTTTGGTTGATATCTTTGAACAGGGCTTCAAAACCACCACATATTTATTTGCTTGGGTCAAGCAGCAACAGTGTTTTATTCTAAAACATGCTTTATCATCCTTTCCCCCAAATATCTGCTATAGTCTTAGAATAAAAAGAAAATATATACATTTAAAATACAAAATCCAGGCCAGCTTGGGAAGCTGAGGCAGGAGAATTGCTTATTCAAAGCCAGACTCAGTGACTTAGTGAGACTTAAGCAACCTAGTGAGACCCTATCTCAAAATAAAAATAAAAAGTAAAAAATAAAAAATAAAAGGTCTGGGGTTAAGTGCCCTGGAATTCAATCCCTGGTACCAAAACCAAAACCAAAACAAAACAAAGAAATCCAAGTTGATGAGCTCAAAGTAAGAAGTAAAATGCCAGCTGTGGGAAATATCTGTAGAATTTGAAATAATCTTGTAGATTGCTTTTCTTCCTGAATTAAAAAGATGCGTGTCCCAAATTGTTTCTCTGTTTTTCTTTGGTTCAAGTAAAAGGTTTTATGGCATGAATTTTCAGTACTTCTTAAAGTTAAGTATTAAAGTCAAGTTATGCTTTCCACCAGAGAAACCTAGTCATATTTTTTAAAATATGTCTTGATTACTTCAGAAGTAGATTAACTCTAGTAAACAGTGTAATGTGCTTTTAGTAGGTCCAACTTTAAATAGATCATCCTTTAAACCTTGATAGAACCACTTGATAGAACCACTTTTCATTCTTTGAATATACACTCCCACTGACTTGAGGTTCAAACTATTATGGAATGAACGTTTACCCAGATATCTTTACTTTTTCATGTGATACAATCTGTGGCTTTTCTCATGAAAAATCTCTTTCTGAGTGGTTAACATCTTTCATCTTTTTAACTGTGGGAACTGTAACAGAGTGTGGCTTTCAGAAATCCTAAAACCACCAATCCTAATAAAATGAATATGGTGCCAAAACTACCACTTTCTCTTGGTATCTGTTGAAGGCACTAAAGTATAACAACCAGAAACTAGGAAAAGTGGGTACCTGTTAGAGTATTCATTGGCCAAAAGAAAAAAAAAAAGAGGCCTAAGATGTCAAGTTACCAGGACCTGTATCTCTCAAGACCTAAGCTGGTTCAATGCAGCCTTTGATCCAGTCCCCTCAGTTATTTTCCTTCCTGTCCCTGGCTATAATATGACTCAGAGAAGCTTAGGTACCCTTTGTAATAAAGTTTAGCAGTAATTATTTCATCAATATTTTATTATTTCATTCATTCATTAACATTCACACTTGCCAAACATATTTTACCTAGTTTGACAACAAGTAGAGTCTAAGAATGAAACACAAGTTCTACCTCATCCATAGGATGTCTCCTTTTGATCTTAGTTTAATAGTCCCATACATACTAGCTCCTCTGAAGCTTATGTGATGGATTGGTAGAAATAGGTCTCATTAAAGACCACATTGCATCAGAATAGGTGAGCAACTGCTGTGTTTTATAAAACTGATGCCCACAATCAACTTTTCATGGGAAGGTACCTGTCAATGCTAGGAAAGGAACATTGGTTTTGCCTTGGTGGCAGAGGGTGGGCTCTGGGGCAACTTCTTTTTGCTTCTCCCTCCCCAGCCTACCCCTGCACTCCCCACAATCTTATTCTATCCTGGATTCTTCTCCTTTGCTCTGATTTCTTAGGCCTAGTCTCTCTAATCACTGCTCAGTAAATATTGTTCATAATAACTGCTTTTAGTACAACCAAAAAGTAACAGCTTCATAGATTTCTTAGCAGCATGACAGTATTGGGTCACTTTTTCCTCTCTTGAAATACTACTTGCTTACATTTTAAATTTTAACTCTTCAAGTACAAAGATAGTCTTATCTATATTGTATTCCTAGGTCTTTGCAGAATGTCTGGCACATAACAGATATGCAGTATGTTTTTTGCAATAATACATAATATATATGTAATATGCATCTGTAATAATTAAAGCAGTAAATTGACTGGCATCTAAACAGTGATTTAATAGGGAATCTGGAGAGCCATACAAAAAGAAAATTCAAACTAAGAATATTTTTCACAGAAGTCTTGAACTAGTTATAAAATTTCTGCTTCATAGTTTGCTGAAATCTAATTTGATAGCAAAACCAATAATTTTAATGAGGGAAAAACAGTCTTTTATAACCAAAAGACTCAATATAACTGAAGCAGACCAGAAGGAAGCTCATCTGTGGATCAAGTTGATAATCAGATTTTTTTTTCTTCACTGCCTGGTGACTAACAGTGCCATTGAGAACTCATTCATTTATCAAAAGGTCATGGACCGCCTCCTATGTTCCAAAGTATTATATGCATAGGAATTGTACAGTTGTAGAGGCCAGTACAATTGTCCTTCACAAGTTCCTGTTAAATATTTCATAAGGCAGAGTCCACTGGAAATGGAAATACCAGTGTCAGTATGCTGGAATTGAGCTGTAAGAGAAATTAGAGGCCATTGGTACAAAACTCAAATTTATAGATGAAGATACTGAGTTTCAGAGAGATTAAATAACTGTCACAAGGTCATGCAGCTCATTCTTAGCTTCTAGGAACTGAACCCAGATCTTCCAACTCCAAACCCAGGGGTCCCTGCACTGCCCATTCTGCCTTCTTACATTGGCTTTGTTTGGCAGAAGAATTTGGGAGCCAGGTAAAGCCCAAGGAAAAGTTAAATGTTGAAAGCAGGATATCCGACACTTGTCATATAAAAGAAATTTAAAGTAGAAGAAAGTGAGTCATACAGATAGAGGAGTTAAAAATACAGAGTTAAGACTCTCAACACATCATGTGCACACTGTCATCTCTTCTCATGGAAAGAGAAAAGAAAAGGGAAAAAAAGTTGCTTTGCTCTGACCTGTAAGGAGTATGTGCTGAGAAGTGTGGCAGGCATAAACCCGGGTGCCATAGACACTCGCTCACACCAGCTCTGAGCACTGGCAGCGTGCCACAGATGGCAGAAGCTCCGGCACTTCTTACCTGATGGTGCCGGGTGGTGGTGACAACTGAGAAGGGCTGTTTCTAGCTTGAATTGGAGGAAAAACAATTTTAAAAACATACTCTTAGAATGTGTCTAAGTTATTGACCACTGAGAAAGCTGCATAGGAAGACCCATAGAAATACAGAGTTTGATTACTTTATAACTTGGAGAAGAGTTATAAAACCCCAGGATGTCTTCCCTTCAACTGATTCATAAATGTATATTAAGGGTTGAAGTTAACCATAAAATGCTGTGGATTCTTCCAATTTAGGGCTTCAGAGGCTGGTTGTAGGTTATCCTGTGTCATCAGTGGCGAGGGGCACAGAGATGTCCTCCACTAAGAGGGCTCTGCTGTGCACTGGAGGTACTAGGGGAATAAGCATTCCATGCTACTGGAAGCACTCTCTATGTGAGCTTCATGTATTTGAGCATGTTTTTGGAATTTTCCATGAACACTTCATTGGAAGAGTAGGAAAAATATACAGTGAGAAAATATTGACCTAATAGACAAAAATGGTAGAGTTACATTACCAGCTTTACCATCAGTAAAGTTGATTAGAAGGTGAGATTAAACAGAAACCATTCAGGAATGAGTTTATTCTAGAAGTGAAGTGAAGCGAAGCAACGGAGGGGCCACATGCAGAGTCCAGAAATACCTCTGGCAGCATCTTGTTTGTGTCATTTACTGGTGTTAGTGCTATCTTAAAATGGGACATGACTGGCATTTTCAACAATCATCAATGATTCATTTCCTAAAAGTAGATCATGTTATTAATCTTGCATGCTTTAGAACTGTTTTAAAATGTCTGGGTTTTGTTTTTTGTGTCTGTTTTTGAATTTCCCCCTCTCTGCAGTTCTTGGTTTCTATCTCAATGAGTGCAGAGGATTTTAATTGTTGCTTCGAAGCATGAGAGAGCAATGCCTACAGGCTCTTGTGTTGCTTGGGGGTTGATGGGTTTTGTGTGTAAAGCAAGCAAATCTCAGTGTAGCCATGCTGGATTACAGTAATAAATTTCTCTTTCTTTTCCCTTGTAGCACTGAAAGCCGAAAAGAGAAGAAAGCTGACTCAGGGAAAGGTGTTGACAGGGAGACTTGTCTATGACTTGATCTTCAATTTATTTTTTTTCATATATATGAGGAGAGTGTCACAATTATTAATAAAACTGCTTTGATCATGTATTGTAAATTCTGTTTCTCATCCCCAATCCACCTTCATACTGTAAGTAGTGCAATACTTGTTTCATTTCTGTGTTTAACCTTCTGAGCAAGTGAGACAACCTTGTGAGCAGATACAATAGCTAATGCAAGAATCCGTGTTGTGTTCCTTGCTGTAAGACATTTATAAACACTGAATTCTCATTGTCAGCTTTATGAGAGCAATAGCTTTCTTAAAGAGATAAGTCATATTTGCCTAGTTTGTATTTTCCTACTTTAGTAACCTGAAGATGCCTGATAATTTCATTCAGAAGAATTTTGAAAGGTAGTCTTACTTCTTTTTATTTTTATAGATTAGCATTAGTGACTTACTTAAAAAAACAATCAAACAGTTAGTTTGAAAGCATTTTTAATAATAATATTTATGCACTTCCTTGATTTAATATGAAACATTTAATACTTAAGAATTTATATGTAACCAAAACTTACAGTCATTTGAAAAAAAAAATCTATAACCTGTTCACAGCTTGTTAAAAACAATCAGATACTAATGCAATGAGTCAACTAGTATTTGCTTAAAATTCAAGTTGTGAATACATGATCAAATATTAGGCTTGTATGAAATGCTTTAGAAAAACTTTGTAATGGTTTTGTGGGATTTATCAGAAATGTGCTGTTAAATTTCTCTCCCGTTGACAAGAGATGTTTTCCAAATAAACCTATAAATACATACTTGTGGAGTAACACAAGATAAATTATTATACATGAAATTCCACTTCTGTACAGTTATTCTGCTACTAATGGTCATGTACTGCTTAATGTTGGTCCTGAATCATGTTCTAATGAAGACCAAAAGGTCTCCAATTGTAATTTTTTTTTCTGCAAAGCTCTTTTCCACTTTTTAATTAAATGCATGTTGTGGAAAAACAATCTTTTAAGTGAAAATTTCAGATTCTGTTTGAGAAGTTTCTGTAGATATTTTAGTCCATATGAAATAATCCATATTTAATAAGCTTATGCAAGAGGAAGGAAAGTTAAGGGTTTGAGCATTACAAAAAAATGTAATATTTAATTTCATTTTAGATGAATGTGAAATGAATAAAAACTAAATTTGAGTAATCAGTGGTCATCACACTTAAAATATTTCAATGTCCAATTTTACAATATTTCTGAGCCCCTTGGCTTTTATATACTATTAATCATGTACTCTGTACATGCACACGAAAAGTAGAATAAATTCCTTTTTGTGATTAAGCTAATAAGGGGGAAAAAGCAACAAATCCTCCAATAGATTTCACATTTTGATACCTTCTAAAAACATTTTCCTCACAATCCTTGAAGGAGTCATTTTTTAAAAATGGAACATGAGTCAAAAAATTATGGGAAGAAGAATTTGCAGTTTAAAAAGTTTGTCTTTATAAATGCTGAAGAAAAAAATACAGAAACTTTCTGTTCTAAATAGGTTGCCTTTTTGTATTTTATAATACTGATATACACTGTAAACATTTCCATTATTTTATGATTTAACCAGCCAGTCCCAAAAGCAGTCTCCTAGTGTTTTAATATATTACTAACTGTTCAGTTAAAAATGATCACAGTGAATTAAAAACTTCATGTGATCACTGATTTGAATAAGCAATCATATTCAATGAAATTCTGTATTTCTGAGTATTTTTATAGTCATTTTGTTCCTGTGTGAATTTTAATGCTATCTCTATGTTAATCCTAATATTTTGAAATCATATAAAACATAAGAAAAATGTAGTGTTATATATTTACTCTTAATTTCAGATTCCTGGTCAGAATTACTGAATATATTGAATGTAATTTATTGCAAAGTTTAAGTAATGTGTAAATGTGACTAGGATATTGTTTTTCAAAACAGATGTTATGTGGAAATAAATATTTATCCTAACTAATTTCCTTGTATATTTTAAATTATGATGCAATGTGTCCTGTCTTTGTTTTTCCTTCATATTAACAGCAAAATCAAAATAGAACTTTTTTGGAATAGTACTGGGGATTAAATGTAGGTGCACCTAATCACTGAGCCACATCCCCATCCCTTATTTTATTTTATTTTTTACTTTGAAACAGGGTCATACTAAGTTGCTTAGAGCCTAGGTAAGTTGCTGAGGCTGGCTTTGAACTTGTGATCTTTCTGCTTTCAGCCTATGGAGCCACTGGGATTATAGGAATGTGCCACCACACATGGCTCATGTAGAACATTTTATTTGTTTGAATGTAATATTTAAATTTAGACATCCCCAAGTATAAGAAACCTTGGTGATGTAAAGATTTCAAGAATAGTCAGATAATTTGAACTTATGAACAAAAAACAATGAGAACTATATAAGAATGTATTTTCTCATTTTCCTGGAGTACCATGTCTTGGGTGCAAATGACATTGCTGTTAGAACCAGAAAGAGGCTTCAAGGTCATTATCAGAATTTCCCATATTGGAACTCCTTAAATCCTGTGTTTTTTTTTTTTTTTAAATCCATGAGGAAGAGTTTCCTGAAATTTGTCTCCCTTCAATTTGTTATAAAGCTCACATCAGACCGTTAATCTTTTGTAGTCATCTGGAACTGTACTGTGATCAGTACATTCAGAACTTTACCTGCTCATTAGTATTTCTCTCTTGACTATTGGATTTACATTGTAATTTCTACTACTAAACAGCATACAGTATCGGGAAGTCTTTCCTAACTATAATTGGAATGTCTTTTTGGTGTAGTTTAGACCCATAATCTGTTAAAGGACCCTCCTTAGGTATTTTTGGATTTTTCTAGACTCTTAGAAGTGTGGTTTATTCCTATCTGCACTGACCTACCTCTGTTTCTGTTTAACTTTAGCCTATTTACTCCTGAGCACTTATTCTACTATTATGTAATATTGCTCTACAATTTGTTCAGTATGTCTCTATTATATTATATATTTATGCAGTGTAATGTTTGAGATTTTAACCACTTGAAAGATTTATGAAAGTAATTTAAGTAATATGACAAGTTTCCAAATATCTACTTGGAGAGGGTAGTTCAAGTCAAAAGCCTAGTAATCAAGAATTACTGATACTTCTTTAGAGATCTTATTTAGATATTCTATACAGAAAGCTGCAGCCAGCTGATATGCTGTCCCTCCAATTTGGTTGTCAGTATACTGAGCACTATTGTGTGTTCTGGAACTTTGAAAACAGGACTATGACCTTTGCTTCTAAGGGTAAGTTGGGTATATGGCTATAATAAAATGTAATTTTTCACTATTTTGGTGGTATATTAAAATGATATATAACCCAAGGATGGAACTTTGAGCAGGACAGGGTTTGAATAAAATGTTATAGAAGAGCTAGCATATGAATTAGGATGGAAATGGGGAAGGAAGTACACTCAGTAACTGCAGAGATTCTCAGCCCCATGTCAATATTGAAATAAAGATAAAACAGTAAAGCTAGGTAGCAGTAACTACTCCTGGCATAGTTGATGTGTAGTGTACATGGAGCCAGGGTGGTGCAATGTTAGGAAGGTAGTGAGACTTGAAAAAATAAAAAAGGTAAAAACAGAAGATGGAGACATTATAAATGATGTCAAATTCTATTTTAGGATATTTGAACTTTATCCATTAAGAAGCTCTTAGTAATGGAGAGACATGAATTTTTGAAAAGATTAATCTGACAGCACAGTAGAGAATACAGTGGAGGAAAGAATGGAATCATTCCTTTGAGGATCCTGCTTCTAAAATGACTCTCAGATAGTCTCAAATAGACTCTCTCTGAATAGTTTCTAAATTTCTATTAGTATTGAAATCAAATGGGCTCCTGGGGTTCTTAATGAATTAGTCCAGATATCCTAGTTTTGTTGGAATATCTTCTTTGTAGAACTTCTATACATGGAGATTTTATATATGTATGTACACACATACAGAGATTTGTATTTGAAAAAAAAAAAGTTCTGAAAAGCATGGCATAAGCACAGAAGCCTGAGACTATTAAATAATTCTAAGTGTGGTATGAAGTTCAGCCAATGTCTGCCTCATGAAAGTTCAGAAGCCACCTTCCTCTGCCTACAATATCATTTATTCTTACTGTGCACTTTGCTTTGTTCTAGGTCTTCTTCATTATTGGTGTGTGTAGGATCATGTGGTTTCTGCTATGTGACTTATTTCTTCCATTTGTTTTTAAGCTCCTTGAAGGTAGCAGTGGTATTTTACCCCTCTTTCTAATTCTGGTGTTTACCCAGCTAGCACAAGCTGTTGATAGAACAAAAGTAAAATGTGTCAGAAGATGCTTCGGCTTAGTTTAAAAAAACAAAATGGATTCTTACTGACATGTATCAGAACAAAAACCATGCTTATTAAGCACCTTTATGAGTCCAGTGCCCAAGGATATAGAAGCCTAAGGCAAAAACCTATGCAATCCATGAGGCTATCAAGGTGGGAGAAGCACCAGATAAATGTCACTAGGAGGAAGGAGAACATGAAAGGAGAGCATTAGACATTGCAGATACATAAATCTCAATAAGCACAATCGTTTGAGGTAGGTATGTTGGTGCTAGAGTTGAAAAAGTCTTAGTAATGTCCTTTAAATGTTTTTCACTAGTCATCAGTTACTGATAATCTAACCCTGGTTCATCTGACTTTGACTGCAGGATGCTGCGTGTCCAGTAAGACATTAGATGGGACTATCTTCCCCCTTATGGAGTATTCATTCTGGTTCATGGAACCAAAATCAAAATCAGGTTAAGACGAATAATATTTCTTTTCAATATGCTATATTTTCTTCACCACCCATTTCTCTGAGGTTATCATTGGTAAGCAAACTTACCCAGTTAAATCCTCCCCTTTTTTTTCCTACTCACAAATGTCATGGCTTTGGATAAAAGAGGTTTCAAGAAGTACAGGTGCCCTCCTAATCCTCAGGTTCCACGTCTGAGGATGCAACCATCTGAAATGAACACTATTTGGAAAAAAAAAATGTGTCTATGTTTAACAGGCACAGTCTTAGTTTTCTTTTCACCAGTCCCTTAAAAATGTAGTATAATAGCTATTTGCGTAATATTTACATTGCATTAGGTATTATAAGTGATCTAGAGATGATTTAAAGTATATAGGAATATATGACTATATATGCTATGTCATTTTATATAAAGTATTTTAAATATCCCCAGAGTCTGATACCTATATTCATGAGAAAATCTGGAACCAATCCTCTGTGGATACCAAGAGATGACTGTAACTAAGGGTTTTGATTGTCAGATGATTGCACATCTCACCATACTGATACATGCTCTTTCAACAATTTGAAGTACTTATAGACTTGATTCAGTGAAAGGCTATGTAGAATAAGAATGTTGATTTTGTTGAAGTTTAAAGCCTGTAAACATTAGGAAAAAACTCCCTTCTCAATAGCAAGAAAGTTATTTCTATTTTTATTAAATTCTTGGGGTCAAATATTAATATTACACAGAAAGATGATGTGCATAGATGATAAATTCCTACTCAACACAACATTGATTTTATTAATACCAAGCTCTGAGCTTTTCTTTGGATAGTGAGTGACATTATACTTTATATCTCTCATTTCTCTCTCATTCTCAACCATCTGTAACCCAGAGACATCCTGAATACATACTCCAGGTCACTAAGGATGCATGCAAAAAGATTTTTGGACACTGCTAAAATAACTTGTCATAAAGTTAGCACAACAAAATTCTCTTCCTTTATGGAAAAAGCCATGCTTGTGTTTTGGTATGTTTTTGATTTAGAATTTATTGAATCTTAAATATTTTACAAATCGAGTAGTCTTATAAGTCAGTATTCTCACATCAACTTAGAGAAAAAGCAGCAAATGCCAAAAGGTGGAACTGATAGCCTGTGAATATGAAAGGAAATATACCCTCAGGATATCATACAGCCTGATGTGATGATTGATCTTTATGGTGGCGGCTCTGAGTCATCTTGAATGCATCGAATTATGTTCTGTGCCTTCTATTTAAGAAAGCATAAAGATATGAAATTATTTTTAGCCAAGTTTCCAATAAAAAATGTTCAAAAATAATTTAAAGTGATTTTCTGAAAGTTTTGATAGAAACTTTAAAAATGAGCCTGTATCTACAGATGAGACGTGAACTGTTTCTCCCTTCTTTTGGTGCATGCACCCCTGGACTCTGTTGCACTCTCACAGGCTGTTGGTGACAGAAGTCTTAGTCACTCACTAGTTTGCCGAGCCTGCAGTTGTCAACCGGAGACAAGTCTGCACATCTTTAGTGGTATGACTAGTTCTTGTTTCACATTTGTCCTCAGGTTAAGTGGGTCTAGTGAATCTATCAATTTCCTCATCTTCCTTTTCCAATAGGCAAATTTGAAACTCTTACTAAAATGTAAAACTTATCCTATGAAGGTCAAATAAAAACTTCTTTGAATTTATTCACATCATTAGCACTTGTATAGCCCCCTTTGCCTGAAAAATATGTGTTGTGATTTTTTTTTATTAACTCTGGGCTCAAGGAAAAAAATGTTCAACATGCTTAGAAATGAAGAGAACAATAAATTCATTTAATTTTGATACTTTACAAATATCACACAGTATTTGATTTAGATATTAATATAGTATCTGTCATTGTATAATATGTAATTTTCAATTAAGATAAAAGGAGAATTTCTAATAAATTTGATTTTATGAATTAATGTTGTCCAGGGTGTGAACATATCACTGGTCTTCCTTGATATAGAACTCTGCAAAGATTGTCCCAGCTGTTCATAATAATGGAGATATATTAAAAAATAGAATAATGACAAGAAACCCACAGAGTTGAATGTTGGTTTATGGTTCCAAGGGATGAGTGGGACTTAGGAGATAAGGTAAAGTGACTTGATAGCATGCTCTGAAAATATAGTTGAAGCTGGATTTCAGATCCTCTATTTCGTATGCATGACTCACCAATCTCATGTTGAATTGATAGGCTTTTTCCATTTTAGGTTTTTATGCTATAGCTCATTCTGAGATAACTTTATCTAACAAATTGGTCCGAAGCTGAGTTTAAATTCATAAAGTAATTTTTACTTTTTAAAATGAGGCTGTTTTGCAGATAATTGAAACAAAAAACAATGTTTTCTCAGTTATATAGACATTGCTAGATCAAATTCGGCATCTTAAATTGACACTTTCATTATTATAATTCTTTCAACCAAAAAACTGGTCAAATACTTAAGTGATAACTTGCTTCTTTTTTTTATTCACTTTTACTGAGCTGTCAGAACTAGTATGGTTATATTATTAATATTGTTTTTTTTAATGTGAGCCTCCTCATAGTTCCATAGAATGAAATTATAAATTATGTATTATATAAATGACCAATATGATTTTAAATTTATTTCTCAAAAGCTTTGTGTTTTGATAATAGATTTTTTTTTTGTACCAGGGATTGAACCCAGGGGTGCTGAACCACTGAGTCATATCCCCAGCCCTTTTTTGTTTTGAGACAGGGTCTCACTGAGTTGCTTAGGGCCTCAGTAAGTTGCTGAGGATGGCCTTGAACCTGCTATCCTCCTGCCTCAGCCTCCTGAGCTGCTGGGATTACAGGTATATGCCTCTATGCCCAGTGATAACAGAAATTTTGTATGTATTAAATTAAAATTGTATGAGATGCTTAATATAACACTTTACTATGTGTATACAGTTTTTTTTTTTTTTTTTAATAAAAGCTGAGCTCTTTCCACGTTTACATGCTAGTCCAGGATTGTTAACAAAATAAACATGAACCTTCTGGATAAATGTGTCCATATGCCACTGTGATCTAGATCTGATATAAAACACAACTCATAACCTCTGAAAAATGAAGGTACATTTATTAAATGACCAGGAGAAATTCCACAGCACATAGAATGGAAATAATAATAACACAAATGTTCTAGTTTATTTTCCATTCAAAAAAAATGAATCCGAGGAAATTAAGTTTTTTTTCAATTAAAATCCTCAAAGAGATGAAACAAGAAAAATTGATGCAAGAACTCCTTCATGTTAGAATTTGAAATACAAATATTTTCAACTTTTAACAGGGCAAGCTGATGTGTTCACATCTCAGATCCAAGCTGCCTCTTTTCACTAGGAAACATCAGTCCTTTTTTTTAAAAGCACATTTACAATGCTTTCCCATCACCCTTGCTGTGTTTTCCTAGCACCTATAGCCATAACTGGCACCTGGGGGCCTTACATTGCTGGCAGTTTCCCTTGCATTTCTTTGGAGTCTATTCAACTGCTGTGGTTTTACTTAGAAGTCAGTGCTTTGCATATATGATTTCCTGAGACTGTTTGAATAGTCTTTCTCAGAAACTGTGCCAGTCTGGCTGCGAACAGCTCTTCTCGGAGGGGAGCTGACAGTATCCTGTGGGGTTGGCGTGCTTGGACCTGGGTTTGTAGCCATGCTCTGCTAGCTCCTTTCCCTATACCCTCTACTCTTGTCCCTGCACTAGTGACATCATTGCCCACATCTTGTCATCCCTTTAAAAAAAAGAACAAGATTTGGACTAGCCAGAAAAAAATGAAAACGTTACCCAGGGGACCTATGCAAAGCTCTCATAAAAATAATTTATATTTGTTGTTTCAGCAGCTGACATGGAAATGATTTTAAGTGATAAATAAAACCAGAATGAATAATCCAAATTTCTGTAAGGTAATAATCTGTCATGAAGACAGAAGTCCTTACTTATGAACATAAGTATGAAATTTGGAAATAAAGGTAACCTTAATTTTCTTCATTTTAGTGCATTTTTAAAGATTATCATCTTAACATTGCAGTTTTGAGATAATGAGAACAAAATGTTTTTTAATGAACTATAAATGGTATGCTGTTTTGAGGTGCTAAGGTATAGAGAAGCACTGTTTTATGAAATGGCTCATGTGGGTATATATATGCTGGTGTGCTGTGCTGCTAGCAATTCCATGGTCTTCATCGGTGTACCACTAGAGAAAGAAAGAAAAAGGTCAGAATTAGGAAGTCATCCATTTAAAAAAAAAATCAAAAGAGCTCTCATGAACATACGTGGTAGAAAACAGGGTGTTTTGATGCCTGAAATAGTTTATAAACTGAATTATGATCACAAAAACTGTCTAATTTTTCTCCAGAGCTTTCCCAAGTCATGTTGTTCTGTCCTGCAGAAGTCTCTGATCCTCTTTAACAGGTGCTGAGAAAATCTACTGTGCATTTGGCTTAACTGAATAGTACTTTAAGCAAATATAAATTCTAATTAAAATATCCAAACCCACTTTCAAGTTTGACTCAAAGGACACTTAAATCACCCAATGCAGGCATATATACTCATTAAGACCACCTATTTTATTTGTTGTCAAGTGTCAGATTTTTCTATACTCTATCAAGATAAACTATATTAAACGAAAATTTAAAAGGCAACTTTCCTAATATATGTCACTAAGGAACTGGTAAAAATCTGTTTCAATATTAGAACTATATGTTTAACATAAATGAAGTCAAAAGTCAAAAGTAGGGGCTGGGGTTGTGACTCAGTGATAGAATACTTGCTTAGCATGTGTATGGCACTGGGTTCGATCCTCAGCACCACATAAAAATAAACAAATAAAACAAAGGTTCATCAACATCTAAAATAAATGAATGAATGAATGGATGAATGAATAAATAAATAAAATGGGTTATTTTCAAACACTTAGATATTACAATGGCCTTTAAAAAAATCTAACATTTATATAGAAGGAGTTTCTGACCTGAGCCACATTTTTAAAAATTTTTCTTTAAATGTTGATGAACCTTTATTTTATTCATTTATTTATATGTGGTGCTAAGGGTCGAACCCAGTGCTTCACACATGCTAGGCAAGCACTCTACCACTGAGCCACAACTCCAGCCCCTGAGGCAAAATTTATCACCTTATTAAATAATTGGGAAGTCATTGCCAGGCAAACATATATTTTGGAGATACAAGTTAACTCTCAAAAACTGCTGTAAGTATCATGAGTTTTGCTTTGAATAGTAGAAAAATAAAGCTCAACCTCTTAGGAGAATTTGGCCAAAAAGATGCCAGTTTTTCTCTGTATTCCTTAACTGTCCCATTCTTATATAGCAGGCACCATTCAAACTGAGCACAGAGAAAATCATGTATATTAGAAGAGAGAGAAAGAAGTCCTTTTTTTTTCAATAGATGAGAAAGCTGCATTTTACCTAAATTATTTTATGCAATTAAATTATTGCATTTTACCCAAATTATTTAGCATAGGTATGTATGTATATGTATGTATGTATGCATATGTATTTCTTCTTAATTTGAAAATCTCTAATGCAGAAAATGAATTTGACTAAATACCTAGAAACATCCTCTGTACAGGCGACAACAGCTCTAGCCATTTCTGACTTTGTAAAACAAGCCTCATTGTTTATTGTCTGTGGTTGTTCAACAAAAGATAACATAGCAATCACAAAATCTGAAGCATGCTGATTATTAACATCCTACTGTTGTTACAAAGGCTAGTAATACATACTAGACAGAAATGGATTTTCATATTTGAGCTGAGCTATTATCATGCTGGTTTCACTTTAGAATTACTCTGCCACACATTTACTGAGTAAGTGATTACTTTTGAATCAAAACAGGGAGAGACTGAACAATCACAGGAACAGGAGAGCAGTGTTTTGACACTCCCAGGATATGCAATATTGTGCTTCTCAACCCCACACTCTCTAATACCACTGAACATCACTCTATGTATGACTCAGGCATATCACTTCTCTGACTTTACATTGGAAAAATAAAAACTCTTTTCTGTCCCTGACTCCTGGGATGTCTTTGGGAAGAGGTATCCTCCAAAGAGAAAACTAGATCCCACCAGCCACTTTGCTCCCCTTGAACAAAGTTTTCTGTACCATTGCCTGGAAGTCCACTCCAGCATCCACTAGGGCTTTGGAGATCTGCGCTGACTGCTGAAAGTGAACGTTATCTGCAAGAAGAGAAAGGAAACATCAAGTAGCTAATAGCTTCTCCAGTTTCTGATACCAAAGGGTGGGAAAGACACAGAAGAAAGGGACTGTTTAAAGTTCTAGGACTCAGCATCCCATTTAGCCCAAGACAAGTGAGTTGTGGAAAGCAACACTGTTTTATTGAAGTAAATGTAACAGTCTTGCCCCTCATGCTTTTGTTTTGTCAGTAGTGAAATTGCAAACCTGTCTGTGATACTAAAAAGTCTAATTAACTGAAACTCACCATCTGCTGTTCCATGAATAAGGAGGTACTCAACTTGTTTAAAATTTTCAGCTCTGCTCATGACTGTTGAATTCTGGAATTGGGAAAAAGAATGTCATTATTCAAAAAAGGATCTGCCATAAACTGATTTTTCACTTAAGTTTACAAAATAAAATGTTTTCAGCTGGGGCCCCCTTTGATACAAAATATAGCAAACCGATATTCAAGCAAATGCTGTCTTCATGCATGGCAGAATGCACAGCATGCCCTGTGCCTGGGAGACAGGACTGGAAAGGGAGGATGCTACATCTTCCCTGCACATGCAGGAAGAGGGCACCTGCCACCCAGGCTGCATGCAAAACCCCTTGAGTCCCAGATCGCAGATTGGCTGTGTCCTATGCATTAGCACAGGGCAGAGCCTCATATTAGCAATGTATGTTCCATGGGCTTCTGCTGTAGTTCAGCCAAAAAGTGTATTACCATGGCAACCATGTGTCACATGGTGCCATACATGCTACATTTCAAAGAGCCTGTACATAGCATTTGCAACTAAACATACTCTGCAATATGTCATGTGAACTTTGGTCCACATTGCTAGGTTCTGAATGAAAAGCAAACATTACCTCTTTCGGAACAGATGTTTAAAACCTAGACAAATGTACCATATGGGAGGGGAAAAGGGTGAAAAAGATCAAGAATGGCCTTGGAAAATCAGTGGGTTGTTGTTGTCTGCTTCATTCTTTGTAATGCAGGAAATGCTGCTATTAGTTCAAGTCATATCTAAGTCAGCTAGGGAAATAGGACCAAAAAAAAAAAAAAAAAATGGAAGATCAGCTTTTTGAAGATGGCTTCATGACTTGTGTCAGTTAGGGCTTCTAGAATGAAGAGGTTTTTGATGAAAAACTCTTTGGAGGTAGAGAACTGGCCATCTGGTTCTATTCTGGGGCTATTTACAAAGTGGAGATGAAGATTAAAATAGCAGACAGAGGTAGGGAGGGGGGAGCCAGAGTCCACTTTGGTTGTCCTGTGATGGGATGGATAAGGAAAGAGAGAGAGAGAGTTTAAAATCAGCCAGCAAGTCTTGCAGCACTTTGGTGATACTTTATAAGAACCAAAGTTTATATTTTTGTAGCTAATACCAGCTTAATATTATTGACTGGAGTCCTGGTAGTCAAGCAGGAAGGGGATGGGGGTGAAGTCAGAGTGTTTGTATTCTAGTCTCAGCTTCAAATCAGAGAGGTGTGCAACTGCATTTTGAGCCTTGATTTCTGTAAAATGGAAATAAGAATAACTCCTCTTACTCCCTCATGGAAATAAGGAATCAAGAGGCATAGTAAAAGATTTTTTTTTTTTTTTAGGTTAAATTGCTGATGCTAATGTGAGAATCGTGTGACACAGTGTTTCTGGTAAAAGACATTCTGTCTACAACTTTCAGGCAGAGTTACCCAAACTGTGTCAAGATCATCCTGTCCTGGTTAGCTCAGAACAAATGCCCTTACACTTCTGTGCAGGCTAGTCCCCACTCATCCTGAACATATTCCATTTCTGACCCAAATTGAGAATGTATTCACAAACTTCTAGAACAAACACCTGGAACTAATTAAAAGGTACACCTTAAATTTACCTTACTTCTAAGAAACTTTTCACTTGGTGAGATGTCCCATATAAATCTGTCCATGTATAAATCCATCCATCCACTTATCCATCATTTGTTCATTCATTTATCCACTCATTCTTTCATCTAGTCAATCAATATTTACTTGTATTCCACTAAACTATAAAATCTGCAATTGAAGGAATTTCTCTATATTACTAATTACTTTATTCCTTTCATCTAACTAGTACTAAATATTTATCAATTAAATAATTAAACAAAATTAATATGAACTTTTCCACTTTGTTTTGCAGTCAGTGGGAACAGCCAATTTGGGCAGAGTAAATTATTCTCATTTTTAAATTCAGTGAGATAGCCATTAGTAATAATAGGTATTGTCCATTGAGGAATTACTCTGTGCCTGTCACTGTGCTAAGCTTTACAAAGGAGTTAGAAAGCACTGTTATATTGAATCCTCACAATACCTGTGTGAAACAGATTCCTATCAACCCTGTTTTTATAGGTGGAGACACTGAAATTCAAAAGGTAAGTAACTTGCATCAGGATACATATATGGGAACTGTCAGAACTGGACAAAGTCTGATAGCAAAACCCCCTTTACTTTCTGTGTTGCACTTCATCACTTCTAAAATTCCAAGCTGCTTATGATTTATCTCCCAGCAAAGGAACAGTGTGAAATAAAATGTTATTTAACTGTCCTGGAACTTGAAGTACATAATAATAGTGGATACCCTGGCTCATGAAACACCATGCCTTCTTACATTGAAATAATTGGAAGAGAGTCTGGTCTACACAGCTGAGATTTGGGAGGCAAATTTTCTGACTATGAAGGTGATATATAACCTAATGTAGCAATAAAACTGAGCAATTTTTTTGCCCTTCCAAGAGGAAATGGTCAAAATAAACCTCCCTAAGAGACACTGTAGCACACCTTTCAAAGCTGAAAATAGAGGGGCTGAGTCCTGCATCTTAGCAGTGAACATTAGTATGTGGAGTTGCTAGACCAGGTGTCCTTTTCGTGTCCTCTGCAGTGATCTTTTCTGCTAGTCACGCTCTCAGCCCATGCAGACTTCTTCCCACCTTCTTTCTCCCCAAGTTAAATCTAGCTGTTGCTCACAGAAGATAGTCAACCTCAACACTGAGACATGACCCAGATATACACTGTGTCACCTCACCTCACCTCCAGCAGCCTCACGGGCTTGCCTTGCTTGGCAGCATGAACAGCAAAAGCTGCTCCTACAACCTCCCTGTGCCATGAAACTGAGAAATGTCATTGAAACACAGAGTAATAGTTAGGAGACATATAAATACGCAGGACACTTAGCAAGGAATGTGATAACTACTGGAGTTTGGACCAAAACAGTTTCTGGCTGCCTTTTTTTTTTTTCTTAAATGGAGTGAATACAGGCTGAAAGAAGACAATTTTTATAAACAAGTAAAACCCTGAGCCTAAGATAAATGTTGTGATGTACACACTGTAGCTGTGATGAACTAGACATGGTGAGAAATGCAACATACTGAGAAAAAGACGAAAACTGTGATAAAAGTGTCATGATGCAAATTGTTTTACATTAACAATATTACACTACAAAGAAAGAAAGACAAATACTTTAATGCAGCAGGAGAAAAATAAAACAAAAGCTTCCCCTGCAACTGCAAGATAAGTGTGCCATTTCAAATGCACATTTCCCCTGCTCACTGGGAGAGGCCTCCAGAGGGACCTTTGAGAGGCAGATAGGCAGCAGGGAGGTGCACACACACAAGCTTTCAGGCTGCAGAGAATATTTTTTCCCCCCACAAAAATGCAGCTATGTTACTTTGACTCTGGAACCACTGATCGATCCTTCCCTATTGGACTGTATATTCTGGCTTCTCAGTTAAGACTCCACTGTCCATTGTATGGCACACTTTAAGCTGTGAAGGTAACACACAAAGCCCGTGAAAGAATCGGATGTGTTCGTTTAGGTATGATTAATGATCATGAAAAATTAATGGTGCTATTTTAACCCACCCAAGTAGGATGATCCCCCTTTGCCTATCCATGGAAACAAAAATAAAAAAGGAAATGGATGACTAAGTTAGAAGCCGAATAGTCTATCACCAACTACTAAAAAGGAAGCTCAGAGTGATAAATGGGCAAGGATGCAATGGTGGTGCAGTTGGCGCTCTCCTGAGGCTAGAAACTTCCGGAGAGCCCCGCTGCCAGCAACAGTCTGGCAAAGAGAAGTGGGAAGGATTGGTCCAGTGGCAGTGCCGATTCCACAGCATCTCTGTGAGGAGCTTTTCCTTCAATCCCCCAGAAGAACCATCTGTAGCTGCTTGTTGGATCATGCTGGTTCCTCAGTTACCTTCCAACAAATAAATCTTTGTATTTTTGAAATAAAAGAAAGAGCTGATGAAAGTAGGAAAGCACCGCGAGAAATAGAAGGTCTAACAAGTTGTGAGCTGCTCCTTGTGCCATCTAGACCCGTGAGGACACATGGCTTCCCGAGGACAGGAATGGTAGCAGCTGCCACGCTTTGAAAGCTGCTTCATGGCAGGCATGGGGGTCTCAGGTAATCATTTTCAAAGCCCTGTGAGGTAGGTCTAATAATTCCCTTTATCCAGATGAAGAAACTCAGGTGCAGAGACCTCCTCAGGTTCACACTGTGGGTAAGTTGAGGAAACAGAAGTTGGGTACAGATCTTTCTAACTCCAAAGTCCACATCCCTGATATTCATATTCTATTGTCATTTCACATCATGGCCAAAAAGCTCATTGCCATTCCTAGGCTCTTGTCACTGGGTTTAATGAACAACAACCCTCCAGTTCAGGAAGATATTACCTTGGATTTACTGGTTTGCTCTATGAATTCTTCTAACTTGCAATCAATGCCCCATAAATAATATTAAATGATACCATTTGGGAAGCATCATTAATGCCACAGCAGAGACCACAGAAAACATTTACGAAAAAGTGAATTCAACCCACTATATCAGATGTTTTACTTGTTTACATCTATCAAACAACTGCACCCATGAGATGCCAAGGAAAGAGCTCCCATCAACCCCAGACAGGGGGCTCTACCTCAGGCCTCACAAGCAACACTGGCTTCTTTAAAGATCACACAGCAGTCAACATTTTATCAGCACTCCACAAACAAGTTAAGGTTTGGCTTAAATCTGAAGGTCTCTCTCCCTTTGGCATATTCTGGGATAATAGAACAAATGTCAAATCAGTACAAGATGGCATATTTACAAAATTGCACCCTGTTTTGCATAACCTAACGATGCAGCAGTTCTTAAGGATTGAACATTTCAAATCTGCTAGCAGAAGACTGCCAAATCTATGACTGTTTCATACACTTGCCAAAAGCCTATCAAATTTTGAGCAAAATGCAAAATAAATCTCCTCTACAAGTTAAATCAGTCCCTTCTGTGTGTTCCAGGCTGCCCTCTTCTCTTGGCAACAAGGCTCAGGACTTGGGCCCCATTTCTCTTGCCCTTGATCTTGCACTTCTCTCTCAGAGTACTCGCAAACCCATTTCCTCCCTGGTTTTATGTCCTGCATTTTTGGTCACCATTTGGCCTGCTCTTCCCTCAGCCCTTCTTCTGTGTCCCTGGAAAACCACTCCACTTCTTACTCACCTGTCTACTTCCTTGCTCGGCCTCTCCCCTCTGCAGAATCTGTTGAGAGCCTCTCTCTGCCCTCTTCCATCTTTTTCTACTGGATTCAGATGGTGCCATCTCCCTTTTCTAATCCTCTGTATCTATATGTTACTTAACATTTTTTTGTGCCTTAGTTTCTGTACCAGTAAAATGGAGATAATTAGAATACTTAAAGGATTTAGGGGAGAGTTGAACCTGATTATCCACATAAAGAGCATAGAATAGTGTCTGGCCATAGAAGCACTTTATAAATGAATTAAAAGAATGAATGAAGTGATTGGAACCGGATGCCCTCTGTTGGAGAGGAGGTAAAATGAAACCATAACTTCTTGGTTACTCCCCTGTCCCTCCCTACATGCTCCTGACATACAGAATTATATATGAAATTCCTGGGCCTCCACAGTCACAATTGTGTTTTTCACATACGTTGGCTACTTTGTCATATTCAAGCTCATGTTTTATTACCTACTTTTATTTCATCTCCCCTAAGTCTTGGCTTTTCTTTACCTACAAGGGATAAACTGAACCCTAAATGGGTGAATGTTAATATCTTTTGCAGGTTTGGCTAATGACTGTGATGATTGGCCATCTAAGACAGCACTCACCAGTGCTACTCAGGAGCTCACTCATAGAGGTGGCTGAGCCCGCTGTTTGGTAGTGAGTTGCCTCCCTTGAATCCTTTGCTAGGATCTGTCACACTTTCTGTCTGTTTTGGACTGAGACTGATCGCACAAACATGTCCACAGATCTACACTACTCATTAGTTCAGATTTGTCACTCTTCTGCTTTGGCTGACAATTTAGAGCCTCTGGGACCAGCTCCTTGGAGCTTTAGGGAGATGAAGTTCTTTCTTCTTTGAGCTCTTTGTATCCTTTAAAAGGGATCCCAAAGAGTCTTATAGACTCTCTGCTATGCCACTGCATTGGATCTAAGCCTTAGTCCTGGAGTCCCCTATCTATATTTCAGCTTTGAAAGAATGGGAAAGGGTTCTCCCTGTGGTTGAACTAAGCCCCAGTTGAATGCTTAGCAGTTGAAGTGCAGGGCAGCCTCCAATGGGTGCTGGCTCACAGCATCACACAGCTTCTCTGCCTGCTGCATTCAGCTGTGTGAAGGGTTCCTCAGAATTCCTTTTCCTCAACAGTAAATAGGACCTTTATTTCACAAGACATGTTCCTCTCATCGATGTAGGTTTCTCTACATTCTTCCAAATCTAGGTCATTAATGACCTCATCATGAATCTTTTCCTAATTTGAGTTTTATTAAAGACTGCATTCTCCTTCAAAGGTTCTAATTCTGGCTGCTGTATTGATTGGTTTTTAACCCAGAACATGGATGAAGATCAAGGCCTTGCTGATTGCACCCTTTGGACATGTCTAATCATCAATATACTGAAGAGAGTCACTGCTCCAGACTAAAGGGGTCTCCTTTTCAAAACATTTCCTTCTGACCTGAAGAAATGCACAGGGTGGCAAAAGCCTCTAAGAAATTGTCCTCTTTGTCTTTTCAGGGAGGGAGGGAGGGAGGGAGCAGGGAGAGAGAGAGAGAGAGAGAGAGAGAGAGAGAGAGAGATAGAGAGAGAGAGAGAGAGAAGCAACCTGGGAAAGAAAAGTAAAAGATGGGGTCCAGAGGGGCAGCTGGGGCCTTGGAGGAAAATAGAATCTCTGAATGTATTCTTGCCAGAGACAAAAGCACAGGCTCATTTAAAAAACAAAGGAGGGCAGCTTTATTCTAAAGCCTGCTGTGCACCAAAAATAGGAACTTAGATTCAGTTCCTCCACATAGATTCAGTTCTCCACATTCGGAGGAAGCAACTTACCACAGTGGAGACAATTCCGCTAATGCATTTGCCTCACTTTCTCCTGCCCACCTTAACTATCACCCTCCCAGATAATTCCTCTGAGTAACACATTGGGAACCTTTAGCTCCCTGGTACTGGCAGTTTTAATGTGTCCATTGCCAGCAATAAATTTCGTGCCAAGAAAACCCGACTCCTGGCGTGGAAGGATTAAACAGTCCTCGGGTGCCATCTGTGCAGTGAAGTGTAAGAGTGACTTTGTGCACCCAGTGTGCGTGTGTTGCCATTGGCAGTAGGAAGTGACTTCTATTTACATGACTACCTCATGCAGTGAACACCTAAGGGGAGAGATGAAAATGGCCACCACCATGGGGGGTAGGTGGGGGGAAGAGGGGGGTTGGAATGGGAAAGAGAGCCTATAGAAAATACTGGAAAAAAATACAGATTGAAACGGCAGATGAAAACTAATTACCCTATATAATTATATAGGGAGTCTGGTTAAGAGAAAATACACTGCAGGCCTGATGTGCTTTGAGGAAGGAAGGCAGGTGCCACGGAGGTACCTCCTTAGATGTCAGGGTTTAGACTTGACCCTGGGCTTCAGGGTTCAATGTCCCCTAAGAATGTGGTTCATCAAAATAAACTTTTGACTTCTCATTCTAGAGTCTGGGGGCAAGATCTAGGAAGTAACCTCTAATGTTTCAGAAGCTTTTAGTACTTTGGGATAATCAAGTTTAAGTCTTCTGGCAATCAAACTTAAGTATTCAGAATGGGCCATTTACAAAAAAAAAAAAAAAAAAAGTCAAGCTATAAAATGAGAGAAGTGATGGGAAATGAAACCTACATCACAATGTTTCCCTTCAAGTTTTTATGGTGAATCAGAAAAGGTTTGGGGCTTTGTACTTTATACAGGGGAATCCAAAGAATAGCATGTTGAGGAAAACCTTGAATAACCTTGCTACAGAGGGGGAAGATCCTGTACAAAATAAGGATTAAGTCAAGAGAGAATCAAGTGGGGATTAAAAGATATACAAGAAAACAACCCAGGGTTCAAAAGCAGATGCTTCTCCACTGTTCCCTAACAGATGGAGATGGAGAGCGAATGACAGATCAGACATAAGGGGCAGAGGGCACTGTCACAAAATGGAAAGCTACAGAAATGGAGCAGTGAGCCTCCATATAAACCAGATCACTGTAATCAGGGGGCTGACCACCTGGCCAAAGAGCGGGGACTGGATGTAGTTGTGCACACAGGAAAGGGTCACTGACTGACGTGGAAAGACAAGCTAAGGGGAAACAAGCTGGGTTTCTGATATAAAAGGAGCGAGGTCACATGACAGCTGCAAGGCGGTTATGAAAAGAAAGGGTGTCTGTGTGGAGGAGAAAGAGTGGGAAGAAATTGAGTGTCAAGTATCAGATGGGAGCACTGACAGAAATGGGGAAAACCTGGTTATGGGACTGCCTTGTAGGGAAAGATGATTTGTGTGCCTCACTTTTCTATCTTGACTGACAAATACAGATGAAAACATCTGCAGGCACGAACCCCAAACACACTTCCACCCACCCGATGGACAGACTTGCTTATTAAGTAGAAAGTAACAGGTACAACTAGTTTGTCTATACTTTTAAAGACTTTGAGTTAATATTATTACATTTTGATCAGATGGTTTCAGAATACACAGTAATAATGATGCCGCCTTACAAAAAATGGACAAATAGTGTTCCAAGCAATGTTTCAATACCTTGAGAGTCATGCATTGAATCATGACACAGATGAGCAGAAATGATCTCCTCAGATTGTTGTCTTTCTTTCTAATTCACTATCTCAGGAAGCCTTTTGAACATTCTTTGGAGAATGGGAGCATTAGAGATAATTTACCTTGTCATCTGTAAGTTTTAGTTTCTTTTTTATTTTCCTTTTTTTGTTTTTTACCAAGGAAAGTGACACATCGAATCAGAAAAATTTTGGAAAGATCCAAATGCTGGAAGCATACCTAATAGCTCATACTTCAGGTGGCATCAAGGTGGCACCAAAGAGAACACTCCGGCTTTGCTGGCATTGTCTCTGTTAGCAATGATAGCCAGTGATTGCTGCTGCCAGACCGTATTTCAAATGCTATGGCTCATCTGCAGGGAAACCTGCCCACTGGCTCTGCCTTTAAGCAATCAGCCTATTGGATGCTCTTCAGTAATTTATGGTCAGGGTTTTCCAGGGTATTGCCCAACTGTATCAACCCCTCATTTGCTTTACTCAAATCTTGTGTTTTAAAAAAAGTGTACATAACTGGCTCTGAGTAAGAAAATTATAGGCTTGTAGATATGTCTTAATTATGATAATACTATGAGAAATTTTAATATTTAGCTAAAGGTTTAAAGAGTTTTACGATCTCTAAAGGAATATGTTGAAATTGATATGTTTTCTAAACTGAAATTTTTATAATTAAAGTAATTATCTGGTGTTGCTTTGTATTTCTAAATGAATGCATATTGTGACCTATATAGCATACGATAAAGACTGTAATTATGCAGAATATAGTAGAGGAAGCTATTGGATTATCTCTAAACCACCTGTGTTATTTCTTTTTAACAAGAATTTTGTTGGAAATTTTAAAAAAAATTATATTTTTCCAGAATAGATACACTTAAACAGTTCTTAATCCACTTATAAATAGGTTATAAAATGTGCATAGCTCACATCTCTTACCCTGTAACGGTCAAGGTTGTCTTCTGGGGTTGGGAGGCCCATGTAACGTTCTGTGTACACTGAGTCTGTGAGTGAAAGGAAAAAAACAACTAATTCCTACAGTAATAACTTTTCTTCCCGTTTATTGGGTTAGTTTGTTTTCCTATATCGTAACTCAAGTACTGAGATATATGTGTTTATGTGTGTGTATATATATAGTTTCCCTCAGAATTAATCCCTCCAGATTTGGCTTGTTATGTAGCCAGAGACACTAATTCCCAGAAAGCTCACCTAGATTCAGCCCTCTTCAGATTCATCCCTAACCCACTCACAGTCCTCTGATGGAGGCAGAGAGAAAGCAAACTAAATGATATTTACTTCAATCGATAACTCACATGCAGAAAGTCAATGTGAAGTAAGACTTGCTCGAAGAGTCACCTTCGGTTTTTTGGTTGTGAGACAAATCCTTTTGGAATACCCTAACAATGATCAATTACTAGTTGGTTGCTTAAATCATATATATGTTTTGACAGGTTGGTATTCACTATAATGAATAGAAAGTGTTCAGCTATCAGTCCCATATTGGCTTAGCTGCTCTATCACAATGCAAGTTAAACATTTGGTTTTTCTAATTTTGTGGAGAGGTCTCAATTTCGTGTGATAACACTTGAGTATTATGAAACAGATTACATTAATATCTGTCTGCTCGAATGACATAAGCTCTTTTATCTATAAACATGGTGAAAAACAGGTTGCATAATTGGTTTGGTGATTTTTGATAATTAAACATATTTCCTGCCCAATTAAAAAAATAAAATCATACATTATATGTATTTGCCCTAAGATATCAGTGAGAATTTTTTTTTCTTTTTTTTTTTTTTTTTTTGTGTGTGTGGCCAAATTCCAGTATGACCTTAGAAGTCTGACATAACTGTTTGGAAAGCTGCCTCCTTAAGTGACCAGATTACAGTAAATAAGTATAAGCATGATCTATTGCCATTGTGCTATGTAGGTTAATGGCTTAAAGGTCCTCTAACTGCACAAGTATATAAATATTGATTCTGTTAATTCTTTAAATTAAATCATCAAAATTTAACATGCTAATCTTTTTTGAATGGTTGACATTGTAGATTAAAAACTACACTGCAGAATATTAGTTGTTCTACATGTATTCTTGCCATTTCTGTTAAAATAAAAAAATTTTCCTTATATTTTTAGAAATGAGTAAAACGTTTTATTATTTTGTTTAAAATGAATACAGACTATATGTAATTTTATTCATTTAGAGGACACTCATGTAAAATTATAATTTTTTTTTTTGTACTGGGGATTGAACCCAGGGGCATTTAACCACTGAGCCACATCCCCAGCCCTTTTTCATATTTTATTTAGAGACTAGGTCTTGCTGAGTTGCTTAGGGCCTTGCTAAGTTGTTGAGGCTGGCTTTGGATTCATGATCCTCCTGCCTCAGCCTCCTGAGCTGCTGGGTTTACAGGTTAAGCACCACCATGCTCAGCTGTAAAATTACAGTATTTAAAAAGCCATTTTAAAATATAAGATCTTCATAAAATATCTTTATAAACTCTAACATTTAAATATTAATAACTTAGGTTGTGTGTTTGATAAGGGTTTATTGGGCTTTAAGAGCAAAACAATTTTTTCCCAAACAGTGGCAGACTTCATTTCTGCTTGTCTTAGAACACAATACCCCTTTATTATTTATGCTGACCAGGTTTATATTTGTGGGAAGGCCTAAAATTTAAAATAACATTTAAAATTTATGCGTAACTTTTAGAAATATGCCTTGAAATACCACTTACGTATTCCTTTTATCCAATCTTTAAATAAACTTGTTCAAATTTGCACACATATAAAAACTATTGAGTTCCTCTCTATTAGGCTGGTCCATATACACTTAATGAAGTTGTTTGTTATCATTAATACATAATTATATCATTAATACATAATACATTTTTTAAAATTTTTTCTTCTTTTTTTAAAATTTTTTTATTAGTTGCTCAAAACATTACAATGATCTTGACATATCATACATTTGATTCAAATGGGGTACATAGTCTTATTTTTCCACGTGTACAGATTGCAGGATCACATTGGTTATACAGCCACGTTTATTAATACAGCCATACTAGTGTCTGTTGTAATACATTTTAAACTCAACAGACTGTTTCTATTTTTTTATTGACCACCAGAGGTCTCCAAAAACAAGCCATCTAACATAACCAATCTCAAGGAGAAAAGTGTTGTATGAAAACAATTCCATTGTGTGCAGATCAAATAGTAACTATGCCCTCCAACTCTTTTAACAGAAAGATGCATTTTGTCCATTGACTTCCATTGACTGAGTGAGACTTTGAAAAAGGGTTTTCCACAGGTCTGATGGTACTATCATATATCACAATGTGAAATAGTTAACAAGCATATTTATTATCAGTGATTCTATTCTTACACTACATAAATGGCTTGAGATGGGGACAAAGAGATCCAGGAAAATACTACATCTCCCCACTTCTGAGGAAGATCTAGTCTTTCATTGTCCATTATCATCTTACAGATTACCATGCCCTCTAGAATAATATTCTCTCATCGATGAAGATAATAGTCTACAATATCTTTCTCCTACTAAGTGATAGTGGGGGAAAAACCCTGGAAATTCTTGTGTCCTATTCTTCTTCTATCTAAAGCCTAGCTTTTATTTGACTTTTACCCAAAGGGAAAGAGACACACACTTTCATTATTCTGCTAATATGGGAAGTCCCAAAATAAAATAAGAAGTTAAAGAAAGGTTTATTTGAGAAATGTAGCAATGAGGCTGTTTTGCAATTTGGAAAACAGAATTTGTAGATAAGAAACTAATTGGGTAGATAATACATAATATCACTCAAGCTTACATAAGAGCAGAATAAATGAGATCATCTTATTATAGTTATCCATGAAGAACCTCTAAGATGAATCAGGCTATTATTTGTGGCAGAAGCACTGAAACTCAAATTATTTGCTGTATAGAGTGAAACTCTAAAAGGAATGATTTTGTTACGAAAAAATTAAGCAATTTAACAATTGCTGTTTCTTTGTATCTGACAGTAATTACATACCATAGTACTCCCACCGAGACACAGGTGCCACAGCTATTCCACACTTGAACACGCCACTTCCCGATCCCAGGACCATCGAGGTTACGTACCCTCCATATGACTAAAGAATGGAAACAGTTATTTTTATGGAGGTAAAGGAATAAGGACATATGGTAAGCGAGTCGCAGTTTCCACATTTCTCACATCTTTATATACTGTGCCTCTTTAGAGAAGGAAAGCATGGTATAGGAGGCTTAAATTGGCCTTAATTGGGCAGTATCTAAAGTCTACACTTTCAGAGCCCCGGTGCCTTTTCTTGGTAAGTGTAAGGGGGAAAGCATGGGACATTTGCTGATGCTGGTAATTGGGTAGTGCCAATTAAAGAAAAAGAAAGAAATAAAAACAATAAACACAACTGACTCATGAGAAGAAGTCTCCCTTCTTCCCTCTCTCACTCCCTCCTCCTCTCTTCATTTTTTTCCCTCCCTTCCTCTCTTTTCATCTCCCTCCCTCAACACAGTAGCTGAAGGTGCAAGCCTAGCTCAGGAGAGACTCTAGAGGATTACTGTCAAGAGATACAAGACTTGATAGACACGATTTTCATCTCCAAATATTTGCATACAAAAGATAAATGAACCTGCTCTGGGTTATATCCACTAAGGAATGCACACCACTTCACCCACCCAACAACTACTCACCCAGCCCCAAATTGCAATTCGCTGGCTGTCCACAAATCCCATATTTGAAAATTGTCTGAAACACAAGAAGTCTATGCATCAATTTTATACCATGTATATAGAAAACAAAGATAACTACGCAAATGTGAGACCAGCCATTTGTTATCTCTTTCAGTCTATTTGAAACTAAGATGGATCATTGCCAGCAATCAAAAACCACCTGAGACAAATGCCTGCCATGCTAACTTAAGACCCAGATGAACACAGCTTGCTTTCATTGGAGTGGAGTCCATAAAAATTGTGTGTGTGTGTGTGTGCGTGTGCGTGCGTGTGTGTGCGTGTGTGTGTATGATTCACAGAAAACAAATCTTGGCAGTTTTTTTCACAGCTTTATATAAAAATTTGCAGCCCAGATGCACTTTTCTTTACATAATTGAATTTAAATTTCTCCAGATGTTTTTCAGTTTGAGAGCATCTGCCCCTACAATGGGGAAAGACAAGGGCATGAAGAACATCTGGGTATGGCTTAGAAATATATCTGGGCCCCCACCTGAGAACTTAAACACCATTGTCTAATAACTTTCTTCTTATGCAGGGTGTTGATTAGTTAGCTCAGCACCATTAAAAAGAAAGCAATTTTTCCTTGGTGGATTAAGATGTCTTTTTGCCACTAAACTGTGTTCAGCGTTGGAATCCAAGTAAAGAAATGAGAAATATGTTTTTTGCCTCTATTCCTCAATCCTAGCCTTACATCAAAAGGCACTTTTTAAATTAAAAAATCTAGCAAATGGAACATTTGGGGCTTTTGCATGTGGCTTTGGGAGCTCTTTTGTTTTCAGTTGATGATACATATCCTAGGCTCTGAGTTATGCAACATTAGGGAACATAAAAATAGTTTTCAACTCATTTTCTGTATGTCAAACTCTCTAAACTTGAAGAACTCAGACATGCAGATGTGTTCACTGAATCATGAGTGTGCAGCTTGATAAAGCTTTCTAAGGGACCATGCCCTTGAAATCATGGCCTGTGCATGGCCACAGCCTCCAGATCATTTCCCTCCTTCCAAAAGGACAAAAAGAAATGTTACCCTTTTGTTGGTGAACTTGTACCTGGTTTTGGACGTCACATAAATCGGATTATACAGGATGTACACTCGTGTCTGGCTTTGCTGTCATTTAACAGTGTATTTGTGAGATTCATCTATGTTACTCTAGTTGTGATTAATTGCTGAAATAGTGTTCCATTGTATACTGCATCTCATTTTTTTCAAACTTGAGTTGCATACTATGGAAACTCAATTCTGTAATTCTGCAATATTAGGGTTTTTGTAGGTCAGATTTGAGAGGCCCTTTATATGCCCTCTCACATATAAAGTACATGTGGATTGATACAAATTTATTTTTAAAATGTCAATGCCTCACTCATGAAAATATTTATTGTATTTTATTTAGTTAGTTATTTGTTTACCATTTTCTCTTTTTTTCTTTGTTACTTTTCTTAAAGGCATTTTTTCCCTATCCCTTTAATCATTCAAGGATCTTTCTGCATATCCTGATCCATGATTTCACAACATTATCTCAAATTCCACCACTTATCAGACTTCCCCAGATATCCACGCAGTTGGTTATAGAAACTCAAAGATTATATTTCCCATTTACTAGTTGAATGTAATTGAATAAAAGAGTTGGAATAAAACTGGGTTCAAATCTTTTCACCTTGACAAGTTACCTAATCTAAGAGCCTCCACTTCTTCACCTGAAATTTGGGTAAGAACTCCCACCTCCTAGGACAGTTATGCAGCTTCAGTTACAAAAGCTGTGGGTAAATCGCTGCCCACATCACGTGCAGATCATGGGGTACTCATCATTCATGGTTAAAATCTCTCGTAAGCTGGATCACATCAATTCATAACCCCATAAGAGGCCAAAAATGAGATGTGATTCCTACTTAAGGAAGCCTTCATATTTGTGACCCTGATGGGTATGCTTTATACTTATCTCAAAACAGAAGAGTCACTTTCATCCAGACTCTGGAAGATACTCCAAGGACTTCATAGTTGTGACCCCCTACAATGTCAAAGCACACTGACCTCCTCTTTATCCTTGACTCTTAAGGGATAGGCTTGCTCAGGTACATTTATCCCTCAGTGTGTTTGATGAATTTCAAATCTCCATTCTTAGAAGGTAGTAGCACATATGCCAACTCCTTTCTAGCATCACTTACAAAGAGATATTTAGGAAATATTTTTTTTTTGCCTTCGTATAAATCTATAATGACATACCTTGTTCTTTTCCCAAGCATAATGTCTTTACCACAAGGATAAAAGACTACAAATTTATCCCAGCACATTTTAAATTTTTACACTTTACAACTTCAAAATATAAATCGAGGGGGAAGAAGTCAGAAGTCCTTTGAATTGATCTCCTAGTCACTCACCTGGCTGCTTCAATTTGATCATCAACTTCAAATGTTCCCAGTCTTCTGTTGATTGCATGCATGATCTTATCTCCTTGGTAACCACTTCCCCTGCCGTCAAAGCTAGCTACTATGATGTTTTCTGTACTGGCAAGGTAAGTGGCCCAGTTGAGTCGGAAGACAGCATCTGCTTTTTGGCTGCAGGGGCCTGCGTAGCTGTGAAAAGACCCAAAATTCAATAAAGAGTCTCAAAGTCAAAAGTCCCCAGATCAAATCAAAAGCTTGTGTTTGTCTTCCCTGTAGAGGAGATGCATGTATCTTTCCCCATTGTGAACCTGAAATCATGCCAGCCACTGGTGTATCCAGAATGGTTCCTCTAAAACTTGACAACATGTCTGGAATGCCTGTGTACTTCCTTCAAAGATGCCATTAGTTTTATCTTTGAAGATTGTTATCAAACCCAGATTTCAGAAGTCAACAATTTTAAAGTATTACACAATAATTTCTCTAATAGTGGCGATAGGGAAATTTTGTTATGAAAACCTAACAATGATGACAATAAATGCAGCTTTGACTATATTTTTCCATCTCAGCTTAAAGTACTTGAAGCATTTATTTATTTCCTAGGTTGCAACTTCCGTGAGGACTCTGTACACCCTATGCTTTGGAATTCCCTATGTACCCAGCAGAGTTTCTCACTCTAGGGTTTTGCACATCACTGTGGAATGAATCAAGGTAGGCACAAATGCTATTACCTAAAAGTCCAAAGGAGAAAGAAATACAAACTTGTATTGGAAAATAGGTTATGTTATTTGGCATTTTTTCTAGTAACAAGTTTAACTCCCTCATATTTGCAACATTCACAGACTATAGTCTACCCCACTCACAGCTGGGTGGACAGTCTCTATTGAACACTTTTGCTGCTGTTTGTTAATTAAGAGGCAGTACCTATAGAACATTGTATCTCCTTTACATGTCATCACCGCATGGTCCCCAGTCCTTTTTAATTTTTAATTTTTTTTTTTTTTTTTTGAGACAGAGTCTCATTAAGTTGCTGAGGCTGACTTTGAACTTGCAATCCTCCTGCCTCAGCCTCCCAAGCTGCTGGGATAACAGGCACATGCTACCATACCCAGCCATTTTTAGTAACATGTGAAATGCCTTGGTCCTGTCAATGATGCTAAATTTGGTAGATTAAGAGTTTGCCTCTTACCCAAACTCCCAATGGTTGCCTTGAGTCTTTTAAGACTTGAAGAGTTATCTACCCCTGAGATTAGACCAAATTATTAAACAACAACAAAAAGACCTTAAAAAAGAGAAGGAGGAGAGTAACTGACCAAAAACGGGTGCTAACTTGACCTTTTTGTTTTATTCTTAACCTTTCTTAATTATTTACAGGCATGTCAAAGAAGAGAGAGAAACATCACTATTATATTTTAAAGGATGCTTTTCAGAATTGTAAATATAGCCTAATATAAATCAATGTCACAGATGAATTTGAATTCATTAAACCAAAATTAAGCTTAAGAAAGTCAAATAGCACATCAGAAATTTAAAATACCCATCTTTCCTTTTGTGTGTGTGCTTTATGTTCAGTTTTATAAAACTGTGAATAGAGAAACACAAAGCTATGTCTGATATTAATATCTGTGCTTTTTTTTCTAGTGACAACAGAAATTTTTTTCCCTTGAGTTTCGTTTTCTCCTCCATATGATAGACCAACAGAACTCACCACATCCGTTTGTTGTATGAATAAAGTAAGTCACAGAAAGCACCTGGCTCACAGCAGGCCCCAGCACTTTTGTTTTTTATAAAGGAAATAATACATGCTATGATGGGAAGACTGTGGCATTAAGGGTGAGACCAGGGCACTTTTAAAGTGTATACCTAGCAGTTAATAAAAACATTTTACAATATTGTCATATTCAGAACTCACAAACATGATTCCAGAACTTTCTCTAAGACTTGAAGACTTTAGGATCATAATGAACACTCTGCTACGTCATTCCTCCTCTTTACAAAATAAAAAATTATAAAAAGGAACAGACAATGCCTGGCAGTGAAATTTCAGGAACTAAAAGAGAAAGCTCAAGTCTTAAAAGAGTCAAAGGCGACCAATGGGAGTTGTTTGGGTAAGTCTGGGACATCTGTTAATACCATCTCTTGCTTGTTCAAATGTATAGAGCTAAGGACAAGCATGGGAACTTGAGAATTCCTGTGGAACTCCCCTGGATTTTTGGAAGCAAATCATAAGAAAAAAATATATGCTATTATAATAGAAGAAAAGTGTCTGTCTTGCCTATTAAGAAGAGAGTAGAAAATACAAGGTTGGAGTCTGTGGATGCAAAATGAAGGTGAAAACAGTAATCAGTGATTTGGGGAGAAAGAAAGATTGCATTTGGCTCTGTGTTTCAGTAATCTGTACTGGGCAAAGGGAAAAAAAAAAGCGACATTTAAGACTAAATTGCTCTCTCCTCTTGAACTTACACTTCTAATAGCAGAGGGTATTTCTTGGATTTATCAAAATGAGGAGGCAAGATCATCTGATACCAAAATTCTAAAAAGAAAAAAAAATCAATTAGTGAGATAAGAACAATTATTAGTGCAAGATTTCTTTCCTTATCTCTGTCAGTGATGTCATGTCTAGAGTTTAACAATTTGCTAAATTAGAATAGAAAAAAGAAAACGAGCTGCTTGGATTCAGCATGTTTTTAAGATATAAAAACACTGTCAGGTTAAAATACTCGTTAATATTAAGACAATAAAGTTGTCTTTAAAGTATCTATCGAATACATTGGTGCCTTGTAAAATAAAAGTGCATCTTAGAATTTCTAATGTTTTGTTTTTATGATTCTGTTCTTTGGCATCTGATCTACTTATCTAGTTTGTTTATGGCTTATGTTCTAAGTTTTCCTCCAAAATGTTTTCCTCTTCTTGAATTTCCTTGAAGCTGTTTAGGATTTGTAGTTGGCCCCAACTCTATTTTAAAATTCTGATTTAATAACATTTTTATAATTCCTATTGCCATCCCAGACCGCAGAGCTGCGTTCCCATTTTCAGCTCCGTATTTCACAGAATGAAATCGGGCTTATGTGGAGCAAACTGTTGAGTACATTCTGTATGATCTCCCACGGATCTGTTTGATTCCCTGTGCTTGATTTAATGTCAGTTTGATAAGATTTGTCCTTAAATAATGAATTGGTTTCCTTTGCTTTCAAATGAAAGATGAGTTTTTCTAACAAATCTAAAAGATTAAGCGTTTTTCCAGATTTTAATGACTATTTATAGCTTTGGGAGATTTAAATTGTGGGCCAAAAATGAAAAATTCCTGATCTCTAGAGCTCTTTCCTACATTTATTTTCCTTTTTGTCTTATTGCTTTGATTTTGATTGATTTTATTTTGGTTAAGGACAAAAGAAAGATTTAGGAATAAAATATACAAGTAGATTAATCTTCAATTCTTATTTTGCTGAATATGTTTGTTTTCTAATTTAATATGTTTATAAGAACAAAATTTGAAGTTAATTTATAATATAATTTCAATGAAATATCAAATTATTGGCTGCCCATGATGTTTATATTTGATTGAGGCTCTGTGAGTCAGCACTCACTCATTAGAAGATGCTGAGACACAAAGGTTCCACCTTTGTGCAGAGAGATGGTCCTTTCTTTGAGGGGAGGGTATCTTTCTAATCTTAAAGCTCCACCTTCCCTGCTCGCTTCTCTTGAATGCCCCCTTTAGCCCTCTTTTCCTATCAGACCCTCTTTTGTCTGAAAGCTCTACCCTGCAATCCCTATCAGTTTTCCCTTTCATGTGGCTTCCCTGATCCTAAACCCTTCAGGTATCCCCACTGTTTACCAACTGGAATAGAATGTCACATCCAGTACTCAACGCTTCTGCACCAGGCCTTGTCAGCATTGAGAAGCTCTAAGTTTATGACTTAGAGGTTTGAAAACACCGTCATCACTTAGGAGCTTACTCTAAATGCTAGAACCTGGACAGTCAACCTGACTCGCAGGGCCAGAATGTAAATGTTAACGAGCTCCCAGGTGACTCACAAGCATGTTTTATTTGAGCACCCCTATCCTAAGATATTCTTCAGAAGTACCTACACTCTCAAGGGCCTGTCTTGTCCTTAAAATGAAATGAGTTGAATATTTCCTATTATATGCAAAATTTATAAAAAGCATCCAGGCTAAATGAACCCAGATGGATTCTTCCCTTCCCTATAAGTTGTTAGCCCTTAGTGGAGAAATGAAAACTAACCAACAAACACAATTTCCTACTCAAAGAAACCTACTGTTCTCAGTGAATGGGATCCAGGATTAGTCGACCAAGCCCAGTCATATGACAACTATGAGAGGGGAGGAGGTATAGAAAAAATAAAGATTTCTCTCTTGAGACTGAATTTCAGCCCTTTATAGAGAGCCCCAATTTGAAACTATAATCATCTCAGATATTTTCCAATTATTGGTTTAAAGGAGAAACATATTAAGATGACATTAATTAAATGTATAGCTACCCGTAGAATAGTTACTAGCAGGATAAAACTGAATTAATAGTAGTGCATTTTCTCCAAACATCTTTCCTCTTGACAAAATATATTTTATATAAGGTGCTGTTATTTTTTTACGATGAAAAAATTCAAAAGTAGTAGATCTGTGTCAGAACATTTTTTGGAAAAATAAACTTCTAAATTATATTTATATGATATAAAAGATATATTTTCAGATTATCACAGTAGTCATATTTACTGGTGTTTCCATGAAAAGTATTATTCCAAGAGAAATTTAACTTACTTGTTTCATTCAAAATAATAAAGTCCAGCTTCTTTGAAGGCATTTGGACATCCTGCAGCATTTTATCCAAAGCTGAATTATCTTCCAGGACTCTTAGTACTGAGTAAATAAATGAAGCAACAGAAATTCATTGCAAGGTGAAGAATTTAGATTATGCAATAATGACCAATGCAATACTCAGCAAACACAAAATGCGCGGATTGAACTGTACATACTTTGGGTCATAAACCTTTTGCTCAGGTTGTTGTGAAGATACTTTAAAGCCAAGGGAAAACACACAATGCTAAGGACATGTTAGTCCTCTTCACATGCACTTTCCTACAAGCAAATGAAGGGTGAGGTATGAGAAATTACCTTGATCATTTGTACTTCTATGCAGAGTATAGAGAGGCAGACCAGGGCCTGTTAACACAATCAGGGAAAAATATGTTTTAGATGAGAATAGCATACATGACTTTTTTTTTTTTTAAGAGAGAGAGAGAGAGAGAGAATTTTTTAATATTTATTTTTTAGTTGTCGGTGGACACAACATTTTTATTTTTATTTTTATGTGGCGCTGAGGATGGAACCCAGTGCTCCGCACATGCCAGGCGAGTGCGTTACCACTTGAGCCACATCCCCAGCCCCATACATAACTTTTTAAATCTCTCTTTTATTACCATTTACCTTTGATAGAAGACATAATAAATATCATAGTGGATAAGAAACTTAATAAATGGTGGTAGTTGATCCTTAAAATAACTGCAATTGGATACAAGGTGTATTACTGCAAAGGAACAGGGCTCAGTAGAATGAGGTGGGAATGAACCTCTGCCCTGCTGGGCTTGAGTATGTTACCACCTCTGTGCTGCATTTCCTTGTCACTGAGCTGAAATGGGAGCTGCCATCCTCCCCACTCTGAAACTCTGAAACCTTGCTGATCTTAGCAGCTCCAGACCCTGCACTCTTTGGGCAGCAGGCTAGCCGAGCTCTGGAGCCAGCCGCACCTGAAGGAGGGTGGGTCCCCCATCATGCCCACTCCTGAGGAGTCCCGGAGCCAGGAAGCACATCTGCAGTGCCTGACTTGGATAAGCGATTTCCTTCTGGCATGGAAAAGTGTTTTTCTCACAAGCCCATATCTTCACTATTTATCCCAACTGTGGTAGTTGCAGAGTGGAAGGTAATGTATAGAAAAGCTATTTTGTGAGCTAGTTAATTCTGATGCATTTGGATGATAATATTAATTTTCATACTTGATTGAAACCACAGTGAAGACACTATCCAGACCTGGGTTTGAATACTGGCTGAGTTGCCCTGTGCCTCCTAAGTCACATAGACAACAGAATGTATGCTTCAATTTCCTCACTACAAAAAAAAGGAAGAAGATGATAATATCTACTTTGCCCAATTTTCTTAAGGATGAAACAAGATCATGAATATACAGCTTTTAGCACAGTGCTTAGTATAAAGTACACACCCAAGAAAGGGGGACAAGAAACAGCGATGGCGAAGAACCACAGAAATAAATAATAAAGAAAATACACTTGGGAAGAAAGATTCAGAAAACTGTTCAGAGTCATCTTTTTTTTTTTTTTTGCCATTTTGACAATTCTTTTCAGAATATCCACATTCCTTCTCTCACTTAAGAGGTAGCCTCACTCAATTTTTTAGAAAGAGGGCTCAGGGGCCAGGGTTGTGGCTCAGTGATAGAGCACTTGCCTGGCATGTGTGAGGCACTGGGGTTTGATTCTCAGCACCACATATAAATAAATAAATAGAGAAGGAAAGAAAGAGAGAAAGAAAGAAAGAAAGAAAGGGTCCATTAACAACTATAATAATAATAATAATAATAATAATAATAATAATAATAATAATAATAATAATTTTAATTTTAAAAAGAAAGAGGGCTCAGGAGGCAGAGGCCTGGGTGTGAATCCTCTATAGATGCTGTGCAACTTACACTAGGTGCTGTGTCTCTCCTTGCCCAAGTTTCTTCATTTGTAAAATAAATAAATAAATAATAATAGCAATAGCAACAGAAGATAAAGCTATGAGCACACTGAGTGACAGGCACTAGTCATGGCTTCTCATTTAAAGGGGTGAGTTCATAAAATAAATATTTGAAAATGCACAATCTGTAGAGAAGACATATATAGAAGATATATAAGAAGGAAGAAGGAATATATAGGAAGTAAGTCTCCAAAGGGAAAGTAAAAGTGGTTTTAAACTCACCACTTAAATGTGAGTGGATAAAAAGGGACTGAGGTGTTTACAACAGCCCCCCGGGGTTCAAAAGGAGAGGACTGAGCAGAGAAGAAACAATGGTTTACAAACTGGACATTGGAAGGAATATCTTGGGCATGGGAAGAAGGGACCAGGAGGGTGGTAAAGGGAAGCCCTGAGACAGGGGTCACCTTAGCTGAGGGAGTGGAGGGAGCTACTCCTGAGGACCACGAGTCCCTGCAGCCTCTGCCCGACCTTTCAGTGGGCGTCAACTTACCTGAACATCTCAGCTGATAATATTTTGCCATTTTACTAAATGACACAGAATAGTACTGACACCTTTCTTGATTCAGCTCACAACTAAGGCATGTCACTTTTGTGTAGTCATTAAGTTGGATTCTGTAAAACCAACAGTGGAAAGTAAGTGCTCAATGAAAGGACCAAGGAGAGGAAAAAAATTTGAATAATGTCACACTCTAGATTTAGAGTATTCAGAACACCAAAACCATCCTCCAATTTCTTTTTTTTTTTTTTAACGTGAATTATATGAGTTAGTAATAACCTCAAATCTCCCATTGTTTGGAAATGTCACAAAACAGCTAATAAACTCATTCTCTTTAGTGACACGCAGGTTGATTTATGAGAGAATAAAAATAGTTGGCAGCAATTCTAATTTAATATTAGGACAAGACAAAAAAATTTTTAAAGGGAGTCTACAAATTGTTCATAGGCAAAACATGATTGAAGTCCATAACTTGACAGAGCTCTTACTTATAGAGATTTCTTCCTCCTGGCATGCCTTTGTATTCATTACTAATGTAGTATCTGGAAAAAAAACAAATGAAATACATATCAATTCTGCTTTTTAAAAATATCAGAAGCGTCCCCTGAGGTCAAGCAGCAGGCCCAAGAGTGCTCACAAGCCATCCTCACATCTTTGCCCCCCACCTAGAAGCCCTCCTCTCTGTCAAAGGACATGTTTTTCCTAACAGAGCAAAATTAATCCTGGGATTTCTTCTTTAAGTCAAATGACAAGTGAAGGCTCAAAATAATCTTTTTTTTTTTTTTTTTTAGGAAAAAATACAACTGGACAAGCAGCCTGAAATTGAAACCCTGTTTTCAGTCCTGTTTTCCATATTTTCTGTCTTATGCCATCAACTTCTAGATGTCAGGAGCCCCATCTTTCCAGAGAGTGGCATAACCATTTCTGGAAAGGGGCTTTAGAAACTACTTCGGGCAGTGGCAAAATTCCTCCGTTAATGAGGCCAATAAAGAACCATACAAGTGCCTAAGATTCTAATGGAGAATAACATTCCCTCTGCCACCAGCTCACAGGGTAGTGGATAGCGTCAGCAAAGTTCTCCATGAACCAAAGAGAAAGGCTGAGGCATGGGCAGATAACACTGCCTTTCCAAGCCTTCCAAACATTCAGTGCCAGCTGAAGGCTCACAGAACGCCGAGTGCTAGTGCACAGGGACGATCCAGCAAGAGGCTGCAGCTCTTGAGATGTAAAGCAGGTAAGAGCAAGAGGTAGAGCTGCTTGGTGGCATGGCATCAAATCTGCTGCGCATATGTGAAAATCATTAAGGCTTCCGTATGTTAAAAAGAAAAAAGTATTGAACACATTCCAGATAGACTACTCTGTATTTTTTTCAGAGATTTTTTTCCCCTACTTCTGTGCAAAGAGGGCTAGATTGTGATGAATGGATTTATATCCTATCAATTATTAGCATACTTACAGATAATCGTTGGTAAGAGCTTCTATCCCAATGACTTCCCAGGCTCCTTTTGTAATAAATGTGCAGGCCTGATGGGGTTTTTTAAATAAGAGATTTATTAGACTCTTTCTCTCTCTGATTACAGGTAAGTAGAGGATTAAATAATTTATGTCAGGAATTAAAATAGGAATGAGATTTCTTTTGGGGTGTCCACGTCCCATTCCACCTCACTCTAATACAAAAGAATTGAAATTGGACTATTTGTCCACATTAATTGACTTTACCAAATGATTTCTTCTTCAAATTAGTTTTCAAAACAAGGTGGTCAACTTGAAACAAATTACACAAGAATACTCACTTCCTTGTTTATTTGGTAATGGCAAATGTGTTTGTAACCCTCTCCATTGCTGATGATCTTGTAGAAGCTATTGCCATCAGAGGTAAAATGAGGTTCTGAAGGCCTAAACTAGAAAATAATTGACAGCAATTAAACATTAAAGCACCACATATATATCTACTTTGCAGAAGTATTATTTGAGTACCAACTTTAGTCTCACAAAGTCCTTTCTTAACCTATGCTCAAAATCCCATGCTTCATTTACAACCCAAATGCAGCTAGAAGGTCTCTTTTATAAAATATGGATGAAAAGACCAAACCCCTAAGTAATTTTTTTTTGGTGAGGAGTAAATAAGAGAATGCATATAAAGACATTTGCACAGGACATTCAATAAATATAAATAGCTCCTGTTATTTTAGGGTATCCTCTCTCCGTAAAGGACAGTGACTTCCAAGGATCAGTGTGTTCCCAGCATCCACCTTTGTTCAAGATGTAACTTTCCTCAGTGTCACAAAGGTGCTTTCCTAAAACTGACATATTATTCTTTGCCTGCTTCAGGTTGGAGGGGTTTTGTAGTTTGGGGGAATTTTTTGTTCCTCTTTTTACACATATTTCTTTTTGAAATCCAGGCTTAACCATTTCTAGACGAGATACCATAGGAATGCCTGTTGTATACTTCATGTGGAAGCATTCATAGAATTCTTTTTATTATAAGCCTTTTCATTTTGTGAGGTATGATCAACAATTTACCCAAAAAAGGTTGCATAGAAATATAGAATAAAATCTTCATTTTTTTTTTTTTTTTACTGTTCAATTAAAGATAGTGCTCAGAATATAATGTAGCCTAAGTAGAAGAGTGTCTTTCCAAGCCCGAAAGGAGTACGTTGTTTTACGATTTCTGTTTCCTAGCTGCATTTGAGAGCAGGTAGGAGATGGTCTTTTAAAATTGTTGGTTCACTTCGCCCTCGATGTTTCCTCTCTCATCAGCTCCCATTTTGGGAAGGAAGAAACACGCTTCCCTCTTCTATTTAGTGATTCAAGTGAATTCATTTATGGAGCAAGCTGAGGCGTGCAGTACACTTGGTGTTCTCATTACAGAGCTCTGAAACACATTCCCCTCTCTAGACCTGTGTTCACAGCCTTATCTTTTTAATACATTTCCCTGTTTCCCCTGGATGGAGTTGTGCCTAGTAGGAATGTGTGAAAAGTGGCATCTGTCTGGTTAAATACAGAGAGGAAAAAACATATTTTTTTCAAAGAGTCGTGAGGAAGTGTAGCGTGTCTCTTGCCATGGAGGAAACCACTTTTCATGTTGGCAAACGTCTCCCCTCTGCCCAATCAATGCCTGAAGAAAAAGGACATGTGAATGCTTCAGAGCTCTGAGCCCCCCGGAAGGATTCATCTTCCCGAACTGGGCCCTCTCCTCTATGACCCAAGAGTTGTGAAATCTTTCCATTTTTGTGTTGCTTTGTTTCCCTCTCCAAGGAGGATTTATAGAAGTGGTCACAAAAATTAGGTGCGAGTCAGTCTTCATCTTTCACATGGGGTGTCTCGATGGCTAGAGCTCCTTCATGTACGCGTTCCATTCCATGGTTTCGAGCAATATGTGGCTGGTAATTCTGAGCAATGTGCATATAATGCAGCAGGACTGGGAAGCATGAGAAGTCTCCGAGGGTCACCATGCTTTCCTGGATAAAGCTCTGCATCTGGGTGCCTAATAAAGTGTGAACTCACACGAGCACAATTTCTTCCAAAGAGAGGTGCGTAGCGGGCGTTGTGTGGTTGGTGCTGAGTTTCTGCTAGTTGTAGTCACATCTCCTTAGGCATTTGTCCAGGCTGGGATGGAAACTGTGTTTTCTGCCTTTAAAGCACATAACTTCAAATATGAGGTCAACAAGCATATTCGGCATCTTGGCTGCCTTTCAGCAATGGTTGCTTTTTAACTGACTGGGAGCTACAATTTGCCTGGAGTATGTGTTTTGTTTTGCCTGCTCTGCTCTGGGTTTTTCACTTGTCCCCTTACTTTTTCCAACTCAGTATGCTCTATATCCTTCATAAAGAGATAGCTCTGTAGGGACCATCTCCAATATTTAAGAAACAGGTCAACTGACATCTCTATTAATAGCAAATAACATAGGTCCCTAATGTACAATGCCTACCCATTAAATAGCTCTGCATAGCTGGCCCTTAACACATAAAATCCTGTAACTCATAGTACTTACTCTTCCAACCCAGCCTGTAGAACTTGTTTCTGTGTGTTGCTGTGCCTAGAAAGGGGAAAAAACACAAGGACAGCATTTCAGAGAGGAGTGAGATGATGTCATCTATTCTTTAGCCATAATCTGTGGTAATATAACAAAATTACACTTAATAAAATAATTGAAAACTATCTCCATTCACCTATTTTCCTTTATGTTAGTATTTTTCTTGTAATTACATTAGATCATTTCCCTCTCTTGCCTAGAGCTCTGTCCTAGCTCTACCCCCTACACTGCCCTCCTGATGTGTGAAGTTCAACACGTACAGAACCAAAGGTAATTTCCTTCTCTATTCTCCACCTCTACCAGCCTGTTCATGTTCCTCCATCCTTCTACCCACCCATGCCAGACACCTGGGAGGACTTCTAGATTACTACACTGCTCACAGTCAACCTCCTCAGCCCCTTTCTTTGACTTCTCTGACCTTCTCCACCATGACTGCCTTTGTTCATGTCTTTGGCAGGTTTTCCTTGGTCCACTGACATGATCTTCTGGACATTGCTTATCTTTTCTCCCTCGGGCCTACTATCCACCCTGCTAAGCCTCCAGCTGACCGCATTTGGCAACAGATATTATCTTTATGACACTCTCTGATTTATTACCTTACACTGTCCCTATTTCTTACCAAGTAAGTCCAAACTCAGAATCGTACCTGAGTCTGAGCGTGTGTATCTCTATCCTCAATGTCCACCCCTGTTTCTGTCCCCCGCCCCTGGTCATAAATACCACAGTCCCTTATGCCCCAACTTATTCACACTAGATACTTAGCACAGCCCTCTGTGTAGATAAGCCTTTTGCCCTTATCTACTCATATATGGCATCTTATTCCAGACTCCTCTATGTCTCTCCTATGTTACTCCTTGTCCCACCCTGCCTGCCTGAGGGATGTCTCTACTGGGGGCAGGTGGGTTATACCTTGATTAGATGCTTTTATGGCACAATATTCTAACATTACAGGGATCTAATGAGCAGGAAGCAAAGAGCTTGGATTTTGCTGTTTGAGTTTCAGCTGTGTCCTGTGACCTGAGCAAGCTCCTTAAATTTCCTGAGCCTCAGTCTCCACAGTGCCTGGCATGACATAAGTGCTCAATAAACAGTTTACCTTATGATTTATTTTTGTAATGGAATTCCCTACCAGAACAGAAACATTTTAGGGACAAGAATGCTGTCTAAATCATTTTTTAAAATATGCATGGCTTAGCACAGAGCTTGGAACATTATACATTTGAGAGCACTCAATGTTTCTTGCATAAATAAATGAATAAAGTGAGTCAAGACATGGGGTGCTCAAGCTCTCTGAGGTGAGAATCTTCCTGTGCTCAGCCAGGAAGGGGAGCAGGCAGGAAGGTGCATAGGCACAGGCCCATGACCAGACAGGGAGGCTTGCAGAGGCCTGGTTATATGCTAGCAAATCTTGTCTGGGTTCTACCCTTCTTGAGGCTGCTGGCTCCAAAGGGGCTTTATGGTTCCCTTTGACTCATGGTCTTCTGCTCACGGTCTCCTAAGCCGGGACTCCCCCTGAAACCCAGGACTTCAAGGTCAATCAACCCTAAGTCTGCCTCAGTGTTGCCATCCTGTCAGGCTGGTAGTTATTTATTTAAGTTCTAAAGCTGTTTCCTGCTTATGGTAATGGATTTCCTGCCTCAATATTTCTTTTTCTTACATATCCAGCCAGTCATTCTCAATATCCTATATTTCTCTGTTCCAATGCACTTTGTTGCAATTGCAGCCCCCAGTCCTCTTTGCATTTTTGAATACTGACATGAGATTTTACCTTCTGCATTCCAGTCACCTCCTTTCCCTTTCCCAAGAGATCAAACCCAAACTGAACAGTATGGGTAGAGAGGGAAGGTGAAACAGAAGCCCTAATGAATATCAGGTGATCTAATCATCAAACTGATCACTGCCTCAGGGCTGAACACGGAGTCAGAGAGAATAGAAAATCAAACTTCATTTCCTGATTCCCATTCATTACTCGAGTTTAAAGTCTACACTGATGACAAGCAGAGTATCCTGACCCAATCTTACCAATATGCAATTCCATCTAAGGTTGTTCTTATCATAGTCACAAATATCCATGACAGAATAGTTCTGAATCCTCCTGAGCCACTGCAGGGAAATTCTTTCTTGTGTAGCCCATGTGACTTCACACAAGTAGTGATCCCTGGAAGGAAGGAAGGAAGGAAGGAAGGAAGGAAGGAAGGAGGGTTGGGGTGGTGGTGGTGGGAGAAACATAACACAGAATGAATTTGTTCCAGACCTTGATACAAACATTTTACTCAGTAAAAATAAATCAATCCTAATGGGAATTAGAACTTTTAGTGGGTAAGAATACCATTCAATACCATCATGTTTTACCTTTCCTTAAGCTTAAAGTGCAATTTAATTTTGAATGGAAATTAAAATATATCCCACAAGAAAAGTTGTAGCAAAATCCCACAGTGGTTTAACATACTCGACTAGAACCATATGCTCAGGATTAACTGAGTCTTAAATGTGGCCCTGGTGGTACCAGGGAGTCGAGGGTGATCTCTCTCCTCTCCTCTCTGTTGTCTTGAGGGAACAATACACTGGCTGAGATGTGAGTATTTTCTGGTAATTTGACGTGCATCTCCAGAAAATTCTTCCTATTAGTGTGAAACTGCAGCTGACCCTTTTCTCAACTTCATTTTCAAATGGAGAAAAAAAATTGACTCACACTTCCATGAACTTTGAAAATCTAAGAATTATATCCTTAAAAAAAAGTACTAAAACCCCCAAAATGACAACAAATAAAAGCCTTTTTCAAGAGTCAAAACATGAACCTTGTGAAGAAATTAAGAAGCCCTGCAATATTTCAACTTAAATTTATACAAATAGAGATAGCTCTAGCAATGCATCCTCCCCAACACATACCTGCAAACAGTTTTGGAACCCCTCTCTGATTTATAGTGAAATGCATGGAATTCATAATTTACTGTGCTGCTAGACTCCCTAACGTTATGTGCTCTGGATAGTTTCTTTAATTTTCCCTTTTTGCCCCTCCTCCAGTATGATTTTGGATGACTATTCACAAATCACTCCTCTCTAGCGCCTGGTCCACTCCAAACTTTCTAAAATGCTCTGCTTGCTCTAACCCCACCCAGTGGTGCCTGTCCTCTCTTCTGGACAGCTGGCTTTCCAAACAGACTATATTCTTGTGGAATGCAGCCCTCCAAGGGTAAAAAACAAAAAAACAAAAAACCCACCTCTCCTGAGTTGTGTTCTAAATAGCTCTGTCCTTCCTCAGAACTCACAGAGATGGGTTCCTGTCTCCACGCCCTTCACAGACACTGAATCACACAACAAATATGAGCACTGGGGGCCTTAGGATAAAGCACTTTAGGCCCCTCCCAGATTCTCTAGGACACTCCATGGGTTAATGCTCCTGGTGTCACTGTGCCTGCACCCTCTCCCTCTGCAGGTTGCAGGTACTGAAAGACCAAAGCCCTTCATGCAGCAGAGGGTCACATTCCACACATAGCAACTCCTTCCCCTTTCAGCCCTCTTCTTGCTTGTTAAGGGGCTCTGCAGCCTTCTTCCTCTTCCCATTTGTCTGAAATGACTGTCACATCCTATTTCTTCAGGTCTCAGCTTAAGTGTCCCTGGTCAATGATGTTTTCTTGGAAACCCCTGTTGCCATACCAAATGTCAGCCTCACAGAGCTTATCACAAATTGCCAGGCTGTAGAACCAGAGAGTGCCTCTTTGCATGCCTGGGAGTAAGGGTGCCTCGTCTAAATCTAACTCATCTGTGTTCACAACATAGAGGCATCAAAGAGAGGATGGGAAGGCAAATAAATCTTATCCAGGAGGTGATAAATCCTTGCAAAGAAAAATGGAAAAATGAAAAAGAAGACAGAAAATGAAGATTATTGAAATTAACTTTCTAGACCAGGGGTAAGGAAATTTTAGCTGAGGGCTAGATAGTAAGTGTATTAATCATTATGTTCTCTGTCATGGCCACTGAACTCTGTCTTTGTAGCATGGAAGCCCAGACAATACTTAAAACAAATGAGAGTGACTATGCTTCCAAAAAAAGATGAAATGTAACTATTCTATACTTTTCACACTATGAAATAGATATTTTTGCTTTGAGTTTTCTTCCTAACCATTAAAAAACATAATAATATTCTTGTGGATGGATGATACAAAGCAAGTGGAAGATGGGATTTAGCCCATGGACCCTAGTGGGCTAACCCGAATTCTACACAATTGTTCAAAAACCTTTCATATAATCATTAAAATCATATACCTCTCACTCTGAAGGAAAAAAAAAAAGGCTTTCTATTACCATATACAAAATTCTGTAGGATTCCATGGGCATAGATTAGGAAACTGGGATCCAGAAACACTTTTCCCCTTTCAAAGGGTTCTGGTGGAAGAAAAGGAAGGTGGGGTGGGGGGGGGGGCAAGGGAACACTTTTCCATGGTCAGTGAGTCACTGGTACTAAGTGGCTTTATCTACTAAAAGCCATAAATTATACCTCAGTTTAGAAATAAGCACTGTAAAACAACCATTCCTATTTGAAAACATTGAGTAGTGGAATTTGGGAAGTCAGCCAGGAAACTCACGTGCATTAACCATCTTTCCTGCCCATTTCTAGATAAAGATTAATGACCCTGGATCCTCTACTACCTTTGCCACTCTCCACGGCCCACGGTGTACTCTGTACCCTGTGAGTGCTCAGCAAAGGCAGTTCATCAGTGGAACAAACAGTCAGTTTTGACTTTTCTTCTAAACACACTTCTCTTCAATTGCAGCCCTGAGCCAAGATCATGCCAGGCTGAGATATCAGGGTCATGAAAAAGATATAAACCAATGGCTCAACTGAACTTTTTACTGAAAGGTTTAAGACTCCACTTCACACCAGAAACATTCAACAAGCAGACTCTCAACTACGCTTTACATGCTACGTGCTGGTTTTATTCTGCAAAGAGAAAGAGGCAAATATTGAGCATATTTTCTCTCTATAGTGGTTGGGGGAGGGAGGAAGAGGGGCTGCAGGTGCGGCTTCCTCGAAGCCTGGACTGTTTACCAGAGTTAGACACAGTGACTCCACAGCTCTTCAAACTTCTGGAGCTGGATCTGTCCGAGGGGAATATGGTTGATTTAAATGCTAATGCAACAGAGTAATTTCTGGACATAACAATAAGAGTTCACACCCATATGGTATCTACTCTGAGCCAGAAAATGTTCTAAGTGGTTGACAAAAACCCATGACCACCTGTGTCCTTGTAGTTCATGTTTTGCAGATGAGGAAATAGAAGTGCAGAGAGGTTAAGTAACTTGCCCAAGATCACCCAACTGCAGAGTGTTGGAGTCAGTTTTCAGATCAAGTGGCTGGGCTGGCTTTGGCTTTCCTGTTCACGCTCACTCCCAAGGCACAGGCTCTGCCTGACACTCTGGGAAACTGCTGGTTAGCTTGACCTCATTGTTCCTTTTCAGCATAACATTCCTCACTCAATGAAATTTATTTATTTATTTATACTAGAAAGTTGGGTGTAGACTGAATTGGATAAAGCAAATCACATTTGCATTCACGGAGAGGGACTTGATTTTGAATATCACACTTACAGGGACTCTCCTTGTAGAGTGACTGTCCTAGCACAAAGCCTTGCAAAGTGTTGGCATTTAATAAAGTCTCTTAGGTGATATTCATGCCCCTAATTTGTGTAAATGTTTCTTTTAGGAAACATGAAGGCTACTTAAAATAAGGTATGCATTACTAACTGGAAAGGATATTGGAGGGAAAATTGCTACTAAGAGCAACTTTAAATCGTGGAGTGATTAATTCAGTGAATCACCAGAGGAAGCAGGCGTACTGCCAGTGCTGGCCTCAGGCTCCATGCCACCCTCTGCTCTGATAAGGATGCCAACCCTCTTGGGTCTGCTGACAAATCACTGAGAAGAGGAATGGGTGGGGCTAGTGGAACACAGCAGATATTAGGGATGCAGCCTTGGTAGCCTTCAAGCCCTAATCTGCCTCCTTTCCTGCAGGTGTTATAGTTTTCCAGGAACTAGTTTTCCTCCAGTGACAATCTCAGAGTTGATGACCTTATAGTCCAAAGGTCATCCACTATTCCAGAGAGCAAGTCTTTATCTACTGTGTCCCCCAGGCGCAGAGAGAACACTGGTAGGGTATGTCATTATCCCGGTTAGATGGGCCTCCAGAGCCATTGGCAGATGTTGGGTGGGGTTGCCTCAGTAAAACACACCCTTCTCAAGTCAAAGAATTTACAGATGTTTGGGGGGAGATAGAAAAGAGGGATTGCTAGGCAAAGTCACTTTGAAGGCTGTCTTTGGAGCTTAGGAATTCTCATAAGCTCTACAAACAAAGTCACCAGGAAAACCCACCTTATCCATCCATCCACACATCTAATAGTTTATTTTACACATATCAAATGGGTACTAGCTTTGTCCTAGGCACCCTGCTAGGCACTGGAAATCTTAAAATTGGTTCCTACCCTGTTGAACTTGTCTTACGTTAGTTGGCAATGTAAGTATTGCTCTAAATAAAACAGGAGTTTTATAATTTTTCATTATATGCTTTTTCCTCTCATATTTTGAGTTCTAAAAACTCCCAGTACACATTAGCAGCTTAACTAATCAACCTTAGCACTAAACCAATAAGGGTAGCAGAGAGGCTTGCCAGTGTTCTTGGAAAAGTGACCTGATGCCCTTCTCACTTGTTATCACAGAAGTAACACATCCACCCATTTCTACCTACTTCTGCTAGTTTCTATCAAAACCACAATCAGTCTCATCCTCCTACAGGGGTTCACTTGCTGGAAGCTCTTTTGACAAAGGGACACGGATAACAGGAAACTGAATGAGGAAAACATGGATAGAGGAAGAAAGGACAATGCTGGTCCTAGCAAAGCCACCCATTCCTGGAACTAGTGAATGAGGGGGTAACACAGCTGAGAGGGCTAGGCAGTTTGTTAGGTGGCATAACCTACATGGATTCATGGATTCCCTGGGTCCTGCACATAAAACATTCACAGTGAACAAGACAGCCCCAGGCTTAAAGAACTACAAAGCAGAAAGAATTAATGATTAATTCATTGAGGGCAATAAATAAGTCCTTAAAGTTGGATAAGTTTCCTGAGCTCAGCACTTCACAAACTGTGCTTTGGAAAGTGATTTTTAAGTGGGATCATCTATGAGATGGCTGTAAAATGACCCCTTAGGCTGTTCACGGGGAATAAATGAGAGAGTAAGGGCAGAACACGGAGCTTAGTCTGGCCCACAAGCGCTCAATATATTTTAACTCCACTATTTAGTTATTTGATCCTGGGAAGCACAGACCTCTGTCCTATTCCCATTTCCCACAATAACTTGTTGTGAGAGTTGAGCCAATGACTTTGCCTGTCTGAGCCTCAGCTCTCTCACAGTGGAGTTGACTGTGTTCTGGGACTCCTCCAGGTTCTACCGACCTCATCTTTTGGGACTCCTCCAAGTCCTACTGACCTCATCTCTTGGGACTCCCAGAGGAGGAGAGGGGGGCAAGGTTAGCCTCACCAGCACAAGTGGCAATTGTCCATTTTTATTTATTTATTTTTTTGTGCATTTCTAATAATATCTCACGGGAGCAAAGCTTTCCGAGTCCTTAAATAAAAGTTTATAAACTGGTGAGATCTACACTTTCTTCCAGATGGAATATTTTTCTTAGCAGGAGCCCATGGCTTATCTATCCTCTCTGCAGACAGACTTTGGTTGTAGATCAAGAGGTCATACCAGGCACTGCTGGGCTTTCCCCAGAGAGCCCATGATTCCCACGCTCTGTTAGTTCCACCCTGGTGCCCTTCCTCTTCTCTGTGCCCTGCTGGAATCATAACTGCTCCATCTGTGCATTCTTCAGGATGCTTTCCTTGAACCCGGGGGGGTCATGGAAAACCTGTCTCCCTTCCTTGGAATGCCTCCAGCCTATGTTATGTCACCTCACTCTTGCAGAAATTTATCTGAATGTTTTATATCTGTCCCTGATTATAAGAGCTAGCAGGACACAGACTTTCCCTGCACATGCTTGGGATTGTAAATAGTAGTCTTCAATCAGTGTTGAAGAGGTCCCTGGATGGAACCAGTCAACTTTAGAACTGTTGAGTAAAATTTTACACCTTTGAACAAAGTCAGGGATTTTTTTTTTTTAATTTACTGGCAATCGAGTCCCCTCTTGGAATAAATAAGTGTATACAGATATTTCTATCCAAGCTAAAGAATACTAATCAGAGAGCACAATCGTAGCATGTCTGATAGTTAACATAACCCCAGAGAAATCAGATGCTTCCCTGTTGCTCTGATAATGCCTTCAGGAATCTGAGGGCACTATCTGTATTCACTGGGGCCGGGGGAGGAGTTGTATGTAATATCTCCAGAAAAACAGGTTTGAATACAGAGTGCTACTTGGCCATTTTTTTTTTAACCTCTGGGCTTCACTTTCTTATCTGTAAAAGAGGCATACAGTAATAACAGTTGGAAAGAGAGATAAAGTCCTACATCTGGCATGTGATAAAGTCCTACATCTGGCCCACAGTGAGCACTCAATATATCCTAGCTCCTATTTATAAACAATCACAAAGCCAATATACATAACGAAAATGGGAATAAATAAAAACTTACTAGGTAGCCACAAATTGCACCCAGCATTGTTTCTTTACAGGAAAATAAATGTGTCTGAAGATGCTTAATGGCAATATTTCAAAGTTCCAGGGTCACTGAAGCAATGACATTGTGGGGCACACGATATGGTCATGGGGGTTCCTAAATTGAATCCAGTTTCTCTGAACTGCTTCAGGTCTTGCCCATGGCCTACTGTTCTGTGAGATCCTTATCTCTTACCACACTCTGCTCAGTCAGGAGGCTCCAGTCACTGGCTTCCCTGCACTTCCTCTGAGGCCCCCCACTGTGTTGCCCCAGGGGCCTTTGTGCTTTTCCCTCTGCCCAATGCTGCATCCCCAGGTATCCATGTGGACCAATCCCTCCCTTTCTTCAATCACTGCTCACAGTTCACCTTATCAAAGGGATCTTCCTAAACCTCCTCTCACCCAGCACATTGCCTTTGCCCTGCCTTGGTTTTCCTCACAGCATTGATCACCACCTGGCATTTTATAGTTATTTGTTTATCTGGTTATTGTCTGCCTCTTCTAATTTGAGTGTGGGCTGCACAACACCTGTTACTCCGACTGCCCTGTTCACTGTGCATGTCTACCACTAGAACTGGACCTAGCCTGAAGGCATGGAGGAGGGATTCAACAAGGAGTCCTCAGTGGAAGAATGAATGAGTGCCAGTCTGGCTGACACAAAGGGATGCTGCGACTGAGTCTGCCATTCATGTTTGAAACATGTTCCTAGGAAGTGTGGAACTGTCCCCAGCCCAAGTGTGGAAGCAAAGAGCCTTACCCTGTTGACACAGAAGCAGGAGCAGTGATTTCCATGGAAATGGCACTGGTGGTGGAGTTGAGAGAGTCGATATTCACAATAAAGAACTTTACAGTTGGATTCACGGCTCCTGCCTAGGAATAATCATGGAATTGGTATATATATACTATATATATATACACACACACACACACAAACACACACACATATTTACACACACACACACATGCATACAGTCATTACAGAACTTAAAACTACACAAAAATGGCTGGGCTTTATGGCCCTAAAATTATAACAAATGACACTTTAAAGCAATTTAATGTGAATAAAATGAACATAAGGGAGAGTCAGGAGATGGAACCTTTTCATATTCAGGCAGAAACATATTATGTACTTGTGTGTGTGTGTATGTGTAAAACTTGAAGGTCCAAAGCTCTGCCATTTAAATAATGAACGTTTATACACTCATCAGTTATGTACATCATGTAAGCAAGAATAAATCTCTTAAAATCAATTCAATCATTCGCAAATATACCATGACTCCCTAGGACAAAATGTCTTTGGTGGTCTCTATGAAGAGCACCTTGTGTTCTGCCAAAGACACAGTCCACCAAGTAAAATTAGTACCTGAGCCAATGATGCTAATTAGGCAGCCACCATTTCTACTCCACATCCAGGTTCATCATGTTAGAGTCTTATAGTCAATATTATGACAAAGCTTAGAAAGTCTTTTTAAATATACACATACACACACAGATATCCTATTGACAGATTAGTTAGAAATAATATGATTTTTTTTATAGTGAGAGCATTTTATGGTGTTTTTTTTTCTTTTTTGCCAGTTTTGCTCATCAAAAAATAACATTCCACTGAAAACACATCTCCATATTTAGTCTCGGATCTTTTTTCCTTTTAACTTCCTCTCCCTTCCTAAAATGGCAGCTTTTCATAAAGCAAATTAAGTGAGTTGGTAAAAATAAAAATCTCTTTTTCCAAATTGCTTACAGCAAAATCACTTTATTAGATTTTCTGATAGATGACACTGTGACCATTATTATGATAATACTAATGAAGAATCCCTGGCTCCCTTCTAGCCTCCCCTTCCCCTGATTTGTACTGTTTAACCAAGCTCTCAATTTTAATAAACAGGCATGCTAGATGGTGGAGAAGAGCCTTGAAAATCGAGATGTGACACTATTATTACAAATGTAGGATGTGCAAAACTTACATTAGTGCCAAATCTATAACAGAATCACTAAAACTAGTCATGTACTGCAGCCCGTTAATTAGTAATACAATCTGATATATAACCAAGCTTTTCAACTTCATCTCGGGCACATTCCAACTTCCACAAATGAGATGAGCTTCTGATTCAATTACAGCCTCTCTTTTCCTTCATTCAAACATTTTCATCCCCCTACCTCTCTCAAAAGCATTTTCACCATCTTTTTCTGCTTGTCATTTCTCAAAGTTTTTGGAGAAATTACAAAACCTTAAATCACACTCTTTCCTGGGATAATAAAAATACTTTAAAATTGCCAGATGCTGTTGACTACAGCAAGAGTAATCACAGCAAGCTGTTGAAGAGAGACTGACAATATTTTCATTAGCAGGAAGGGATTAAATGCAACCATTCTCTTCCCATCAAATCACAGAACCACTGAACGAACGGGAGCACAGACCTTTGGATATGGAATCTGCACCGTCTTCGGGTACTGCAACGACTCATCAGAGTAGAAGGAGTATTTAATAAGTGGGACTTCTGTGTCGTTAAATTGGGCATATGCTAAAAAAGTACTGTTTGGAGACCACCACAGAGCGGAGTAGGAACCGAAGACTTCCTCTGAAAAAAGACATAAATTGTTCTGTTACAAGAAGTAGCTGATAAATTGGCTTTGGCATTCAAAATATTGTTCTCATTAGCTTTAGTAATTACAGTAGAGTTCAACTAATGAAGCATTTTGCTTTTGCTGGGCTTCCAAAATCAGAGTAATACAAATGAATGAAAACAAAATCTTTGAGGATATATCTGGATTGTAAAAATAAGTAACCCATTGGACCATTTTAGAATATTTTAGCATGCAATATTTAATATAAGCTCTACATTTTTTCTTTATCTTGTAATCCTCTAAATTTATGCCTCAAAACATACTAAAAGTAAATTTCACACAGGAGGCTGATTTTCCTTTCTAATTTTCAAACAGTCAACATGCCAGCATACTCTCCCCAACTGGGCTGAGTTTGTACTGAGCCCGCAGGGTACTGGTGGGTGGTGTATAGCTCCAGGCTATCAAACCAATATGGTACCCAGAGCTTACTACTCTTGGCACAAACAAGGTGTGGGAAGGATGGATTTAGAATGGCAAGAGCTCCATGAGACCCCTACTGAGAAACATCTCCTTTGCCCAGCTTAGAAACTGAAGACTCCCTTGGCTTCACACCCTCCTTTGGTGTATATGCTGGTGGGTGAGGGAGGAAGGTCATAAGGGAAAAAAGTGAAATAAAGATCTTGCTTTGCAGTACGTTGTTGGCTTTGTTCTTAGTATCTGACAGAGGCAGCTCCTCCTTGTAGTAATGAGGTTGACTCAGGGGATTTTCAATCTCTGGCTCTTAAAATGTCTAACCCTCTATCACCAGCTGGAAATGGAAGGTTCAGGTAAACTGAATGGAGACTTCTACTTTAACCCACAAGTCTTATGTGATGATATGAATGCAGACATAAACGCAAAAGCACAGAAACTAGAATGTATGGCTAGGAAATTCTGTATCTCAATCACTTGTCTGACCACGGCAAGACATCTTTACAAGTTGCTTAAAAATGTATTTTCAGGGCTGGGGTTGTGGCTCAGTGTAGAGTGTTCACCTAGCATGTGTGGAGCACTGGGTTTGATCCTCAGCACCACATAAAAAATAAAAAATAAAAAATATATTGTGTCCACCAAAACTAAAAAATAAATATTTAAAAAATGCATTTTCAATAATAGCAATAGCAGCAGTAGCAGTCAAAATTGTAACAATAAACTGTAAGAATTATTTTGATGAGCAGTTGACATTTGGTGTGCTATCTATGTACCAGACATTGATAACCACTGGCACTTGTGCCAGGTAATCTTCACAATAACCCACTGTACAGATGAACACAATGAGGCAGGCTTACTGAGAGTAGGAAACCTGCCTGTGGTCACAAAGCCAATAATTAGTAGAAGCAAGAACTAACCCAGGTCAGATCTGAGTCATGCTGTATTTCTCCTTTGGAAAGGCAGCCTGTTCCCTCTTTAATGGCTTCATGCCTGTGTCACTGAATTACATTCCTATAGTCATTAACAATTTATAAAACACAACTAACTTGTTCTTCACAGAGATCCCCCAAGGAGTCTGTTCATAACCCATTAAACAAAGAAGGAAACGGAGGCTTCAAGAGATTTAGTAAATTGCCTAAAAATGCAGGCCTTTTGACTGAGTCAAGTTTCCACTCAGAACCTCTTCATGTACTGAGTTGACATCTCATTCCTCATCTTTTACCTGTTGATTCTAGTTTACAATACAGCTTCAATGGCAAAAAATCAGTACAGTTAAAGCATGATTTTGGTTTGTAAAATTACTTGTACATATAGGTACAGGTGATGTTTCAACTATTATTTATTTGGAAGGCAGAATATATTTTTCTCTTTTTTTTTTTTTTTTTTTGGTGGTGGGGGGTGGTGTGTTACCAGAATTAAACTCAGGGGCACTTGGCCACTGAGCCATATCCCCAACCTTATTTTGTATTTTATTTAGAGACAGGATCTCACTGAGTTGCTTGGTGACTAGCTTTTGCTAAAACTGCCTGTGAATTCTTGATCCTCCCGCCTTGGCCTCCAGAGCCACTTGGATTATAGACGGGTGCCACAGTATGGGCTCTTTTTCCATATTGATAAGATAATGAGTTACCTCTGTGGACTGAAGAGCCATTTTTAGAAAAAGGGCCACACTGGAGCTGTGAAGTCATTCTTGTATACGTAATGGCTTAGTTATAAATACATAAAAATTATCTACCTCAGAAAGAATGTACGGGGCGTGGTGAGACACACCTGTAATCCCAGCAGCTTGGGAGGCTGAGGCAGGAGGATTGTGAGTTCCAAGCTAGCCTCAGCAATAGCGAGGTGCTGAGCAACTCAGTGAGACCCTGTCTCTAAATAAAACACAAAACAGGGCTGGGGGTGTGATTCAGTAGTCAAGTGCCCCTGACCTCAATCCCCAGTATACCCTATCAAAAAGAAAGAATGTTGCATGTTATCTGTGTTCTTATCTTAGAGAATCCAGCTCTTCCTGAGGGAGGGTCACAGCACCTACACCATGCTATATTACCTACGCCATGCTATGTAAACTCTTAAAGAACCCTTAATAGCTAGTATTAGTAAATTTCATTAAAAGTTTTACTCAAACACTTCCTTCTGGACAATGGAAATTTATCTTTCTTTTAATAATGTTTATGGTTGTTCTTATAATGTTATCCTTTAATCAAACTTGACTTGGACAGGATAAGCATCAAAATTAAATCATCAACTAAAACTATATTTTTTTAAGCGTGAAGAGAAGAAATAATAGGATGAAATAAGGATGAGTCTTTCTAATAAGTATGAGGAAACCTCATGAACAGTTTGGAACAGCCTCAACATGCCTTTTATCTTGGCAACTGTAGATGTGGAAATGTTTTCCTAATATTTTCTAAGTTTCTCAAATGCTTTCCTAATAGTTTCTAAAACTTTTTCCTGAAAACAGAATGTTACTTTTAAACTCTTTTAGTTTTATTCTTTTACTCATTTTTTCCTAAGCCTTTCTAATTACTTTTTTCTTCTTTAAAATTGAAAAATCACAATTTGTCCAAGTTCAAGTGAACACAGATTCTCTATAAAACAGACTCTTTCTTCCTTGATACTTGCCAACCACCAGACAGTATTTTTGCATCCTTTTGAATGTTACGAGGGTATTACTTTTCCTTAGAAACTTCTGGGTTAGGTTGGTCTCACTAGAGAAACATTTGATATTAATCTGGAACTTTTGTGCCTCATTAAAGCCAGAAAAGTTACCTACACAGAAAGGCCCTTTGTCACAGTTAACCAAAGACAAGTGGAGCATTGTGAGACCACTGGGACAGAGGCAGCCCTGGTTACTGTGAAGACATTGTTGGTCCGTGAGATACCTGGTATTGTGAGTTCTAAATTAGATTCATGACATTTTAAAAAATGCAGCTTATTTTGAATCCCATCAAGTGTCCTCGACTTTAAAAAAAATGTTTAAGTATTTTTAAAAACTTATAGGTTTTCTGATTTGAGAAAGTGTTAGTCCCTACCTTCATAAACCCAGTCAGTTATTCCATTAAATACTACATCTTCTTTTCCCGACCATGTGATCCTTTGACTTGGTAAATTTGGTTCAATTTTAACATAAATATCATTGTTCCAAACGTATGCCTAAAAGAGATGGGAAAATTTATTGGGTATCAATAATAACATGCTATATTTTATCCTGGAGTCTTAAAAATACTTTTATCTATAGAAGTCTAAGGATTGCCATAGTTAGTCAATTTGAGCAAGAGACATTTACTCCCTCCGTCCCATTCTTAAATGAGAACTACACAGACCATAATCCCCAAATAATACTAAAAACATTCTTAATGTGTTAAAAATAAGAAGCTTACAAATATTGTAATTTGCATGCTAAAGTATGCAGAGAAGTAGCAGACTGGACCTCTTCTACGATATGATATGAGCTTGTGGGTTTCTGTTTTGGGTGGGAGCAGGGGAGTGCAGCTGCATTCTTGGAGAGGGAAGTTCCGCTGCAGATAAGAATTTCATCTATATATTTAAATTCTTTGGGGACTTCTGACACTCTCCTTGCACCACAGAATATGAAGATATCTAGAGTGACTCAGAAGTTCACCAAACTAGCAGAAAGCAGGTGTGACACTCAAACAATATCTAAGCACAATAGACAATTAGAACTTCAGTTCAATGAGCATTTTTCCAGAGAACAAATAATTCTCTAATAGGAATCTGGAAACTTTCATGAATTGTATTTATTATGTCAGATTAGTAAAATATTGTCTTGGGTAATAGCACTATATTTTATAGTGAATTATTGGCTTCCTAAGGTGTCTGCCTTATGTCAGGGTTAGTGACTTCTGCATATGAAATATTGGGGTCAATATTTTTCTGATGTCAGGAGAGATTCACTAACCAATTTATGACCTTCTTGTGACCATGTGATACACTGTGTATTGTTTGGAATTCTCTCTTCTGTAATCAGCTGTCTGGAAAAAAGATAAAAGGAAATATTACCAAAAGAATAACTTACAGTGGGATTTCCTTTTTAAAAAAACAAAGTACACTAGAAAAGTCTCATAGATTTCATGGAGAAATTTCACTGACCTTTTACTTAAGTCATAAATGTCATATGAAGCTGAGTAGGAATGCCTCCATTGCTAAAAGAGAAAATAAACATTTCAGGATTGTGCACATCTTAATAGTTTGGTCACTTACTATGGGAGCTTAAGAGGACAGGTATGGTAAGATGTTATTGTATGTAACTCTCAAATTTCACTAATATTATAATTCTCTATTTAGATTCCTAGAATTTTAGAGTTTTTAAGTATCCTAGAGCCATCTGGTACAAACTTCTCTGATCTTCACTTATAACCTTGCTTTGGCATCTTCTCCTCCAAGGAGCCTTTCCAGCAACACAGTGGACCAAAGTGTCAAAGTGATAAAAATAAGTGAGCTATATCAATTGTTGCACAACATTAGCCCTAGCGTTTGGCATAGTATATAAGAGTGTCTCTTTAGGAAAATGTAAATTGTCACTTTTTACCCAACAGACCTGCACAATATTTACAAGACATGATTCTACCGGTAGCAGCGTGGAAAAAAATGTTTACTTCTATAGATTGATGGTGAAAATGCCAAGTGCTATAGATTTTTTGAAATCTACTTAGTAATATGTACTAAAATTAAAATACAAGTATCATCAAGTTATTAACAGCCATCTGCAGAGAGTGAAAATGAAAATCAAACTAAACACCAAGTAGCTAGAAGAAAAGAAATAAATTTGAGAGCAATAACTAGATAGAAAGCACATAATAGAGAAAAATCGATAAAATCAGAAAGTGATTCTATAAGACTAGTAAAATGGTTAACATAGGGAAAGTGAGAAGGAAAGAAAATGCAAACGTCCAATATCAGAAACAAAAAATGGGACATCACAACAGATTCTCCAGGCATCAAAAGACCATGAGAATATTTGGAACATTTTTGCTAATACATTATAAAAAATTCCTTGAAAAAACTTAATAAAAGTGATATAAAAGTCTGAAATCTTACATTTTATAAACAAATTGAATTCATAAATAAGAAATTTTAACATAAAACACTAATTCCCAAATAATTTTTCCAGTGCACCCCCTGTTATTTATCCAAATAAGTGAAAACTTTTGCGCACATGAAAAACCTTTACACAAACATATGCAGAAAGTTTATTCATGATTGACAAATCTTGGAAATAACTAAGATATTCTTCAACAATAGGTGAAAGGATACACAGACTGTAATAAACTCATACAATGGAATATTGTTCAGTGATAAAAAGAAATGAGCACCTAGGCACCGTGGCAGACGCCTATAATCTCAGTGACTCTGGAGGTTGAGGCAGGAGGATCGCAAATCCAAAGCCAGCCTCAACAACAGTGAGGCACTAAGGAACTCATTGAGACCCTGTCTGTAAATAAAATACAAAATAGGGCTGGGGATGTGGCTCAGTGGTTGAGGGCCCCTGAGTTCAATCCCTGGAACTTCCCCCTTCCCTCACCCCACCAAAAAAAAAAAAAAAAAAAAAAACCAGCAAAAAAGAAATAAGCTACCAAGCCACAAAAAAAGACTGGAAGAACCTTAAACACATATTGCTATGTGAAATGGCCAATGCAAAATGTTGTTCACTGGATTAACCATATGACTTTCTGGAAAAGACCAAAGGACAAAACCAGGAAAAAAAAAATCAGTGGTTGCTTGAGATAAAGGGGATAAAGAGGGACATATAGGTTGAAGGCAGGGGACTTTCTGGCACAGTGAAACTGCTCTTTATGATACTATAATGGTGATTCACATCATACATTTACCCAAATCAAAGACCATACCCTAATGTAAACTATTCACTTGAGTTAATAATAATGTATTGCTATGTCTTGTCAGGTGTAACAAATGTACCATAATTAATGCAAAATGTCTATAGTAGGGAAAACTGGAGAAGAAGGGATGAGAAACATCTAGGAATTTTCTGCTTAATTTCAGGAAACCTAAAGCTGCTCTAAAAATATAAAGCCTATTAATTTCTTTAGAAAATAAATTAGAGCTATGATTTGGAAGGAATTCCACATGGTATCATTAAGAAATGCAACTTACATAAAAGAATGGAAATAGAATCTTATTTTTGTAAAATAAGCAATAACTAAAAGAATCCCCATATACTTTCACACAGTTATATGAACAAGGAGAAAAATATAAAATATGGAGAGATATACACTAGACTCTGGGGAGCCAAACAAAAAATGGGGAAATGACTGAAGATAAAAGAGTCTGTATATGATGAGATCTTTGTATTCATAAAATTATAATCTTTATGTGTATAATAAACATAAAACATTTTAAAAGAAATTCCTTGTCCATATGTCTGTGCTCCCCACCATACTCTTACATGTAAAAATTGGGTCTTACTCGTATCTTTACATAACTTGAATCTAGTGTGAGCTACATGGTAGGTGTAAAAGAAATAAATGAAATTACAATAAAGTTCAAACAGTGTCCTTGAGGATGAGATATATGAAATAAGCAACCAGCTCACGGACAACTAGCTACATGATAGCAGAGCTGAGACACAAGGTTAGGGCTCCTACCCATAACTACTAGTCATTTCTCCTCCCCTTATGTTCCCATGTTAACAAGTATTTATTCATCAAATTTCCCTTCTCGTACGTCACACATTTCCCCCCTGCCCTGAATCTTGGATTATTCTGAAACACCCCATACTTGTTTCCAGGCAACCTTGAGCATAATAGTTGCTAAGCCAAAAGGTGTGGTATCGGCTGGAAATATTAAGGGCTGAGATCATTTTGGAATGACAAAACTATCGTGGGTATAAAAGGAAATGCAAAATATTTGGTATGTTTACCTCATCTCTTAAACAGACTCATCAGTCTATTTAGTCTGTGAAGACTGGCAGCTATTATCTTCTAGACATTTCTCTCCCAGAGCAACTCCTCGTGCAGTGGGGGATATGGGCAAGTGAACTACCATCAGGGAATCACAGTGTGATGGGCGAAGAGATATAATGAAGCCAGTGAGGAGAAGCAGGAATCATAAATCAGGTCTCAGGGAGGGAGAGAGGCTTACGTAAAAAAGTGGGTCTTGGGCTGAGTTTCATAGTGGAGACTGCCACGAGAATGGGCCAAAGAACATGGTATCCAAGAGAAATTGAAATGTAAAGATAAGGAAAATCATGTTTAAGAGAAGGCTTTGGAGTCTTCTAACTTGTATTTAAGTCTCTACTGTGTAACATCAGGCAAGATTATTTTCTAAACTTCCATTTTCTTTCTAGGAAAAGGGGGATAACTATGGCAACAGTCTCAGATCCATGAGAATGCGTGTAAAGTAAGGCACGCATGTGGTAGATGACAAGACACTTATAATCTCTAGAGCACAAGCTAACGAGAGGAGATGCTGGGATAGCCTCTATGTCAGGCTGGAGGATGACACCCATTTACTCAGTTATTTATGACTCATGTATTTGCGGTCACTACCTAGAAGTGATAATCGATAATTCTGGATGCACTGAGTCTATCCTGGAGAAGGCAAAAGAACACTGGAGAGTGAGCCCCAAGGAAATGTAATAGAATCAGCCTTTTCTTTTTTCTGAATATGTTTCCTGAGATTTCGTCATGAAGACATTTATGCTGCCCATAAAACTCTGTTAAACAAACAGAAGGAAGACTAGTAGAGTAGAGGAAGTAAGGGGAAGGCAGGAAGGAAAGGGGTGGTACTGAGGTAAAAATGGAGAAAACTATGTTACATGCCTTTGTGAATATGTCAAATGAACCCTACTATTATGTATAACTATAATGCACTAAATTCAAATGTTAGTCTTTAACACGGACAACTGTTATTCAGTGGTTCTCAATTCTGGTTTCCCATTAGAATAATCTATAACATTAAATAAAATTTTGATGCCAGATTTACCCTAAAGACTGCAATTTATTGACCTTGGTATTGAACCCGGACACTGAGAATTTTTAAAAAGTTCTTCAAGTGACTTTATCTTATGGGTAGTTATAAGAAGCACTGGTTTACACAAACAAATCCATTAATTGAAAATAGATATGCTGAAGTTGCCATAGGATTCTGATTTGCTTATAGCTGATGGACTTAGCAGAATATAATCAGAGAGTCTTCATATCCAGGAAACAGAGCTCAGCACTGTGGATGCACGGTAAATATTATGATTGAGAGTCTCCATCCTGAGATGGTAAATGGAGTATGGAACGCTTTGCTTGGCCCGAGTACAGCAGTGTTGGTGTGTGAGATAAGGACATTTGATATTATTTGTCCCAGAGAGTAAAAGTCGGGGGTGGGAATTCCCAGCTTTGTATTTCATTTCCAATACAGAGTATCTCTACAGGTTTCCAATCTTTCCTACATGTCTTAAAACTTCCTATCCTTGACAGCTATTGTCAACTCCATGAATTACTAAAAAGCTGCAAAGTTATCATTGATTATTTTTAATGCTAAACATAAAGAGGAGGTGTGATCAAGCATTGGCTTTTCCTGAGTGTGTGAGAATTCCACATTGAATGAGTGACTGGAGCAGACTGAGTGCTTTTGGTAGGACCTTTGTGGTCAGATTAGAGGCTCTCTTCCTTAGAATGGTTGTATATGGTGGAATGTGAAGGCTGGGAGGAGGTCTGAGGCATCTTAGAGTCTTTGCCGGAGAATGAGTGGTTTAACTTTTCAAAGTAAATATTTCCTGAAGATCTTAAATGTAAAGCTAAGACAAAAGATATAAGGAGTAACATCAACCAATGTACAAGTCAGACATGTATACTAACTTTAAAATTATACAATAAATGCCTTTTTAAATTTTACTAACTTATGTTATAAGTATCTACAATTCAATATTAATTATACTTCATAGTATTTGAAAACATGAAAATATTTTTTTCTTTTGAAACATTAGTTGGATTTGTCTTTTATGAATAAGAACAATTTTTTGGTGTTGAATTAATGAGTTTTAGGTGACAAGTAAATTACTTAGGTTTCCATCTTAAAACATGCATACACTGAAATTAGTTACAAAATAACGTATTCATCCACCTCTTTAAATGTCACAGAAAGCATTTTTTTTTACCTTCACATAGTTGTATTCTAAGAGAACGAACAACCCATCAGGAGATACTGAATAATCACTAATGGAATGTGGGAACTCTTCCTGTCAATCAAGGAGAAGAAAGAAAAGTTGAACAATGTAACCACCATCACTGAGCACTTACTACATAGTTGGTGCTCTTCTAGACACATGGTGTGTGCCTTGGGAGCACCCAGGAGAGATGGCACAGTAACCCACACAGAAGACCATAATATGAGGTGGGCAAGTGATCAGTGTTAGAAAGGTTTAAATCTAACCAAGGAAAGATGGCTGTGAGGGTGGGGATTGGGAGCAGAGAGAGAACTTCCTCAGTAGGAGGAGCACCATGAGCAAAACCCAAGGTGTGGGGAAGAGTATGGAGGTTTGAGGAATGTTTAAGGGATATGGGTAACCTGAATATAGCATGGGGTGTGCCCACAAAGTGGAAGGAGCAAGGGCATCAAATTAGGAAGAGTTGAGACTTAAATATAAGACATGGAACTATGACCTGCTTTTGTATGTGGAAGTGATAATATCATTTTTTTTAAAGATAATCATGACACAATGTCTAAAATAACACATGCAGGGGACTTGTATCAGGCTGGATTGGGGCAGTGCTATGTGATCTGGTCTCCAGAATAGATATGCACAAGTTAGAGTACTCACTACCATAAGATTAACTGAGGATTTAAACCAAGACTATCAAGAGGAAATGGAAATCTGTGAAGTACTGGACAGGGAATTGATAGGGTTTGTTGAGTAGCTAATTATAGGGCATGTCAGGAGAGTCAAAGACGAATCTGATGTTTCTAGTTTAACTGACTGGGAAGAGAATTAAGAGGTTATTTACCAAGATTGGAAACTTGAAATAAGATGTTTTTATAAGAATAAGAAATAAGATGTTTTTGACAGTGAAGCGGAGATAACTAGTTAAGCTTGGGATAGTGAATTTAAAAGGTCTGCAGGTCATCCCTGGGAAGGAGCCAGCTAGCTATTGGAAATTGAAATTTGGATCCTGGGAAGAGGTTAGTGTCAAAAACTAGAGGGAAGAACACAGAAGCTGTGGAAGTGCATGAAATCACCCCAAACAGATACAAAGTGAGGAAAGAGGCCAGAGAGTAAAGACAGCTGTAAGGAGCACTTACATGTAAATATATGAGCAGAGGAGAAGAAATCATCAAAGGAGACTAAAAAGTAGCGAAGACAGGGAGCATTTGAAGGTGAAAAAGATCCACTGCGTTGTATGCTGCAGAAAGTCCAACAGAATGAGAAAGGAGAGTGCTCATGGAAAACAAGATAGAATTCATGAAAAAATCCCCAGAATTTCATGCATGATTTAGTTATATGGTTAAACATACAATTGTACGGTTCTCCAAGAAAATGGAGTTGTTTCCATTTTCAGCATTGAATAGCAAGATATTATCTTCTTGTTTGTAGAGATATTCATGATCTGAAGAGAGAAAAGAGCCACATCAGTATTTCAGGTTGCTGTCAAACATTTGCCTAAGCTAAAAACTATGCAATAAATTTTAAAAATTTGGTTCACAAAAAGACTAGATATCTCTAGGTTGGGAAAACATAAATGGTGACTATTACACTAGTACTTGTTCGTTCTTCCATCATTAATGTCAAGGTTTTAATTTGCATTTAACTTTTGATACTCCATGTCAAAGAAATTCTTTGTTTCTTTCCCTTTGCACCCTAAGTAGAAGAAAAAATACTCTCCAGAGAGTTTTTAAAAGCAAGAATTATATCTTCTCAGTGCCATAAAAGTACCCCACAACCCAAGCTAACCAGGATGAAAATAAGCATAAAAATCTGCACCTCCATTAAAAAATATTCTTACCTGAAACCCACCGCAAGGAGTAAACCTTCACTCGGTAAGTATTTTTTAAGTAATCAGTTAGCAAATAAGTTTTGCGACTGTCAGCTGCGGCGTCATCGGCTGGTTGAAGGAAAAAAAAGAATGCAATGTTCAATACTATGTAATAACCTAAGCTTTGGATAAAATGAACAAATGGATCTCTATAATATCAAAGGAAGAGATAGAATTCCTTTTCTATAAGTGCTCATGAAAATGTAGAGATACACTCATGCAAGGCACATTTTGAAATATTTCATACTTGATGATTGATACCAAAATGCATTTAACTAAGCTGGGTGCAGTGGCACATGCCTGTAATTCCAGTGACTTGGTTGGCTGAGGCAGGAAGATCATAAGTTGGAGGCCAGCCCCAACAATTTAGCAATACCCTTTCTCAAAATAAAAAATAAAGAGGGCTAGGGATGTAGCCCAGTGGTAGAGCACTCCTGGGTTCAGTCCCCAGTATGGCAAAAAAAAAAAAAAAAAATTAACACATACATATAAAGCATATGTATGTGTTCACAGTACTGATAAGCTTCAATGTGAACATCTAGATTAGCAAATTCCAATAGAAACAAAATGTGAGCCACACTTGAAAAACATTTAAGATAAAATGAATCATAATAGCATATTTTATTTAGGTCAATATATCCAAAATATTTTTTTCAACATGTAATCAATATTAAATTTCATTAATGAGTTCTTACACAATCTTATTTCATATTAATTCTTTAAAACCTGTGAGTTTTCACTCACAGCATGTTTCAATTTGACTAGGCACATTTCAAGTTCAATACCTACATGTGGACATGGAACTAAGTATTCTAGTGGATAGCACAGACTAGATAACCCTCTGCTGAGTCCCTGAGGTCCATTTCCAAGCCCTCTTGCTCCTCAGAGACCTTTAAGACATTCTGATCAGACCTTTCAGATATCCTTCTTTGTCTCACTGCTTTTCCTTGAACTTGGTGGCATCTGTGTGGTTCTATATTCTGCTACTAGGGACCTAAATTCAAAATCTGAAACATGTTTGATATCTCCTTCTCTTTTCCTACCAATTCCATCTAATTGAACCTACCGATTCTTCCTGAAAAATCTATTTCCAGGTATTCCTGCCATCAGCTTCATCCATTCCAATCCATCCTCTGCATCATCATTGGAGACATTTTTCTTATATCACTTTCACCTGGTGCTTATTTCCTTCAAAGATCTCCATATTTCTCCATTGCCTATAGGAAGGCAGAAATGCCTTTGCCGGCACTGGCAGTGTTATGATTTGGACATGGGGTGTCCCCAGAAAGCCCACACGTGGGATAATGCAAGAAAGTTTGGAGGAGAAATGATTGGGTTATAGCCTTAGTCTAATCAGTGAGTTAATCCCTGATGGGATTTACTGGAGTGGTAGCCTGTGACTGGAAGAGGTGGGAACTGGGGCATGGCTTTGGTGTATATATCTGTATCTGGCAAGTGGAGTCCCTCTCTCTATTTTCTTATCACCGTGATGTGAGTGAGCTGCATCCTTCTGCCACCCTCTGCTGCCATGACGTTTAGCTTCACCTGGAGCCCTGAGGAGTGGAAAGGCCTTCTATGGATTAAGACCTCTGAAACCGTGAGCCCTCAAATAAACTCTTTCTTCTTTACAGTTGTTCTGGTCAGATTCTTTAGTCACAGCAGCGACAAAAACTGACTAAAACAGGCAACCTCCTCCGTCCAACAAGCTTCTCTCTTCTAGGTTCATGTCTACTCCCTGAAGAAACTCTTGTCCTGGCTCATGATTTGCACACTAAACCCAGGAGACCCTCTCCCCCTTTCTCACCTCTACTTCTTGTCCCAAGTCAGTTTTCTGCGATGTCTTCAACTGCTCTCTTATTTGTCACCACCAGCTACCCTCTGACTCCTACCTCTTTCATGAAGACTTCAATTCTGCCTCCTCTGACTTTTGCTTTTTTACTGTTATTTCATGACTTATATTGATAACTATTTTCCATGCCTGCTTGAGTATTCTATTCAGCTAGGCTGTATATTTTTTAAGACAGGTTTTTTTTTTTTTTTTTTTTTTTTTTTTTTTTTTTTTTGCATCAATTCTCAACACCTAGCACAGTTTAATGATGTAGTGTGCAGGCACACAAAAAAAGTTTTAGTTGATTAACATAGGATTTCTTCCTACAAGCACAATTGAACCAATGTGATTTTTCTTCCACAATCCCAGAGGCTGACAAAGAGCTTAACGTCTTTTCCCAAATCTTTGAATTTTCCCATATATAACATTCACTCCCACAATTGGCCCCATCATAGCTCTCCTATATCTACTACAATAGCACCTTGTCTTATTAATTTTTCACAGCTTTCGGGAAGGTAATTCTCTAACAGGAAATGTTCTTTCAAAAGGTAGTCTTGAGATTTTATCCCTATAGACCTTATCTGGCAATAGTCTTGAACCTACCTATAAAACCTTCTGCTTCAATAGATAACGTTGCTACATTTCACTTGATCACTTTGTTGATTTTGCTTAAGCCTAGTTTGTTAAATACATTATGGAAGTTTGAAAGTAAGGTATTATGCTAGTTAGCAGAAATACAGAAAGTGGGTGAAATCAGCACTTGGGCTTGTCAACTGTCAAAACAAGAAGTAAAGAAGTATTTGTGCTACAGAAAATATTATTTGAACTCACACTGGGGCTAGTAACCATGAAACTGGATTTGTTCACTGATGCCCTCAACTGTTTGCATGCACCCAGATATTTTTTCATACATCTAATGATTATAAAACAAGTATTATCTGGTAAGTACTATTGAAAAATGCCCTGCTGTTAATAACTGTTAGTCTAAAATAGACAAAAAACACAATCCAAATTAGTATAAATTGAGGTATAGATGGTCATAGACATTCACAACTCTATTCTCATCTATTGATGTAGTTATCTACCTGAACATACAGAAAAGAGAACAATATATCTATGTGTACATGCATACATATATGAACATATGACAAAACAGACATGTCAACATAGAACACCTCTCACTGGCTCTTGACTTTGTGAGAAGGGAATGAACTGAACAGCTATAACAGATCACACATGTACTATCTCATTTGAGTGCTATGTGCTGCAATTATACTTGCCCATGGTTTTTGATGGCAACATACTTACATCTGGAAAAAACTGAGGCCAAATTCCCATGACGTCGCCCAGTGCCCAGAGGGCTGCACTTTGCACTCACAATGCCTTCCTCACTGAGCATTTACCTCTCCTGCCCTCCTGGGATGTCCCTGGATTTTTCTCTCACCAGCCCATGGCTTTTCTACACCATCATCTCTACCACAGTTGGCTCCCTTCTGTTCACGATGGCCTCTGTGCATCCATCTGTCAATGTCCCAGTTATGACGATTGATGGCACACTCTTGTTAAGGCCAAGGCATCCTGTGAGGTTTACGCCTACCTTGGCTTGAGTCAGATTCATTCGACTGCTTTACAGTAACCCTGTAACCTGGTTTCTCTCTATTAGCTACCTAGTCCCAGAGCAGCATGGCTAACTTGGAGCAAGTAGAGCAACAAATGTTCCCTGTTTTTTTTGCCTTGCCATTTGATAAGCAGGGCACATTGGAAGACAGTTTGGAAACATCTAGATAAGCGAGTTCTGTGAGATGTGAGTGCCAAGTCCAGGTTTTGACCTTTAGCAAGTTCATAGTTTGCTGCCAAGTTCCAACCTATCCTGTCAAACTCTTATAGGACATGCTCATGTTTCTTCTTCCTCGTCTACTTGTTCACTGACAGGGCACTGCTGCAGCAACAGATGAAGGTCTTTGGCTGCTTGTGTGGTTTTCCTGGTGCGGCCTGGGACATGTCGTTCATTTGACTTATCAGTTCAAAGCACTGTGCTAGCCAAGTAAAGCAGTTAATCATATGTTACCCATCATCTCATGCAGAAATCTTAGATTCAAATCTTCCTTAATTAAAAATTAAAAGAAAAAGGTTAGTAACAGTATGCTTTATTTTTTGGGGGGTAGAGCAACTATTCATTGAACCATAAAAAAAGAACATTTTTATCAGACATAAAAGGTAACTAACATAATTTAAAGTGTTTAACCTCATGATAAATTCTCATCAAACTGTGGTATCTTAACAAATCCTTGCTTTAGGATCAAAATTACTTCTGAGTAAAAGAAGTTCCAGAATAATAAAGCCCAAATATGAAAGTAATGTAGTTTCATGTTTTTATCAATTATTTACTGAGTAATTACAGTAGATTTTGAATACTCATATGTCCATTCATACAAAAATATTTTAATCTGTCTTAAACTCTGATTTACAATCTTTCTACTTTACAAAGATAAAATATTTTTGGTAAAAAAAGACTAATAAAATACATTAACAGGAAATGTGCTCTTTATAGCTCATACAAGCATAAAGTTGTTAAAAACAGACAAAAAAATATCTGGTTATGGAGTCCCTGTGCTCCCTATGATAATCAGTTTTACATTCCACATTGATGGTTTATCTATGATGGGTATAAGAAATAAAATGGGTGTCACTTCAGAATTTGTGCTATCAAACTAGCCTTGACATGAGGACAGAGGCAGAAAAATCCATACAGTAGTAGAAGAAACTGATTGAAAGGATTCTCAGATCCTGTGTTTGGATTACCCAGCAACATGTACAAACTACTACTCATCTCTGATGATTCAAAAAAATACAAGGGATTGAGTAGCTGGAGGTTTTGAAATCAGAGAATCTGGATACAGGCTCACTCAATTGCCTTAGGGCCTTAGGAAAAATTACTAAACCTTTGGTATGGTTTCAGTGATGATATCTCCTCCAAAATTCATGTTGAAACTTAATCCCCATTGTGGTAGTTTTAAGAGGTGCAACCTTTTGTAGAAGGAATTGAATCTTGAGGACACTGTCCTTGTGAATGAGTTAGTCCCTTTAAAAAGGGCTGGGGAAACTAGCTTAGGTCTTTTTTCCCTTCAACCTTCTTCCATGTGAGAAAGCAGCTGCAAGAAGGTGCCTTTAATGGAGGAGGATGTTAGTAGGCAGGGAACCTGACTTCCCAGACTTCCAAGACTCTAGAATGGTCAAGAAA